GAGGTAGCAGAGCGGGGGCTTCCTCTTCTTCCTCCTTGCAGCTCGGGAAAGATCGACTGTACGCGGTAAACATTGGTTCGATGCAAAAGGCATTAGTTGGGCGCTGCGTTAGAGGCTGTAAGTCCCCTGTTGTCGATTTTAGAGAGTTGGAGGGATGGCTAATAGCTTAAAGTTGCATATCTAGAATCACGAAAAGCAGGCCTTTCCTGGTTTTGGAATATGCAAAGATGTGGTAGATATAGTCTCGATAAGGTTTTGTCCATATGGTGGTTTCCCTTATCCTTGAACAAATGTTGAGATTAGTATAGCAGGAAATATGATCTGTTTCATTTACTTTTACTGAAAAGTTTTATAAGCTTGATCTAGGAGTCGTGATATGAGCCACCCCCTCTGTAGTGATATGCGACCCCCGGGGGAAACTCCCCAGTTTTAGTGATTCCGCCGGACTTAGTGTAGCTACCTTAGTAAAGAGCAGCTGTGCAAAAACACAGGATATTAGAATACAGGCAATATTATAAGTGGCGAAGAAAGTCTATTATATTATCACTATTCGTATTGAGTTGCTAGAATGTAAGAGAATTCAAAGGATGACTCGCTCTCTTGTATGCCACCCACATTCCATTGGGACACTACCGATACAAAACCAGCTGCAATTTAGTGTATTTGAGGCTGCTCTTGCATTGGGAGTGTCCTGGTCTCTCGAAAAGGGCATACGCTTCGAATCTGTCCTGTTGACTTACAACCTTGACAGCCAGTCTTATTATGCGGGAGTTCAACGCACACTGAACAGTGCTGTAAAGGCGCTCTTTGACCTTCAAATTAGTTTAGATTAAGCAGTTTTTCACTAATTATAGGCACGCGTATCAGCTCACCGTTTAGTTTCTTTAGATCGTCATTGTTAACGTGACATTAGGTCCAGTATAAGAGGTAGAGGAGACTTATATACAAAGCTAGGTAAAGGTTAAATAAGATGCTAGGAAGGGTGAAAGTTGTAAGAGGTGATACCTATTAAATTATTCAAGGCAACGAATAAAGTAATTTACGTACCTTCACTATAGGGAATTCGCTCTTTAATCATATGCCAGCAAGGTATTCCCATTGAGCGAGAGAACGGTCTAGTGCAATTTGCACTGATTTTGCCTTCCTCAAGATACTGTTGCTCTCGCCGAAAGTGTTGATATTGTTTTTAAAGCGTATAAAGCCCATAATGGGAGAGCTTGCCTAGGACTTAGTAGTAAAACGTACTAGAAAGCCTAGCAGGAGTTCCTTGGGCTTTCTGCGATCGTTTTACAAATATTACGTTCAATTAACTATCGAGAGCAAAATCGCTATATACTACCCTCAAAAGATAAATGGTTAAACTAGAGATTATAGTTAAAAAATTATTTAAAAAGAACAGTAAGCCTAAGGTAGATCCTTATAAGGAACAAGTAATTAATATTTATAAGATATATAAACTTAGAAGTACTACACACATATATTATAAAGTAATAGAACTATATGATATATTCATGCGAAGAGAGCTAGCTTATAACATATATTCTTAGTCTCACGGACACCAGCTAGTTATTTTGAACTTTTCATTTCATTTAACGTGTATATATTCTCCCTCTGAGAGATATATATCTAGTTAATTACGCTGGTTGTAAGGAAAAGTCAGCATAGCTAGCTGGCTTTCTTCTGGTATTAATTATACCTAACGCAATTCGGAGGGCAGTTTTATCCCGAATATCCCAATGCGTAGCCCCAATGAATCCAAAAATCCTTAAATGCCAGTCACGGCTCCAGAAACGCCAACGCTAAATCCCAGCAAAAAGTCCTCCGTCACGCACAATGTAAATGGGTGTTATGTCGGGGAAAGAGACGCAATTTATCTCGTCCCGGACTCATCAGTTCCCGAGATTCTCTCTTCCTCCCAGCTGAACCTATGTTCTGCCGGTTGCGGAACATGAACTAGGTCGTCTTCGCCCTGGAGACGGTTCCTTCGTGCATATGGATTGAGTACCTCGCGGGTCTGGATGTCGGCGCGCAATCCCTCTACATCCTGGCGGAGGAATTTGGAATCGTCTTCTTCACGAACGATCCCTGTGTCAGATCCGCCACCCCCGCCGCGGATATTGATCGGCGGCTGGCTTGCGTTGCTGCTGCTGCCGGTGGTAGTGGTGGGAGCGCTGATGCTGGCACTCCCGTGAGCGCTGCCATCAGCGCTCCGGCTAGAAACGGGACTATAGGGCGTTCCTCCAGGGCTCTGCGTCGCATCCTCATATAAATCATCTCTCGTCATGACTTCATTCTCTGTAAATTGGCTTCCTAGAGTGCTTGTCGTCTCTGTTCCGGGCTCTGGGCTCACTGGGTTCTGCTCCGCGTTGACCGTCCGTCCATCCGGGCCAATGATCCGTGGTACCACCCGCGGCAGCTGCACATTATCCGGGAGTCGTCCCGCATACACTACATTACCCGGACTGATTCTGCGATATGTAGGAGGCGGACTGGTGGGGGAGATGGGCGTCGTGGGTGCTGATACAAAGCATGGGGAGAGGGGTGAAGGCTGACCACCGACTGTTAATGAACCGTGCGATTCCGCCATCGGAGAGACAAGCGGGCTTTGAGTGTTTAGAGTGTCGGAATCATGAGGTCGATAGTGCGTTACGGGTGAGGTATCATTCTCGGTCTTCTCTATGGGATAGGTCTCGTGTGTAGCTTCGAGTCGGGCCGCTGCAGCTTGTTGACGCTCGATCTTCCTTCTTGCTCGCTCGTACATAGACATGTTCGAATCTGTAGCCACGGAACCATTTTCGGTCGTTCCATCAAGGGTACCGGCATCACTGTCTAGTTCTGCAGGACCTAGAGGCGCGGGAAGTTCGAATCGCTCATGAGTTGCGTCAGCGCCCACTTCAGTTGGGTAATCGGTGCAGCCGACGACTTCATTAGCTGGTGGAGTAGGACGGCGGCGACGGAATCGATCCAGGAAGGATTTTGGCTGTGGAGCTTCTGGTTTCTCGTCATCGGCGGCGGCGGCTTTGGCTTTGGCTTGCTTTTGGTGGCGGAAGTAGAAGGCAAGAATAGTTGCCAGAGCAATGGCAGCACAAGATCCGATGGCAATCCCAACAATGGCGCCTGTGGCTAATTTGGAGCTTGACTTCTCGTCTACTTTGGGACTGGAGAATGAGCTGTCGGACGGGCGAGTGATAGCTACTATGTTTGTGTCTCCAATCGGATTCGTTGTGTGGATGGCCTGGTGTATGGAAAATTTATTCCGCTCGTAGTCTGTGATGAGGTAGGCCTCTTGGAGAAATGCTCGGCCAATTGTATATTGCGCCTCATTTACTGCTCGCTTCAAGGGGAAGTAATTCTTGGAAGAGTCAGGAGCCCCATAAGTCGTGTTAAGAGCGGGAAATGGAAATGTAAGCTTTAGGTCGAAAGCTGCATAAGGTAAAGTGATGTTGACAGCTTCTGGCGATGCTGAAATATCGGAGAGACTGAATGTAAAACTCAATTGCGACTTTTGAAGCACGTCGTGTTGGGAAGAATTTCCATCAAAGGTATAAAGCTCTAAACTGCTGTTGTAACTTAAGCCTAAAGTCTGAGCAAAACGATCGCAGACCGACGGAGGAAGCCATAGATAGGGGGTGGTGCTGTCAATGATGGCCGAAACTCGATCTGCTGCGGATAGTAATTGCACGGGAGAGGTCCAGTTATTGGAAGATCCGGCAGAGACCACTGAGATGTAGCTAATAGACGCCTGAGGATTCTGACTTGGATTCAGATTGAATGATACGTTGTGGGGAACGAATCTATTTGCATCAAACCCCCCAAGGGTCAAAGAGTTTGGAACCCCTTTTTGTTCTACAACTCATTAGCAGGTTATTCGTGTAGTATCCATGTCGTGTACACTTACGATAGGTTGCTCCTGCCGTGTATCCATAACTGTGACTCGGAATAGCACCATTCTTTTCCACAAGGCCACTAATAGCAGGGAGCGAAGTGATGTTTTTGAAATTCCCCGGAACAACTCCCAGACCAAACATTCCAAGCAAGAAAGACGTGGCATTTATCGATCCTATAATGGCCGAGGGCAAAACGACTCCTGTAGAACCGAATGCTAAATCATCGAGGCCGTAATTTGCGTACGCAGAGCCTCCAAATCGAGAATCGATCCCTAAATTGAAAAACCCCTCGTCTTGCCATGTCGATGACTTTTTCATATCGAATATCTCTCCTCTGCTGGATATACATAGCGCATCTATTATTCGCGCCCAAAATTAGCGAAGTTCATGTTGTGTGGTGTTTGTCGAGGATATTATATTTTAAGGAGCCGCCTTCCTCGCAACACCCTCCGAACTGCATCATCGATGTCGCTGCAGCCATCGAGTGGATTACAGCGTTTCCTCCCCTCCAATTTCAACCAACATCCCAATAAGAAGCCCACTCACTATTGTCTACGCATCCTGCAGGACCAACCACCCAAGTTTCCGAGCTCACGGTATTGACCATAACATCGACCCATTGCGGCGGCGTTCCGACACGTATTGATATTGCAGACCACGTCCCATCGTCACCGAACCTTCACCAATTCTGTCAGCTACCTGATTTTCATCGTCTGGAACCAGCCTTTTACTGACCAATTTGTCGATGGAGTGACACTCAAAGCCGTGGCCGCGCCGGTGATACATCGCACAGAATACCACAGTACCACTATCAATTCCCATTTCCACATCCATCTCGGCGCCGAAGACATGGTCATAGGTGGGGGTGCATTCTATTCGCGACTCGACATGACCCGTGCGAGGTCGTCAGAGGGTTGGAATCGCGACGTGGACGAGGTGAAGTTGATGAAGACGAGATTCACAGTGTGGAATGGCTGAACGGTCGCGGTCGGTAGGTCATCAAGAATCCGGAAACAGGGCCAAGAGCACGGCGCAGCGGGGTCCGTATCAGCACAGAGCTGGGTCCGATGGATCTACTAGGCTACTACTACTGAGGCCTCTAGAAAACTAAACGGCGTTCACCAACACGCGAGACACGGTACGGGACTTGGTGGGTGGAGGGTTTTGGTTTACGGGCTTCCTCTCCGAGGCAAATCAGGCGGCTTCTATTCAGCCTTGTGTGGATGGCGGTGTTTGGCTCGGGTTGGGCGACGCCACCGATGGTCTGCATCGGTGCAGTGTAGGTTTAGGAAAACGACGGCGGCCTGGCGTGAACTGAGGGCTTGAAGCCTCCAACGCCTGCCAGATGAAAGGTGGAAGGAAGGACATGGGCGCAGAGTGGTGCAGGAGGCCCATAGCCAGTGCTCGCACATTATTGGGATTGAGATCTGAAGTGGATTTGGGGGCTACTCCGTAAGGATGCCCAGTTCCGTGGCCCTGACTAGAAACACAGACAAGTTGTGCTGGCGCTGGCGTTGGAGATGACGCCCCAGCCGAATCCAAGGAACTATCTTTCACCTAAAGATCACCGTCTTTGCAGTCAAGGCACGGCCGGGGCGAGCATGAACAAAAGTTTTCGTTCGACTCTGGCCTCTCCACTTGGATTACAGTCCGTTAACCTCGAGGGCATTTAGGCAATATGCTCCCTAATGCCTCGCCGTTACTTCGCTGTGGCGCCAGGCAATTCATCCATCTAGTCGGTCCGGGACTACGACATGACCTGGGACGAGCCCTTTTGGGCCTTAAAAGGACACCTTGGTTATTAATTACTCTGTCTGTTACGGAGGCAGTCTCGAGATTGGTGAAAGTCATTTACTTGGAATACGCTATATATTCGCCAGTGCTGCCGTTGCGTCAGGCTTTTGACCGATTATTGTTGAGAAACATGTGGAATAGTAGATGGGGGTCCTAAGCCAAATCTTACTTGACGATCAAACCAACCTACCCTCGGGGTGGTGCCGTACCAGAGCCAATAGTACGATTAGGAAAACGGACGTTTTCAACTCCCGATCTTCAATCACAGGGATCACCCCATAACTTTGGTGCATTGGCCGACACTGTGCAGCTACTAGTTAGGTGTCTCGGGGGCTTTTGCGGAGTGAATATCAACTAGAAATTTACTTTAACAGAAGATAAGCAACCAGCTACGTGCGCTTCGAGCTCGTTCTTACAGTATTGATTCGACGTCCTCAGCGTCTCTCCGCCAATCAGCCCGAGTTGACGTCTGCCTGCTTCCGTTACTCAAATCATCAGATTTGATGGTGGGCAGGAAATTGTGCAATTGTCTGAATGTTTTCCGCCGCGGAGGAGATGTACCGCCTGGGTGATTCGATCGTGGACCCCTCTGCAGAGTCTGTGGTAGTGCAGGGCTCCCAATTGCCAGATTGACCGGCGCGTCGGGTGCGAAGGGTAAATAAAATCCAGACTCTTCGATAGCGAGGGGACGAATCGCTCAAAACTACATGCCCCAAGTCTAGGGTTGTTGCAGAATTATATCCCTGATAAACATGTGGTTTGTGTCCAAGTGGCACCCGTTATGTCCATTTATCCATATCAAGCGGGGCTGGCGAGGTACTGGGAGTAAAGGGGTGGCACACAGAAACCAATCCGACTCCTGGCACGTGAGGGGGTGCATCTTTTCGCATATAGTTCTTTTCTAGGAGTCGAGGACAGGTATGGTGTCTCTGTTTGTTGTTCCACGGATTCGTGCTTAGGTCGCCGAGGAGGCTCGATCCGGATTTAGATTTGTGACCAGATCCTGATGCTTGGACTCAGAGACTCAGCACTGCCTAACGGTCAGCAGCAACAAACGAACTCATAAGAAGCTTTTGATACCCGCAATCCGTTCTTGAGGTTCAAACGTGAGTTATCAACCCGGGATAAGCGCATTATTGCATTACTCTTTTGCAAGCAATGACCCCGTCCGTCCAATCTCTGGTTGAAACTCTTCATCTGAAGATTCTAAAATTGTAGGTGCTCCCCACGAAGGGGAAACGGTAGCCATTAATATCGTCGCTGTTGCCGTCATTGCATTAAAGTTGGTGAAGATGCGAAATTGGCGTCAATAATAAGGCCGGGCTTGGTGCATTATGGTTAACCTTACTCGGTGGGGACAAATTTGGTGCGTGAATGCAAGAGCAGAGGGGGTGCTGTACGACGACTTTCAAAAATACTCCATTTGGGGGCAGTCTAGGATTGTCCTGATCCTACTGCGCTGCCTGCCTTCAGTATTCCAATTACAATTTCAATCACCCGGCAAAAGAAACAACAGCAGAGAAACCAGCGCGTCCAATGTCGCACATCAATCACATGGCGGAGGAGATACAGCAGGCAGGCTCCCTTTCCTGTATGTACCCCCGGTATCATATTTGACCACCACTTGTCTCCCTGAGCCTCCGCAGACGAAAACACTACCATGGAGCAAGGGGTAAGAGGCCACGGAGCAAGCAGATATATTCCGTCAGAGCCGAATATGACATCCTGTTCGGTGGAAGGATGATAGGCTCCCAGTTCACCGACAGGGCATAGGCATCCGAGGTCCCGACTGCCTGGAGGTACACAAGATGCAGGCAACGTTGATCGCATACCCTGAGGCTTGAATTGAGCATCTTCTTGGTGGGAAGTTTTGGCGTACTTTGTAGGGATCCCTGGCTAGACACGCAAGCACCGACAACGCCAGTAGTGCGACGAGAGGATCACCAGCCCCATGCCAGCATCGCCCACGTCCAGCTCTTCCAGCTCCTTTCTCCGCCGGGCTGCCAAGATGGATTATCCTGACGCTAAAGGGGCGGAAAGGGGGGCCAAACAACCCAAACCCGGCGACACGGGCTCACACAGACTACGGGAGGTACTGGACACTACAGAAGTGCTGAGTACCGTCCTTAGGGACTCAGTTAGTCTCAGCACGTACTACTCCGTACGGTAGTAGTACATTACACCAATTGCAGGGGAAATACTCGATTTGTGCGTATTACTGCTGATCGCAGCCACTGATCCACAACAGCCACGCCAGGCACTCGCCAAAGCCAAAAAGCTCTTAACGGCCCTCGGAGGCGGAGGTAAGCCTGGCGAGGGGAGCGACGGGAGAGACGCTTTTAATTTGTATATACTACCACCCAAGCTATACCTCGTCAGCAGGTAACCGCACTTTATTCCTTTCATTTCTTCCATCTGCACTCTGCATACTCTGCACTCCGCAAACCAAGCCCCTTCTGCCATGACTTGATACCCTTCCGAACGTCACGTCGTCTATTCGGTCTCCCTCGGGGTTTCTCTCTTTATCCCCGCCCCCCACAGTCGTTTTTTGTACCCGTACCTGTACGGTGCCTGTCGGCGTGCCCGCCTAGGTTGCTTGCGAGATCTGGTTCCCTCGTCGACCGTTACTACTGAGGGCTTCTTTGCAACACGACTGTTCTTTACCAAGAATTGTAGTTGAATCATCACTGCATGTCGCCCTCAATTCTTTCAGTGCCAGCTCTACTTGGGGCTCGCATATAGATCGAAGGCATGCTCGTTTCTCGCCAGACGCTGTTCTGGGCGATCCAGTACGGTGCTTTAACGGTCAATTCCCAGGACTCTGGAGACGCGTTCAGTATGTGGCGCACTATCACCTCCTCAGTTCGACACGCTGATTAATTGATTTTCTCTAGATGCAAATGTTAACATCGCTCTTGACTTACCTACGTCAGTAACGACAGTATCTGCCCCGATTTCGAGGGGAGTGATAGCCCAACCCACTCCCCCAACCTCATTTCCAACAACCACAGCTTCCACCGATCCACCTGATTACAATGGAGATCCTACCGATGACGGGAGCACTTCCCAAATATCAAGTACATTAACCACTAAACCTAATATCTGGTCTTCAAAATGGGCGAACTCAACACGCCCATCAAAGGGTTTAACCTCCCAGAGCAGCTCAGTTATATCCAGTTCCCTCGCACCTCCTTATACCAACAATACCGTAACTTCGGCTCCGATTAGTCTGCCATCTTCGACTTATAATCCCGCGCCCAACATTTCGACTACCCCTTGCTGGCCTCTCAGGCCAGATGAGCAAGTCACAGTCTGGGAAATCCTCCCGAACCCAAACACAGTCACGCTCACAATTTTCCCAAATGCCTCGATGCCATTTTTTTCGAGTGTACCAGAATTTACGCCTCCAACATATTGCACCGCAACTGAAAGTGCGGCCATACCTCCGTCGCCGGTGGGCACATCTGAAGTCTGGGGTGTACATCCGACGACCGGGCCCCTCTTTGTCCCTTCTACTAGTACCTTTAAAATGACAACTACTGTCATCACTACAAGCAAAAATCCGGTCACTTCTTACACCACTCCAGGAGATCTTGGGTTTCCTGGCGGGACCGTTACGAATAAAGAACCAAATGACCCCGATCCAACCGACGAGATATCGTGGGGCCCAATAAGACCTCCTACAGGCCGAGGCACGACTGCTATCCCTATCGTTACTCTCGGACCAGATGGAAATCCAGTACCAACTGGTGGCGCCGACCCGAATGGAAATGGCAACGGAAATGGTAATGGAAACGGGAATGGAAACGGAAACGGAAACGGAAACGGAAACGGAAACGGAAACGGAAACGGAAATGGCAATGGAAACACCCCAACCCCCACTATAACAGTAGGCGGCGTGCCTGTGGTTGTTGACCCCACCAAGGTTGTCATTGGAACACAAACCGTGAATGTGCCTCGGCCTGGAAACAATGGTAATGGAAATGGTAATGGTAACGGGAATCCGCCGCCAGTGACAATCACCCAAGGCGGGCAGATCTTTACGGTTAACCCTTCCCAAGTGGTTGGAGCCGGGACTGCCATCAATTTACCCCCGAACAAGGGCGGTATTTTCGTTGGCGCTCCAGAACGAACCACCATTCAAGGCGTACCGGTACAGTTGGGGCAGTCAGTTGCTGTGATTGATGGGTCGACATATTCTATAGGACCGGGAGCGCCACAGCAGACGATAGTGGTGAACGGGCAAACCATTTCGATCGGACCTGGAGGCTTAGGATTTGCTCAGACCACAGTACCACCCGCTGGCCCCCAACCCACCAATGTTGTTATTGTCGATGGACAGGTGATTTCAGCAATTGGGTCCTCTATAGCTGTTGTTGATGGGATTACTTATACGTATGGACCCGGAATCACCCCCAAGACGGTGGCATTGAATGGGGAGCACATCACTATCGGGCCAGGTGGAATTTATTATCATGGAACAACGATTGGAGGCGCTGCACATCCGACTGGGACGCAGCTCGGACTTGCTGGGGGGCTTTCGATAACTGAAATCGGATCAACACTTGCCGTGGTTAACAGCATGACGTTCACGATAGGCCCAGGGTCAACTCCATTGACAACTGTTATCGATGGGCATACGATCACTTTTGGTCCCGCTGGAGTAGGGCTTGGAAGCACAACACTCTCATATCCGTTCAATCCAACCACACGAATAATCACGGCCGGCGGGGTTACACTGACAGAGATCGGGGGCTCATTAGTGGTAATTGGCGGCACTACGTTCACAATTGGCCCAGGCGCCAAAACAACGACCGATATATACAATGGCCAAACGATCAGTCTCGGGCCCGGCGGGATCGGGTTCGCAACAACTACTGTTGCAGCTGCGGGAGCCACACCCACTTCGTCAGCAAAAGCGACGGGGAAGAAAAATGATGCGGCGGGCTTGCGGAGACCAATGAGCGGAGTTCTAGGAGTATACGTGGTTATTTGCATTGCGTATACGATATGACTTGATGGCTTTTTTGATGACTTTTTGATCCTTGGGAGACACAGAACCGGCGGCGAAGTAGGCGTTGGAGGGATTCATTTTTTAAATGCATATACCCGGTGCTTGGGAGCAAGCATCATTCGACAACATATAATTCAATTGTAATAATAGCATTACTTGTATATAATAGTTTGACTTGGGACGAAAGTTGGTGGGTGAGCTGAGGCGATGATGGTTTAAAGAAACAAAAGCAAGGCGGACTGCTTCTTAAAAATTATATCCTGGAAATATATACAATTACAATTACATATGATGAGCGAACTACGTATCTATACTCGGTGATGGATATATCCTCGAAAGCCCTTATTCCTAGTGTAATGCCCCTAGTTGTCCTATACATGCATATATTTTCTGATCGACTATTACGGTGTGTCATTTCCTCTTTCCCAACTTCGTTTCTTGAAACCGACGAACCCTCAGGAATATATTACAAAAGGAAGCAAGATGGTTAAGACTCGGCATTCTCTTGATAGCGATGATGTACTAGCTGCCAGTGGTAAACTGCGAATCTGGATGTAAACGCGAAATTTCTAGATTCGGCGGCACAGAATAGTTAGTTGCACGCAAACTTCACATATATTTCATTTGTAAGGGCAATGGATTTAAACGAGGTTGGCCTGAATTGAAGTGATATAAATTGCGCATCGCTGAATAGAGCTACAGCCCTGCTAGAGGTATTATGTGGCTGCACAGGTCTAAAGAATTGAAACACTAAATCTGATTAAGGAATCGAAAGCAACACCCGTAGTTAATCTTAGCATCACCAAATCACCAAAAACACCAAATCACCTGAAACAACATCCTAAAATCACCACGCTCGCCCCTTGCCTTTCCCAACAACCTCACGCCTCTCTAGAGTCGGGAATTCATCCTCTTCCACATCCTCGACAGCTTGCCCTTTACTTCTAGCCTCCGCCAAGCTTAGCCGAAGGGCATAATCCAGATCGTCAGCAGCGACGGGTTCTTTGCAACTGCTTCCAGAAGCCATCGTCTTGACACGATGCTTGCTTGCCTTACTGGAGGAAGGAGACGAAGATGCCGAGCGTCTGCTTTTCTTGGCTTTGTACTTGATTGGGATGTCATAATCCCCACAACCAGATGCTCGCGGCGATCTTCCGCCTTCATCCACCCCATCGAGAAGAGAAAGTCGGATGGCCTCTTCGATATCCTGGTCGAATTCATCGTCCGCGTTGTGCTTGGGGGAAGTATAGGATTGGCCTTGAACGCTGCCTTCTGGAGTCACAGTAGCGCTGCTGCTGCTCCAGACAGCTTCTCCATTCACCGAGGAAGTTTCACCCGTGTCAGCATGGTATCCTCCATCACTAGTGCTCGTGCTCATGCTCATGCGCCGTTCTAGATCATGTTGAAAAGCTTCGGCGGATACCATCTCTGCGTATTTAAGTGCTTCTTCTTCACTTAACCCCCCCAAGCCCACGCCGAATCTGCCAAGAAGACGAGCTTCTTCTCTTGCCCTGCGCAGTTTTTCCTTCCTCAGTTCCTCTTGCTCAGTAGCAATGTAGCCCATCAAAGCACCTCTTCCACTACTAGAGAACTTATCAGGACCTCCATTACTTCCGCGCTCGTTGGAAAGACGAAGACGGCGTTTCTTGCTTTTATACTGGTCGGCTGCGGAGGAGCTATAGGACCAATAGCGGAGGTGAGTTCCTAACGAGACCATCCCACGTAATATCGTTGGATCCGGATCAAGGGCAATGGTGCCAGCAGCATAAAGGTTAATCCCAACCCCTTGAGCTGACGCTTCTGCTTGAGCTAAACGGCGTCGAGCACGAGATGAAAATCGGGAATTGAGAGTTCTGACAGGTTGAAGAGTAGAGGCTAGAGGATCCCATGCCTGGACAAGACCATCGTTACCACCATGAACAACATGGAGAGCAGATACGGCAACACAGGAGATCTGTGGAGAATCCGTATAAATAGTTCGAAGTGGTTGTAACTCGTTCACCAATACTGGATTCGTAGATTGAGGGCCTCGCATATTCCACATGACCACATTGCCAGTGTTTGTCCCAACTGCCAAGAAACGTGCTCTGTGACCAGGAATTTGAGTTGGGCCTACACCCGAGCCGGAAGGAGTACCAAACGGTGATGGAAGCCCAGAGTTGCCATTGACTGTCTGAAGCGGATCTTCGCCAAGAGTAGTTAAAGCGTACGTGGACATATCGATTGCACTTGTCGTAATTTGGTCTACTGGATGATTCTCCAATGATAGAAGTGACGTCCTCCATTCCTCAAGAAGATTCGCAGATATGGACTGTCGAGATGGAGTACTCGGTGTGTATGGCGAGTGTTCTGGCGACGTCTTGTTGGGAGAGCTTGTCACGACCCTATCCCCAAACACGGATGATGTCCGAGATCGATCGGGGGAAGAGTTCCTAGGAGGTGTAATGACTGTGCCTCCACCAAACAACGAGGCCATTGTGGGTGCATCTGTGGGCATTTGAGGAGTTTTGGGCGTTGGGTACTCTCTACGAGAATCCTGCTCAGCCTTCCATCGCGTGAATCTTCTGAGCTCTGCATTTTGCCCTTCCTCGAGACCACACTTAATCACGACGATGCCCTCTCCAGCACCGTTGCCATCATCACCAGCAAAATCAACTTCTAGCCGTCTCCGCATGTCCCACCCTTGACATATCTTGCGGAAATGAGCTGGACGATAAGCAAGATACTTTTCTATTTCCAATGTCTCAGCGACAACTTGAGCTTTGGACAAACGCCGTTGCTTGGACGACCTCGGCGAGTAGCTGCCATGAGTCTCGGACTCATTATATGGATCGTCTCGGGCAAGACGACGCGAAGGCTCAACGAGATTCCAAAATGCAGAACGACCGGTATTCCAGGCATGTCTGATAGTGTCATCTTCCTTGACCTTGGCATCAACAAGAGGAGACCTAAGGTGCTCGGTGAGATAGAACACTTCCCCCAGAGCGTTTAGAGCAACAGCCCAGATTCGGCCAGAAGCTTTACGTGTTGGGCTATAAGCATCGTCGACCCTGAGGCTAATGATTGGAACGCCCGGACTGAGAACCCATTTCGCTGTCAACTGACCTTTAGGAATACGGCGTCCATGAGGAGTATCCGCACCAAGAGAGTAAGTTGTAACGATGCCCAAAGTTGATCCAGTCATGATTCCAACCAGGCCACTTGTAGAAACAGGAACAGCAGTCGATTGGGCAATCCAGACAGCAGAGATAGCTTCTGTAATTCCAGGAATGGTTGGTATACCACACCGATGATCAACAATATCATTTGGATGGTTTATAAAGCGGCCTCGCATTTCTTCTGTCGATCTGAAGTAGGTCTGGCCTCCTGGAAATCCTTCACCATAAACCATGCCAAAAGGTTGGCTGAGGTCCATTGAGTTCGGAAGCCCTGCGGGGCCATCGCCATATCCATACGGCTGCTCCCCGACAAACAGCTCCGCGAACTGTGGTAGAGCCTGCGGATCAGAAAGTCCCCAATTGTCCACCTTGCCAATATTGGGATCACTAGAGCAAGCTGCACCAAGTTCCTCGGTCCCATGAATGAAACGGGGCGACTTTTTGCCATTACTGAAGTTGGCATGGATGTGATTGACAGTTGCAAAAAGTTGGGAGCTGTATGTCACTACTGCGTTCGCGTTGTTGGCAGCACTGTTGGAGCGAGAGGAGGCACCGCGACCTGGAGCGATCTGAGCTGGCTTGCCACGAGCCAGGCTTCGAAGCAGCCTTGTCCGCAAAATGTATTCGCTGCGCCAGGAGGCAAGGCCAGTCAACCGAGTGAATACGCGTAGCTCCGATCGAAGTTGTTCCCGAACCTCTTGATCAGAACCGCGCCGATTGGTATGAATAGGTGCATCCGGGGTATCAATGGTATCCGGGCCAGGGAAGAACCGAGAAAAGGCGACACGCCAAGCGTGATGAGTGGTGACTAGACCGTAGAACTTTTTGGATACTTGAGAAACAATAGAGAGTGACGCCGCGGGTAAGTGAGATAGAATGTGAGTTAGGACCTCTGATAATCATTAGCATCTTGTCTGATTCTAGAGCGAAGCAATACGGGTATAACGTTGGTTCAATCTTGGGGAAACACACCATTCGGGAATTGATCTAGCTGGGGTGCGTCAAGTCTTCTGCCCTTCTTCTTGATTACTTTAAATCCGGGTCCCTCACTCTGCCTTCTCGGCGGCGAATGCGACAAAGCATTCTCATACTCCGAAATTCGTTGGAATGATGGTTTAGGTCGACTGTTTTCTCCACTTCTTCCGCCCAGACTCAATCGTGCCAATTCCTCTTGGACCCTTGGGCCATTGGATGGCGGGGACCCGGTACCAGGACTGGTACGATTTGAAGCTGCAAATCCCGCACGGTCTTCAACGAGAGGGCCGCGTAATTGCAAGTCTGCGGATTGCAGCTCTTCATGGTCATGAAAGCCATATTGGGAGTTGTCGTTGGTTTCTAGGGGGTTGATGTTGTTGGAAAGGGGTGTGGAAGTTTCGGTGGGCTCTGGCTGCATAAAATTGGGTCGTGAAAACTTGGGGTTGTAAGTTTGACTAGGCCAACAATATCTGGGCCAGTCTGTGAGGTGTAATTTGGATATTGAGAGTCGTGTCTTCCTTGTTGATGTTGTATTTATCGAAAAACTTTTGCTGTCGTTCGGTTTTGGGAGATGGGAGATTACCTAATAAGGATCCTTGTAATGCCAATCTCGGGATCGTATATTATTGCCTGAGGCAGCATGTTTGTATGCGCGTGTTAATACCTCAGGCCCTCAGGCCCCCAGCCTTTATCAAAATTCCGCTTTGGTTAACCTCAAGGCTGAAGGACTTCAGTCTTCAGAAGAACATTCCCAATCCAAATATATACAATTACAAAAATGGCATCCACGGCCCCTCCACCACCAAATGCAACGTACGTGTCATTGCACCCCGACACGTATCGTTGGCAAGCCGCTAATGTGGTAATTCATGTGTAGGGTCTATGTTCGCAACCTGGAAGAGCGAATTAAGCCGGCGCAACTAAAAGAATCGCTACAAGAACTCTTCAGCGAATATGGGGAGATTATCGATATTGTGGCTAAGACGAACCTGAAGGCGAAAGGACAGGCGTTTATAGTGTTTGGCGATGTGGAGAGCGCACAGAAAGCCATCGAGGAAGTGCAGGGCTTCGAGCTCTTTGGCAAGGAGATGCAGCTTGCATTTGCGAAGACACGCAGCGATGCTACCGTTAAGCGCACTGGAAATGAGGAGGACTTCGAGAGCCATAAACGCCGGCGGTTAGCGGAGAAGGGTAAGCCCATTCTTATTTCGCTCTTCATCCACTTCTATTTTTCCCTGCCTGAAATACCCGCTTCTAACTACGTTTCCGCGTATAATATCTGACGTGCATCTCCCCCACAGACAAGAAAAAGGCAGCCGAAGCGGCAGAGTCCCAGAAGCTTCTCAAGCGACCAGGTGTCCAGGGCGTTCCCGACGCGGCAGCCAGACCCATCAAAGCCCCTCGTGGTGCTGGTCTCAAATCTTCCAACCCAGCAGGCGCGGCTGTTATCCCAGACGAATATCTTCCTCCCAATAAGATCCTGTTCGTGCAGAACTTGGCCGATGAATACGAGGCCGAGTTGTCGGCGATCTTTGGGCGGTTTGAGGGCTTCAGGGAGGTCCGCTTGGTTCCTGGTCGGAGTGGTATTGCCTTCGTGGAGTATGAAAGCGAGGCGGGTGCTATTAGCGCCAAGGAGAATACGGCAGGAATGGCATTGGGTCCTGACGGACAGATAATTAAGGTCACCTACCAGAGACAGTAGAGGGAAGAATAATTGCACTTTAAGAAAGGAGTTAGGGGGCCAAAATGACTGATTGTATTGGATTCATAGTTGCCTCAACCTGATATATGAGCCCTGATGTTACACCGTGCTTGACGTTATTTCCAAATGAACCTATGCAAACGCTTACCCGGATTAAAAAATAACATCTGCATCTTCCTCGTCACCTAGTAGATCCCCGCCACTAGTTTCATTCTCCTTGTCATCGCCTGCCTTCTCCGCTGCTTCTCTCCTTAACTTCATCTCCACATCCTGTGCTGCAGTATCTCTTTGCTTCTTGTTTTGAACCTGTTCCAATGGTTAGCTAAGGCAAGGCTTGGGTATGAGTGAAGCATGCCTTCTTTAGACGGAAGAACTCTTCTCTGTCTAATTCATCAAGCTCAGAGTTGATATCTTGTAAACATTAGCTGGTAATCTGCAATATTGGCAGGTCATCTCCTACATTTGATTGTGTTCTCTGTCCTTGGAATGATCACATGCTCGCTATTAAACATTAATAGTTATACGTAATAGAATCGTCTTTGCGGTACTAACATGGCATTTACTAAAATATGTTAGCGATTAAACTGCAAAATAGGGTATGGTGATATTCTTACCTCTCCTGTTAACGACCTTAATAACCTCGTCCAAAATAACGAACGCAGTCTAAGAAGTCAGTTCTAGTCTACATGCACGCTGGAATCACGCCCACCTGTAAACTCGCAAGTTCGACCAACGTTTCCACAGCCCTAGCATATGTCTCTCGGCATCTCTGGACCTGTTGCCCGCCCTTTCCTAGACCTGTTAAGCCAAAGTCGCTGTTCCCCTCTGTGGTATAGCTTTCGAATGCTGGTAAGAAAACACCAGACACATTCTCTTGCTTCGTCCGTATTCGAAAGCGGGCCGATTTTGCGGATTCCTGGACTTGGTAGCCAATGTTTCCTCCAACCGCATATGTGACTTCTGCCAGCGAGAATGCTGCAATCTGCATGACTCTGCCCATCTTGCGTTTCGCCTCGTCAATCCGTCTCGTAATTTCTAGTCTCAGGTAAGAGATTGTATTAAAGTTTCAGGCTTTGGAATTAAATACCTCGGAATCGTCTGTAGAGAGCCGCGTTAGTGGTGTCCATTACTGTAGGGAGGAGGGGGGTTACTTGGTAAGTGCTTCACTCTTTCTCTTCAGCAGATCATGACCAGTCTGAGCTCCCTTGAGCTTCGCTTTCATCAGCCCAAGCGACTGGCGGGTTGGGAAAACCGCCTCTCGATTCTGGATAACGGTCAGTTGGATTGGATTCGGGGACGACACAGAGCTGGATATCTTGTCCTACCCCGGCTCCTGACATGCTGAAGGTATTGCGATCAACTTTAAAAAGCAAGTCTGGTTTAAGATCAGATTGACATTAACTTGGGTAAGGTATCCCTAGTCAAAGCGCTCAAATCTGTGAGCTTCGGAGGCGTTTTGGTAGCTGGTAGATAGCAGTGCAATCCAATGCTCCGTACTTCGTAAAGCTCTCCGACCTCCCACTACATCGAACGACAGGGGAGCACGTAGTAGGCGACCACACAGCGACGTTGCAGCCTTATCGCCTTGCGATACGCGCACAGCTATCCTAAGGCTCCCACGCTAAGCTTCCGCATGATTTCTTCAAACTGATCCGCGACTACAGACGCGCCGGAGCAGTTGAAGTCGAATGTGAAGAGCTTCCTTGTCGTCCCATTAATATATCCACGGTGGCTTCGCACAATCACGATTTGGCGCCAGGAAGAGAATGCCTGGTGAGCTTCTGCCCGCAATGGCTACACCCGGTGTGCCGAAGTCCAAGCTATCCCGAGGACAACCAGATCTATACTTGATAGTAAGCTCGAAATTTCCATTGCCGTGATCCTACGGCCATAGCTGACAAAACTACAGTCCGAAGAAGATACCATCTACGAGCAAGACATTCTGCGGGATCCTGGAACTCTAAAGCCGTGGTTGACATACGTCGAGTTTAAATTCAAACATGGCAGTGTGCATGAACAGGCTTACGTCCTCGAAAGGGCATGCCGGCAGCTGCCGCGGTCCTACAAGCTTTGGAAGATGGTATGATACGGCGTTCCTCTGATCTGGGAACATACCATAGCTAACTCTTATCAGTACTTAAATCTCCGAAAGAAGCATTTAAAACAGCTAAATCCCGCCATCTTCGCCTCCGAATATGCGAAAGTCAACTCCCTGTTCGAAAGAGCTCTCATTCTTCTCAATAAGATGCCCCGGATATGGGAAATGTACCTTTCATTTTTACTGCTTCAACCCATCGTTACCCTCACCCGACGAACATTCGATCGAGCGCTCCGAGCACTACCAATTACACAGCACAACCGGATATGGGCCCTATACCGCCCATTCGCCAACTCGGCATCAGGACAAACGGCCATCAATATATGGCGTAGATACATGCAGATTCACCCAGAAGATGCGGAAGACTTTATCGAGCTATTGATTGAGAATGGACGATATACCGATGCCGTTAAGAAATATATGGAAATATTAAACAACCCTAAATTTCGAAGCAAGAATGGAAAGAGCCACTACCAACTTTGGAGTGAGATGGTCGATCTGCTTGTTGACCACGCCAAAGAAGTGGAGACCGGGGATGAAGTGGGCATTGACGTGGAACGGATCATCCGAAGTGGTATCGAGAGATTTGCTGACCAGAGGGGGAAGCTATGGTCTGGGCTTGCCACTTATTGGATCACAAGAGGGAGCTTTGAGAAGGCTAGAGATGTCTTCGAAGAGGGGATCACGACGGTCATGACAGTCCGAGACTTTACACTAATTTTTGATTCGTATGTCGAATTTGAAGAGGCAATAACTGGTCAGTTGATGGAGGAAGCGGCGGCGCGGTCAGAAAAGGGAATCATGGATGAAAATGCGGATTTCGACTTGGATATCCGGATGATGAGATTTGAGCAGCTGATGGACCGACGGCCATTCTTGATCAACGATGTACTCCTGCGCCAAAATCCAAACAACGTGTCTGAATGGAATGTACGCATTGGGTTATGGGGAGATAATAAGCAAGAGGTGGTCAAGACATATACAGATGCAATTGCAGCGGTCCAGCCGAAGAAAGCAGTGGGCCGATTCCACGAGTTATGGGCTAATTATGCCAAGTTCTACGAGACGGGTGGTGACTTACGGAACGCCAGAGTCATCATGGAGAAAGCGGTTAAGGTGCCTTTCAAATCAGTGGCAGAGCTCGCTGATATGTGGATTGAGTGGGCTGAGATGGAGTTGAGGAATGACAACTTTGAGGACGCCGTGAAGATCATGGCTAAGGCAGTCCAGGCCCCTAAACGCTCTACTGTCGATTATTTCGACGAAACTCTATCCCCGCAACAACGAGTCCATAAGAGTTGGAAGCTCTGGAGTTTTTACGTGGATCTTGTTGAGAGTGTTAGTACTCTTGAGGAGACCCGCAAGGTTTACGAGAGGATATTCGAGCTTAGAATCGCCACTCCGCAAACCGTCGTCAACTATGCGAATCTTCTGGAAGAGAATAAGTACTTTGAGGAGTCCTTCAAGATCTACGAACGGGGCCTTGATCTCTTCAGCTACCCGGTCGCCTTCGAGATATGGAACTTATACCTCACCAAAGCCGTAGACCGCAAGATCGGCATCGAACGTCTCCGCGACCTCTTTGAGCAAGCCGTAGAAGGGTGTCCACCAAAATTTGCCAAAGTCCTCTATCTCATGTACGGCAACCTAGAAGAGGAACGGGGCCTCGCCCGCCACGCAATGCGCATCTACGAGCGGGCCACCCGCGCCGTCTCCGACGAAGACCGGGCCGATATGTTCAACTTCTACATCACCAAATCAGCCTCCAATTTCGGTCTCCCCTCAACACGCCCTATCTACGAGCGCGCCATCGCTGCGCTCCCGGACAAAGACGCTCGCGACATGTGTCTCAAGTTTGCTGATATGGAGAAACGACTCGGCGAGATCGACCGCGCGCGCGCTATCTACGGCCATGCATCGCAATTCTGTGATCCCCGCACGAGCCCTGGCTTCTGGACTAAATGGGAGCAGTTCGAAGTGCAGCATGGAAACGAGGATACATTCAAGGAGATGTTGCGTATCAAGCGAAGCGTGCAAGCACAGTATAACACAGATGTTAATTTTATTGCCTCGCAAGCACTGGCCAGGGCCAAGGAGGTTGCTGCTGGTGGCGGAGGTGCTCCTGAAGAAGGAGAAAGTGCAGCTGATGCTATGGCTGCGTTAGAACGGGAGGCTAGGGCACCTGTTGGTTTCGTCGCTGCTAGTACCGGGCCACAAGGAGGAAATATTCCCCAAGAGCATGCGGCGGTGGAGAAGAACCCCGATGCTATTGATGTGGATGGACTGGATGAGGATTAGAGCTGTATCGTGTATCGAGGGAAGGAAGAAGCAAATATGCATTAGGATGGGAGTTTATCATTTATTTCTTTGGACACGGGCATATTTGGGTTGATGGGCAGTGCTGTAACTGCCCATTTGCATGGATGGATCAATATTGGGCCTGGTGTTTTAAGGTGTTTTGATGTCGGGGATTCATCGTCTTTCTTCAAGGCGTGACCGAAGTTTTAGGTAGCCTACTCACCTTATATAAAGCTCAAGATGGTTTGAATTGTCCTCCTTGCTACATGCTTCCCCCTCCTTTGTTTACTCTGTGTTGTAGTGTGATTGTACTTGTTAGAATGGTTATAACACAATGGTAGAGCCAAAGGTGGAGAATAACGACCGAAACGCAACGAAATTATGCCGCCCAGCAGAATAACGGCAGAACCACGGTGGTGAATAACGGTCGTAACGCAACGATAATCATACCGCCAAGCAGAATAACTGACAGAAACCAAGGTGGTGAATAACGGTCGTAACGCAACGAAATCATGCCGCCAAGCAGAATAACTGACAGAAACCAAGGTGGTGAATAACGNACTGACAGAAACCAAGGTGGTGAATAACGGTCGTAACGCAACGAAATCATGCCGCCAAGCAGAATAACTGACAGAAACCAAGGTGGTGAATAACGATCGTAACGCAACGAAATCATGCCGCCAGGCAGAATAACTGGCAGAAACCAGAAGTAGTGAGCGGCCGAAATGCAACGAAAGCAGTACCGCTTAGCAGAATAGAGGTGGCAAAATTGAAAGTGGTAGGCGATTGTAACGCAACGAAGTCAATATGTCGCTGAGCAGAACAAAGGTGGTGTGCGGTCGTCACGCAACGAAACCATGCCGCCTGGCAGAATTAACGGGAGTGGACGGTAAGATAGGGGTTCCTATCTAGTCCTATCTTATAGCTGCCTACGTATGTAGTTATATAAGTGTGTTATCTTATATAACATAGTAAGCTCTATTAATGGGAAACCAGGGGAGTAAAGAGGTACTAAGTTAAGTAAATGCTACGAGTAGTTCCTGTTGGGCATATAATTCTCTATATGATAATATAATTCACATATTCCCACCCATCCTAACTCAGCACATCCAAATTCACCGACAGAACTCCAGTGGGTCAGCCTATATCAGCCATTTATTCCTTGACTTCACTTAACGCCATATTTTCCCCTTTTAGACAGGCCAAGCCCTTGTTACTGCCATTCCCATAAGCTCTCGCCCTATACCTACATCCCGCCAGGGCTGTCGCTCCTCTTCCGAAAGTTAAGTGGACTTTTACTCTTCGGACTCTTGCCTAAGCTCGCATCCCTCGAGCTTGCGCTACCACGCCGATCCGGATCTCCCCATCCCTTCTCCGCGAGCTTGGCGTGGTATGCTGCGTCGCGATCATAATTGCGGGTTACGCCGTGGGCGTCGCGTGTGCCCTGTGTGGCATAGAGACTACCTTTGCGGCTGCCGAAGCGGGAGGGCGGGGTTTTGCTGGCGTCTTAAGGGTTTTGTTAGTGAGAGCTTTTGGTTATCCGTGGGTTTATAGATATTAGGGTTGGAAAAACTTGTTTAAATCCTTGAGGATCGCTTCATGATGTGATGTGACATAACGAAATGGAAAGAGAGGGAAACCATACCCCATTCATCACCATGATGTTCTTGTGAAAGGGGTTGCGGCGTGGTTGGTGGTTCTTTCCTGCCAGTTGCAACAGGGGAGCTTCTGCGTTCAGGGGGCCCTGTATCATTGCGTTGACTGTTGCTGGCGCTTCCTTGACCCGGGTCGTTGAAAGGATCAAAGTTCGGGAATGTAGCGTTCCCTATTTCTGTGCGAGGGCGAGGTGTTAGTGGGCGAGATGATGATGGTCAAGAGAGGAAGCACAAATGAAGACTGTGAGTAGGTAGGGCGGATGTAGATGGGTTGAAGCTAGACTGAAGCATTTGGATGCCTGGACGAGGTAATGGAAATATGAATCCAAGCAAAGGGAGAGGACGAACTCTTGGGTACATTCGTAGTGCTCATTGTGAACGAAATTGTTGTATTTCTTGAATATATCTTGAAGCCCTCGAGGTGAAATATATGATAAGGAAGGGATTGAATGGTCGATGTCGAATTTACCTTTGCTAATAGGGGATGACGTAGGAAACATCACTTGATGTGGTCTGATACACGGTTGGTAGGTACCTAGCTGTTGAGCAAGCGTGGTCACGTTCAAACCCATCTCGTGCAAAAGAATCGTGGAGAAATAATCATTTGATTGTATATCCTTGAGAATATTGTAGGACAACAGAAATTATGATAGAAAGTATTTTATAGAGCTCCTTACACTCGCTTTTCGTTCATTGCCTACCCAAGGTGGCTTCGGAGCAGGAGGCACTTGGCTTTGTGGGAGGGCACCGTCTCGGCAGTCCGCGATTCTTAGGGTCCCATTCCTGAAGTAGCAGGAAAGGCTAGTTCCTGAGTGTATAAATTATAGGATTCGGAGGGATATTTGGCCACACTTCATCCATTCTTTTCCGCACTGGTGGTATATGCTTCAATGCTTCATTGTGACCGAGTGAGCCGAGCTTTCCAGAAAAGGGGGCATGCCAATTCACGTGATGACGTGTTGAACCTCGGCAGCGGATAAACGTCCAAACGTCTCAGCCTCGTCATAACTTCATACAAGTTATCATCCATCAATTGCACTTCTCTTCCTCCAACATACTGTCACAATCGCTCCAAGATGGAGTTTATGACAGCCCTCCAGTCGACCTTCGACGACCAGAAACCTTCCCTTTTCGAAATCCTCTCCGAGGCCCAACTCTCCGCCCTCCTCCCTCCCTCGCTCCGATACCTCCTAACCGTTGCAACCCATCGCCATCCGCGCTACCTCCTCCGCGTACTAAACTCCTTCGATGAGATATACGCTGTGTTGATGGTAGTAGTAGAGCGCTACTACCTACGAACCCATGGCGGCGGGTTCACGGAAAATTTCTATGGGCTAAAGCGCGAGAAGGCCCTACGCGGGGGTGAAATCCCGCGAGCGCAAGTCGGCGCACCAGGACATGTACGACAGGCACTACAATTGAGCGAGGGAGACATATGGCGGAATTTAGCAGTCATGGTGGGACTTCCGTACATCAAGAGAAAATTGGACGAGAGCTACGAAATCAATACGCCGCGGGCGCTGTTGGGCGGGAATTATACCCGCATGCCTGCAAACCCGACAATCAAGCAGCGGATATTGCATTATTATCGCTGGTTTCTAAGGAATGTATATCCTAGCGTGAATGCGGCATATTATTTCGCCGTGCTGGCGTTTAACGTCGCGTATCTATTTGATAATAGTCGGTTTCATAATCCCTTCTTCTGGCTGATCGGGACGCGGATGAGGAGGCTGGGTCAGGAAGATTATAAGGCTATTGCTGCATTGCATGAACCTAAGGGTGCTACTGCTTCCGGTGCGGCTGGAAGCAACTTGGGGGTCAACAGTTTGTTCAGTCCGAGGAGAATTGGGGAACAGGCTCTAAGCAGTCTAAAGATTTTGCTTCCGACGAGTATCTTTGCGCTGAAGTTCTTGGAGTGGTGGCATGCTTCGGATTTTGCAAGGCAATTATCACGGAAGGCGACGGAGGGTATTGAATTACCGCCCCCTATTGTTTCGGGACTTTCGACCTTATCAACAAGGTTCGGACCTCAGAAAAAGTCAAGTTCTTCGGAACTATCACAACCCGAAGACGAGAAGAAAGAAGAAAGGGAAATACAGAAACCCGCCATAGCGGCAGTTTCCCTATTACCTATATACACCGTCCCAATCCCCGAGGATTCAGAGTTATGTCCTATCTGCGAAGGTGAGATCACCACCACGACAGCGTGTCAGACGGGGTTTGTATATTGTTATACATGTATCCATCGATGGGTCGAAGGAAACCATGATAAACAAGAGGAATTTATGAAGGGAAACGGGGGGAAATGGGAAAGTGGGAAAGGGAGGTGTGCTGTTACTGGGAGGAGGGTGTTAGGTGGGACGGAGGGTTTAAGACGGATTATGGTGTGAGAAAATAGAATCTAATTTTATATATTATGTGATGTTATACCCCGGATAGAATGGATAATGACGGTCTCTAATGAGGTTGAGGAGGCGGGTTCTTGAGCGCTGAATAGAACTCTTATACCAAACCCCCCCAAGCTACAAAAGGCGGACATAACCTCTCCGTCTAAGCTGAAGCATAAGCGGTACAGAACGGGACTTCGGTGCAGACTTGCTAGAATCCAGGTGTTCTTTAGAGCCGGCATTAGAACCTGATTCTAATTCTGATACGGATTTGGACTGTGATTCTAATTCTACTCCCGTTCTAAAATCTGTGCTTCCTTAATCTAGGAGAGAGAGGGGTATGAAACCGCGGCTGAATGTCTGGCAACTGCCAAGGAAGAACGCAAAGATCAAATTAAAACACAATATGAACACCAAGATGATTAGCTAACAGGAGAGAAGGTGACTGTTCGTTAAACTGGCAGTGTAAGAGCGGAACAATGAGATAGTAGCAGCCTGTGAAATGACACAATGTTGAAAGAGAACATTCGTATTTCGATTCGGTATAGATTCCCTCTTATCGTACAGCAATTACAGTCACAAAGTGGTTTATTTTAAACAGGGGTATCTAAGACTTTCCATTTAATCAACCTCTATTTAAAGTATTTCCCGAGCCCCTATGACTGTTAGCGATATTTCTACATCTCGGCGAGTACGGATTGAACTTACTTCGGATTTTCCTCTACGTACTCATCCCATGCCCTAGCCTTCACAGTTTCTGCGTCCGCTTTCTCATAGTTATCCTCATCAGGCTCTGGAGATCTCCCACTCGCCTCACCGCCACCCTCGATTATGCCACCTCGAGCCCTCTCCTCTTCTAGGTACTCATCAATCGTCATAGTCGGCAGATTATGACCAGATCTGAACACCCCATCCTTCAGCGATTGTCTGTTATCCAATAACGTAAATGGCCTTAACGGCTTGCCCCCTTGGCTTAAGATGGGCCCAGTGTTGCTGCTGGACAGCATATCTCGCCGATCCAGGCGATCGGAATAATCTTCTGTACCCCGCAACCCCATTCGTTCTCTGTAATCCTGTTCCAAATTTTCTGGGCCAGCGGGAGGTGTAGGAGGTGCCATTGCGAGGACTTCGAGTTCACGGTTCATGGATTCGAGTTGTTGGAAGGTGTTGTGTGTGCATAAAGTAATATTTGCTAGGTGCAACTCTCGAACGGCATCGTCATCGTTTTGGAGGTAGGCGGGATTTTGCTCGAGAAACTGGATCAAAATTAGATAGCTCTTGACCATGAAATTGCTCGCAGATTAACCTCGATTTTCTTCTTTAATTCCTTCTCCTGTTTGAAATTTGCTATTTTCGCATTTCGTCTAGCATTGGGATCTGTAATCGAAACGGTGGAGAAAGAGGTCGGGTCCTCTGTATATGTTTGGTATGATTTCTTGTCAGGACCGCTGAGTATCTCATAGTGATCCAGCAAGCTGAGGTATCGTTCGTAGGCATCCCGCGCTTTCTGAATGACGCTTTTGCGGTTCTCAGTGCAGGTTCGGAGAATCAGTTCAGCGAGGCGGTAATTGATGACAAGATACCTTCAAGCGTTCCGTGTCAGTACATAGCCACAGCTGCGCGTTTAAAAGGAATAGAAAAGGTAACCATACTGGAGGTCTCCCGAGGTTAAGTCCTCCAACGTTTCGTTTGGGCTGAAGAAAGATAGACGACCGGCAAGCTTGAGACAATCGTCGTATGTGGTAATAGCTGAGGCGAGGTTCTGCTGGTAAGTGGCGGTGTTGCTGTCCCATGAGGACTCGAGTTCTTTTCTCTGACGTTCCGCAGAGCTAAAAAGAGATTTGATGCTTTGTTCTTCCATAATTTATAAGGTCTCCGAGGTGGAGTTGGGGTATTAGTAGTGTATTGTTCGCGGGAGCACGTTGGTGACGCTCGTTTGTTGGTGTTGGTGTTGGTGTTGGCGGGGCAAGTTGCCCGCAACACGGTTTTGCTGCGGCAAGATCCTCGCTCCAGCGTTGTCCGTCGCTTCCATCTCAATTCACCATTTAAACTCTATCTGGTCCTCTACATCTATGGCCTCCTGATATGATCCGAACAATCTAAATATAAACTTCCCCAGAATTCGCAGTTTGTCAAGCAACGTACAGCTCACGCTTTCTATTTCTCACAGTACTCTTCACCTTTCTCTTATGTCTCATATGCTTGAGTACCATGCCCATCGCCGGTTACCTGCAGCACATATGTTTGCTAGCAGACGATTGTTTGCTTCCGATCTTTGACAATAACAGCGTACTGATCGATAACAGTATCCTAGATCCTACATCATGTATTCCTGAATTAGCCTCCGGTTCTCTGGGGGATATGATGCTTTTGGACGAAACAGTAATCTTGTACGAGGCTCACAAGGCTGAGATTGCCGGATGCTCATTCACCGGCCCATCCACCGGCCCATTCACCAGTGCGGATGATAGTGATAGATAGAATCAATCTAGCAGCTATATTGCCAGCATTACTATCAACTCAACAGCTTCTTCGACCCCGTTGTTGATAGACAATCCGATAGAGCTCGACACCACGTCTCTAGCCGCTCCTCCAGCCACCCAAGCTGAACAATTCTTTCAAACAGTCGCTATTTTGAGGGAAGCGGATATACTTACTGGTCACCAAACTGGCAGTGCCACGAGGGAGCTAGAGATTCCGAAGATGACTCAAGATGCACCCCATGCCAATGAGGTCCTGGTTTCGACAACAGCGCTTGCCACAAGAACTACTGAAGATGTCATCGCCGACCTCAAACGTCCAACTCGCAATACACATGCACTAACACAGAAGCCAGAATATGAGACTGCGTCTGTAATACCCTTTGAGATTCCATCCGAGCCTAATAAGCTAGCCGCCAGCGAGCATTCTCCAGGCGATGATGACGAGAATCTTGAACACCACTATGAGGATGGGGATGAGGATGAAGAGGACAATATCCAGGGAGAAAGGCAGCCAAGAAAGATTACTGAACGGCAACGAAGATTGAATGTGATTGCCGACCTATACTTACAAGATAAACTACGGAACCCAAGCGCAGATATCAATAAGGTAGCTCCGGGAGACGAGGCAAACCAGTCAAAGAGATGGCTTGTTAATCAGTCTGAGAGCCGTCAAATAATTTCAAGTCCACGGGAGTATCAAGTTGAGCTTTTTGAAAGAGCAAAGGAGAAGAATATCATCGCTGTACTGGACACAGGTCAGAAATATTCCATGCTGCCACACGCGCTGCTGACGTGAATAGGCTCTGGTAAAACTTTGATTGCCGTGTTGCTGCTGCGACATATATTTGCACAAGAGCTTGAGGATAGAGTTTTAGGGAAACCCCACCGCATATCGTTCTTCCTCGTAAGCCATTGCTCGTGGCCGTATTTTCGGATAGGCTGACATAGGCAGGTTGACTCTGTTACCTTGGTATACCAGCAGCATGCGGTTCTCAAAGCTAATCTCGACCAGCCAATGAATATGTTCTGTGGAGAGATGGGTTGCAGGCTGTGGAATCGAAAGCAATGGGAGAAGCACTTCGCTGAAAACACGGTGATTGTCTGCACAGCAGAGGTGCTGCGACAATGTCTTCACCACTCCTTTATATCGATGGACAGGATCAACCTACTCATTTTCGATGAGGCACACCATGCGAAAAAGGACCATGCCTACGCTCGAATCATCAAGGACTTTTATATATCCGCACCTAGTACAACCCTGCTCCCGAAGATTTTTGGCATGACGGCATCGCCCGTTGATGCTCGTGTTGATCCAAAAAAGGCTGCTGCAGAGCTGGAAGCAATATTGCACTGCGAGATTGCCACGGCTGCAGATCCTAGCGTATTCCAATACTCGCTCACATCAAAGCAAGAGCATCTGGCCAAGTATCATGGATTGGGGCCTAGGTTCCAGACCCCACTTTACAAAGATATGCATGCCCGGTTGAAATCTAATCCTGTTCTTCGCAAGCCTCTGCTGTTCGCTCACGAAGCTTCCCGGGAACTAGGAGCTTGGTGTGCGGACCAAATGTGGCAATTTTGCATGGCCGAGGAGGAAGTAAAGAAATTACTCGCAAAGACCGAGAGCAGATTCCTCAAAAAAGCGGTTTCTGACCCAATTGCACTGTTAGAGCAAAATAAGTCAGATCTGCGGAAGGCCCAGGATATTGTCAAGGCCCATACTTTTGTCCCGCCAGACTTCGACCCAAAGAGATCCACATCGAAAAATCTTTCTTCCAAAGTCATGCTCCTCATCAGCTACTTGAGGGAACGCTTTGAGCGCCCTACTGACGACAAATGCATCGTTTTTGTGAAACAGAGGTACACAGCCCGTCTTCTAGCCAAGTTGCTCTCGGAGCCGAATATCAAAACTCCTAATTTGTTTGTGGGAATGTTGGTAAGTGGTATTTTATTACATTTTGGTATTCTATGTTTGAGGCACAGTTTTGAAAGTTTGTTTTGCCAAGTTTGCTAACATGATCCGTTAGGTTGGAGCCGGAACAGGAGGTGCGGGCGACCTGAACACGACTTTCCGCCAACAGGTTATTACAATGATGAACTTTCGCAAAGGTATTCTGAATTGCCTTTTTGCGACATCTGTTGCCGAGGAAGGCCTTGATGTCCCAGAGTGCAACCTCGTTATTCGCTTTGATCTCTATGACACATTAATCCAATACATTCAATCCAGGGGTCGAGCCAGACATGCGAATTCCAGGTACATTCACATGTGCGAAGCTGGAAACCAAGAACACCAGCACATCATCCGCGAAGTCCGGATTAATGAGGGCATCTTAAAAAAGTTTTGCAATGAGCTTCCCGGGGACAGAAAAATTACCGGTAACGATTTTGATATGGACCACTTTTTGGCAAAGGAGAGGCATCACCGTGTCTACACACAAGCAGTAACTGGCGCGAAACTTACCTACAAAATGAGTCTGAGCGTGCTTGGGAACTTCGTTGACTCGTTGCCCCCTGGTCCTGACAACAACCCTCTGGCGGAATATATTGTGACAATCCAGAGCAAGCAATTCATTTGCGAAGTTATTCTTCCGGAAGGAGCCCCTATCAGACGAGCTATTGGTCGCCCAGCGTCTACAAAGCAAATCGCAAAGTGCTCAGCCGCATTTGAAATGTGCCTCCTTCTCGTAAAAGGCAAATTCCTGGACGAATGGCTCCTTCCAATATACACTAAACAACTCCCAGCGATGCGCAATGCGTTGCTGGCAGTTGACTCTAAAAAGAGGGATTCGTATGATATGAGGACCAAACCGGCATTATGGTCCACTTGTGGATTCCCAGAAGAACTTTTCATTACAGTCCTAAGCTTGGGCAGTCCACAGTCATTGGACCGGCCGTCTCAACCTCTGGCTCTATTGACTAGATCGAAGTTACCCAATCTTCCATCCTTTATCCTTCATTTTGGAGCAGGAAAGAACTCACCAGTCGAATGCATATCTCGTACTCGGCCAATTAAACTTTCGTCAGCCAACGTGAATCAGATCAACACCTTTACACTATGTATATTTGACGATGTGTTCAGTAAGGAATATGAATCCGACCCCTCAAATATGCCGTATTTCTTGGCTCCTCTCAAACCGGATGTGTGCCTGGATGACCAAACAGAGCCATCTGATTTGATAGCATGGGATATCCTTGAAAGTGTCGAACAGAGGCAAGAGTGGAAAGACAAACAGTGGGAGCTCAAGCTATGGCAAACGGAACCCGATAATTTCTTCAACGATCTGTTCATCGTTGATCCTTGGGATGGTTCGCGCAAGTTGTGGTGTTTAGGAGTTAACAGGCAGTACAAACCCTTGGACCCAGTTCCACCCAATACTGCTCCGCGGCCTGGTACTAGGAAGAGGAATGATAATATCATGGAGTACAGCTGTAGTCTGTGGGATAAGGCAAGAGCTCGCAGAACCTTTGATGAGAACCAGAGAGTCTTCGAAGCGGAATTGGTCCCTCTACGTCGGAATCTTCTCGACGAATTGGATTCACCTGATACCGAGGCCCCTAAGAGGTGCTTCATTGTCTTAGAGAGTTTGAAGATCTCTGGTGTAAGTTTTCTTTCCTTGTGTTGTCTGCACTTCAATATTAATAGTTCCAGCTTCCCGCTAAAATAGTCGCCATGGCATATCTTTTCCCTGCCATTATTCATCGGATCGAAGCATATCTCATTGCTCTCGAGGCCTGTGATCTTCTCCATCTCAAAATCAGTCCCGATCTTGCTTTAGAGGCTGTGACCAAGGACTCTGATAATTCTGCCGATAATGATGCCGAGCAGATAAACTTTCAGCGGGGAATGGGCAATAACTACGAGCGTCTTGAGCTCTTAGGAGATTGCTTCTTGAAGATGGCAACAACGATATCTTTATATGGCATCCACCCTGACAACAGCGAATATCTATACCATGTTGACCGCATGCTTTTGATTTGCAACAAAAATCTATGCAGCAATGCCATTAAGCTTAAGCTCTACGAGTACATCCGATCTCAGAGCTTTAGCCGCCGCGCCTGGTACCCGGAGGGCCTTGTGTTGAAGAAAGGGAAAACTGCCACTGCGCCTAGGAGCCATAAACTTGGCGACAAGACCATCGCCGACGTCTGTGAGGCGTTTATCGGTGCTGCACTTTTGACCCACCATGAAACTAAAAACATGGATAATGCAGTGAGAGCAGTCACTGAGGTGGTGTCGAGCGAGAACCATAAGCTCAACGCATACGCGGACTACTATAAGCTGTACAAAAAGCCTCAATATCAAATCGCACAATCCACAGAGGTGCAGCGAGACATGGCTCGGCAGGTAGAGCAGAAGCACTCATATCATTTCCAGTGGCCTCGACTTCTTCGATCTGCTTTTGTGCATCCATCTTACCCTTACTCATATGAGCACATTCCAAGTTATCAACGCCTCGAGTTTTTAGGCGACGCATTGCTGGATATGGCCTGTGTTAATTTTCTCTTTCACCGGTACCCAGGTAAGGATCCGCACTGGCTAACAGAACATAAGATGGCGATGGTATCCAACGCATTTCTAGGCTGTCTGTGCGTGTCCTTGGGATTCCATACACACCTGCTATCCTTCAGCGCGTCGGTCCAGAAACAAATTAGTGATTATGTTGTGGAGATCACCGAGGCTAGAAGTCAAGCTGAGGATGATGCCGTTCGTGCTGGCAAAGGTCGGGAAGAGTATTCCCCCGACTACTGGACAGCGGTTCGACAACCGCCAAAGTGCCTTCCCGACATCGTCGAAGCTTATGTTGGAGCTATATTTGTTGATTCCGAGTACAACTACTCGGAGGTTGAAAATTTCTTCGACAAGCATATCCGGTGGTACTTCGTTGACATGGCCATTTACGACACATACGCAAACAAACACCCGACCACCTTCCTCACAAACTTCCTCCAAGTTAACATGGGATGCGCGGATTGGGTGGTTACTGTGAGAGAAATCAAGTCGGTGGATGGTAGCAAGCCAACGATCATGGCCATTGTCATCATCCATGAGCAAACGATTGCACACGCATATGCGGAAAGTGGCCGATATGCCAAAATTGCAGCAGCGAAGAATGCATTGAATATTTTGAAGGGGCTGCCGTTGACGGAATTTCGACAGAAGTATTGCTGTAGCTGTCGCCTAGGTGATGCTGAAGAAGTGGCGGCTTCAGATTTCCATGGAACCGCAGTGTGACTGGGGGAAGGTTGCGGACAGGGGAGCTTACGTTAGCTAGTAATGATGACATGACAAGATCGCTGGTGGCAAATTTTCTAAGTATCATAACAGGGGATGTTCCTCATTGGACAATTGATACGATGATCTCCGTGCTTGTTGGCCGCTTCGCATTTGCCATTTGCGGCGCTCAAGGCGCTGCGGGAGTAACCGACTAAACGGTTATCACACTACATACAGGTGTTGGCAAGTTATTAATAGTCCCCCAACGAAGTCACAGAGGATACTACTTCGTACGTACATATGCAGCATCGTCGGCTTCCTCTTTGGACCTGAGCGGTTTGCCGTTCTACGTGAGCTGAGTCTTGTGCCCCCTACACCGCTTTGTTAAACTCAGCATACTTCGTACAGAGGAAATATCCCCTTTTGGCTCCCTTCAATATCGGTTTTGCTTTCCTGGCTTCTATGTATAAAACTTTACCCCTAATGCTTGTTATATTGAACGCTGCCACGTTTTTTAGCCTATAAAAATGGTTGGGTGACATTGAGCAAGGAATTAGCTCGAGCTCCTCTCAATACCCCAACATGGATTTCTCATATTTGACACACTTGATTAATAAATGGAGAGTTTGGAACTTGTCCAATGTCACGGGTTATCCCGTGCGAGTGTATACGCATAATCCTCAACTCTATGTGAATAATTTGTGTAAAATGGAGCAACTGGGTCATCACTTTGGGTGTAAGAATGTTATGACTGTGCTGATCTCTATCCGTTACTTTCTCTTAACCGTTTCTTGTTATCCTCAGTAAATTCATCTCGTCTCAATCGCCCTTCAATGTCTCTTCGGCCTGACGTCCAGTTCACGCTGGACTGGCGACAGGGTAGGTGGCGTGAGCCTCAACATATATCCAGTGTAGGCCCGACCCGACCCTGATAACAAGCGGTCTGTAACCCTACTGGAACATCCTTCCGTAGGTAGAACTCATATCATACCATAATCCAGTATCACTTTTCAATACCTCAATAGCGCCTATAATCACAAAGCCGGCCACGCTTTGTTGACGGTCATCATCGACAAGAGTCCCTTCTCATCTAGTTCTTTACAACATTATCAAACGGAGAAGTACCAAAGCCACGATGGCTAGTAAGACACGTTGAGATACCAAAATTATATGCTGCCAAATACGGGCGGTGGGTCCATCGTACGTCCCAGATTCAAGATCCTGTGCAATGCCCGTATTCCCCAGGAAGACGGACCAAGTATGAGTAAAAACCAAGGTCATGAATGGAGCCAGCATCACTGTCAGGATCCAGTGGTTGGTGTAACGCCCCTCTGGCAGAACCATGTACTGTGAAAGCGTACCCGCGGATAAGAATCCTATCGTGATGATGCAAAATGACGTACGATCCCGAGTTCTAGGAAATTCGGAGAGCTTCTGCTCAAGAAGGTCGAAGTTCAGCTTGGCATTGAAAAACCATAAGAGCGCCAGTTGCCAACCAGAGAGCCAGTCTCCCATGCCGAGGAAAAACGACGGGCCTGAAATGCACCACATTGCGATGGAAAGAAGGCCGGTCTCTTTCCATGTCCTATTGTCACAAAACGTGATCAGGAAGTACAGAGAGGTAAGAAACGCAGCCCATATGGTGTTCATGACCAACGGTCCAGAATATTGGTCTCTGAATTGGTCCCACAGGCATTTCCAGTAATTAATGAACCCGGAAATGTTTTTCTCGGAAGGTGTAGCATTCAAGGGCATAGTATTCAAAGGAAATGCGTTAGCAACCCGGAGATTCCCAATCATAATTGCGATGGCTGCACTAAGTGCTTGGTCTTTCCTCCGAAGCAACTTCGCGACCAGTCGTTCCAAGCGCCTCCTAACTGCACGGGCGTAGTGACCGAAGCGGCTAACGGATACGTCGATGGCCGAGAGAGACTTTGGATAGTAGGAAAGCTGCTGTAAAGGGTTGGACTTCACGAGAATTGCAACAATATGATAGAGTCGGCCGGTGGTACGCGCTTTATCGCTGGCATTTGAGTACCAAGGCGAGGCATCCCGAGTCCAACGTCGAGCAAAGTGATACCATCGAAAACCATCACCACCCCCAAGATCCTCTAGGCATTCTATCCAAATGTTTTCGAACGCGGGGATATTTTCGCATACCAACGCCATCATTGAGTAGTGATCATCTAAGCGTACAGGAAAGTAAATCCTGAGGTGTTCGAGGAAGTAGCTAATGTGATTGTGTATGAGTGTTCCGTGGAGTGCGATCAGCTTCTGCCATTGTTTGTTACTGAGCGTCGATTGTGCGTCAGGTTTAGCAAGTGTAGCCAACTTATTAACAGCTGCATTACCTATCCACCTAACTATACCAAGGCCAATTCTGATGGTATGGAGTTCTTCAACTAACTGTTGTAATGTCGGACTCGTTTCTGGCCGAGGAGTTACATCGGATTGATCCCCCTTCGAAACTGGCGATTTGGAAACCCCTTGGACGGCGTTTTGGGTTGGCTTGGGAATGGGTCGAGATAAATGTTGCCGCGCCATGCACAGACGGCATCTTCTATCTCTAGTAGACGGTCTTGATCTTCGACGAGGTGGCCCTGACAATCCACCGTCGGAGACTCTTGGCCCTATTGCTATTTAGTAGGCCAACACTCATAGATGGTGGAGAAATAGCCTACGTAGGTCCATTTTCCCTCCTGATGCCCCCCAGACTCAAGCAGCCGTTACAGTAGTAGAGTCTTTCTCCAATTTGTGTTGCGCCTACAGAATGGAGCTGGGAATGAAGGGAGTAGATCCTCTAGGAAGCAGGTCAACGGAATTCCGAAGCTCGGTGGAATTTAGAGGCGCGATACGGCGTCGAGGTGAATAGATGTGGTTGCTGTGAGCTCAAATAATCACCCCAGCTTGAAGGCTCGGTTGTCCGCCTCGCATTGCTGCGGCTCCTTGAGAGAGCCTTCAGTAGTCGGGCTCACTTGTCGACAACGAGGCTGAACTGACGATAGCTCTATCTCAACGACTTCTCCAAGCTGTGACTGACGCTCGATCCCACCAGATAAAGAAGATATAACTCGATGATTCATCGTGGACCGTCTGAAAATACTCTGCCTAACATTTGTCCATCTTCAATCCACCGGGAAGTGCGCGACCCTTCCTGGCTGAATACCATCCCCAGATCCCACGAAACCGACGATATAGTCGATATTATCGCAGTTTACGATATGGATGGAGCTCCGTGTGCCACTTGGACAGCTGTCGATTCCCTCCACTGCCTGACACCGCAGCCCTCGGATTCAGTGAAGCCTGTGGAAGCTCGAATACCTATGAATAGAAATAACGCCCCAACACAAAATTCCAGAGATCTTCGGCGTAAAGAGCAAATGAACACGCAACCATACAGGTTACGCTCTCAGTGCTGGCAGAAACGGTCATATGCATACGGCGTGAGGAATACAGCATCAATAACAATGGCTGGGTGGTGCGCCACCATCATCCATTGTTTTTGCCCTTTTCAGCACCATCGCTCATCGCCCTTGGAGGAACAACGGATGAATGGCTGGGGGCTACATATCTCAAATCGACTTGCACGTCCTACTATTGTAGGATGGTGGAAGGACACTATACATGCAAGGGCCATGGGGAGCGGGAAAAACAAGACTTTGGAGAATGTAGTGGTATGAACAAAGAAAACAAGTGGCAGACCGTGAAGAGATGCTAACTGCCGTGCAATAGAAGCAAATCTCACACAAACTCGAAGGTGTCTACATACCTCGAATCATCGAAAATCCCCCACCGCCACTATTCATCGCTGCATGCATCGGCTTTGCGTTTGCAATAGCAGCCTTTCGACATTCACACAGACACAATCGATTCCAGGACGATATTTTGAGGACTGGCATACTGATTGGAATAGGCATGGCTTCCATGTCGGATGATTTCCTCCTGCGGGTCAAGAGCTTGATACCGTGCTGTGTTCTATTTGCGCTCATTTTGAGCGCGCTGGTTCATCACATTTCGGATTTATTTTCCCAGAAGCAACATTGTTGCGGTGATGGAAGTGTGGCCGATGAGAGGATGTAGACAGAGTGTGATGAAGGGCGGGAGAAAATTTGAGGTTCGGGTTTGAGATATTTCCAAGGATACTACCCGTTGTTACGAGGCCAAGGAGCACAACCTACATACCTTATTAGGTAGGTGGTCAACATAGGCACCCATCGTCTGTCTCGTGCCCTTGATGTTGAGGGTCGACGTCCATCCGCAAGAAGAAAGCTTGCAGCCAAGCTCAAGCTCTTTATTATATAATACGTAGTACTATTAAAGTATAATAGACTATTACGTACCTACTGAGCTTACGCCGTGCATTTGATTTCATACGATGATCCTCCTTACTCTCGATATGAAGGGGTACTTACGTTGAGGCACAAAATTGTACTAATTACGGAGTACCTTGGCATTACTTAATTGACCTAATCGCATCTAGAGTAGTAATTTATTGATTGAGTTGGGCGGGATTATTACGAAGTAGCTCAATGCGAACCTGTCACTCCCGCGGTGGCAGTCTCGGGCAGACATTCCTCTTTGGCGATATGAGCGATATCTGGAAAACAATCCTGGGTTTGAGTGGGATTATATAGCACAATCAATGTTTTAAAAATAAACTTATTTATAGATCCATGTCTGCTCTACACCCGCGAAACTCATGGTTTTGAATTATCAGTTTTGATGGTGCGAAGGATGGCCCATCGTGCTTAAGTTACATGTACTACGTAAGGTAGTTATAGCTCTCTTACAGGTACGTACAACGAACCAGCCTCAGAAACCAGGAGGAGTGATATTGGGCGGATAAATGTAGCTGAGACAGAATGACAGATAGGTATGGTCTTCATCATAGCAGATGCAACAAGTGCATAGCGGTTAAGCTATTTCCCACCTACCTTTAGAGAAGGCCTGTTTAGGTTTATGTTTACACCATGTTCAAGCGCGTGCGTGCTGTGGCCGAAGTCCTGCCAGAGAACTTGCCGAAGATTTATTAGGCTCCGCTCATTATCACTACAACAGCCGCCACCATCCTGCTAGGACGTGATCGCTGTCGCTCAGAATGGTATCATTGCTGATTCTTCCCAGACTCCCCTGCGGCCCTATACGAAGTACCTTCCTCGGTACTCGTATACTGTTCTCGTGCCCTGCGGTCGAGTAATAATAGCTGCTGGCGTGCTGTGCCGTGATCAATACTCCTAATCGATACAATCTCTCGTTCCTCGTACGAAGTACACCTCGCTCGTACTACTCATCCCAGTGCAGGTGAAACGGTTGGCCGAACCCCCCGAGCCCTTCTACTCGGTGAGCCTCAAGCTGACATCTGGTAGCAGCGAACAGCCAGCATATTGAAGCAAACGCAACCGTTCGGATTTCTCCTAACGGGGACTAAGCTGGGCTTATTCTCTATTTCCAACCAACCAGCGGTCTGTGCGCTTATTGCAATGCAAGTACGAGCTTTTCACGTATTATTGTGTGGGCTTGGGGATTCGGGTTCATCAGACGTCCACAATCCTACTCTGCACTTGTCCGGTTTGCGTACATACTACTATGTACTTGACGGTGGGAAAGTACAGTACCGATACTCTGATACTTAGCAATACGAGATAGCCTGGCTGATTGGCGCTTTGTGGGGAACAAGCGACGGGGCGAATAGCAAGTGCTTACTCTCTACGCCGTCCGTCGACTTCGACCCAGACTCGCGGTTTTGTCATCTTACTTTTGACTCGGCCATGTTACTCTAGGCGTGTTTGCTGCCCGAAGCAGCTTACGGACTCGGCCAGTTATCCGGGGATCTCTTTGGATGACTTCTCAGACGGGGGATTCGTGCGGCGTCACAGCCTTTAGAAACGCATTGCAGCGCTTCCTTGCCCTCCCTTTTGAAGGAAGCAGCAGGGAGAAGAAGCTGATCTATTAGTGTGATCTGACCCTTACGCGCTACTCCGATGCCAAGCGTGTCACAGCATTTACGACGCCTTTTGCGCCGCTGCTACTGTTGTCGCTGCTCGCAACTCTAACTCGTTATTCGCCCTCCGCCGCAAATCGAACTTGGGGTCTTGTCTACGACCCACTTCCTCCTCGATGATCCGGAGTATGTCATGTTGTATCTGCCTCGTTACTTGGCCCTGTGGTTGGCTCGTGCATACGAGTGTATGCACGGCACTGCAGATGGGCGAGGAGGGGTTACAGATCCGTAAGTAAATATATATGATGCGCATGTATCTCTCCGACCGCGCAGGTTGGGATGGGGGTCACGATCCATCAGTGCGGGTAAACATTTCCTAGGGCTGCTTATAAGATACCTTGATTATCCATTTTGTCCTTGGGTTACTGATTTCTAGTCCGGCGTCTGAATTTCGGTCATTATTGAGGAGGAGGAGCAAAAATACTATTTATAGTGCGCATATACCCTGGGAAATGTCGACGAAATTTATAGATGCTGAGTGCATCGGCTCTCCTCCCTCTGGTGAGGTTAAGGTCAGGAAGACGAGGGCTAGCAAACCGAAGGTTAAGACGGGGTGCCAGACTTGCAAGTATATTTCCCTTCCCTTGGGCCCTATCCAATTGCTGTGTCATGGCACCTTTTATCTCTTATTACAGACTGAGTTGGAATGCTAACAGGTGGATTTCTGTACTGCAGAATTCGCAGAGTCAAATGTGACGAGAACAAACCTCAATGTCTTCGGTGCCAAAAGTTCGGCCATCAATGCGATGGATACGTTAAGCATGCCTCTAAACCACCCCAATGGAACAACAGTAGTTCTCGAACTTTGGTCCCGAAGATCTCCTCAAGCGCAGGCGCGAGCACCAACATACCCCCAATAACCAGCATCGGAGGTGGAAATGAAAGTGTGAGCCCGGATATAATGTGCCAAACGATGTCAAGCTCAGATCAGAGCTCCAATCCATGGGCTAGCCCTTCGAGTAGTACAGGCACAGGAACACGAACAAGCTTATCACCACCCTTTTCAAACCTATATACATCTATATCTACGAAGCAATACCCGGCTCTTCCTCCCATCTACGATCGACCGGTCTTCCAGAACCCAGCCGACCGCCATGCTTTCCACACGTTCTGTGCGCAAACTCAACCGCCAGCTTCGTCCACATCCCTCCCGATCCCGGCACATACGTGGACAGACCTCATATCAGACGCGTGTTCGTCCTCACCTGATATTATGAACGCGATTCTTACACTTGGATCCATATCGCTGGCTCGCGGAGGCGGTGAGCGAAGGGATGACGGAGCATATGTAGCTGTGGGGACACTCAGTCACTACAAGGCGTGGCGTGGGTGGAACCGCGGCCATTCTAGCGTGGGCGGGAACGGGAACGGGATATCGAGACCAGGGGATTGGGCGGATCGGGCTGACGCTCGTAAACGAACGCCTCATGATAACCCGGCCGTATCACCCTTGCGGTCAGAAAGTGATAGTGATCCCGAGTCTGACTACCGAGAAGGAGATATTGGCCGAAGAGCAGCACAAGGCTTGAAAAAGCTCACTGAGTGGGCATATACTCGCCAACGCCAGGAGCAAGAGCGTGGACGGCAGGGATGGGATGAAACTGGCCATTTACTGAGGCATTTAGTCAGGAGTCTGGAGATGAAGGATGGGCTGTGCAGGTTACCGCTGAGGGAGAGGGAAAGACCGTTGGAATGGGAGATGGAGAGGGGCAGGGATAGGTATAGGAGGGAGAGTAGTGGAGAAGATGTTTAATTTGATACCATGATAGATTATTGGGGATGTTGAATGAATTACGTTGCCACAATATATTAAGTGCCATATTTGTGATCGGGGACCGGGAAAAGCATTGTGGCACGCTGCCGGTATTACAAGCGTGATGTTGAAGTTGGAGAGGGAGAGTCAGCTTACTACGATAAGTTAAGGCACAGGAAGGAGAAAGGAGAGGCGCGTAAATATGAACAAGAAGATGATGTACTTTAAGCAGAGTTTGATCTGTTTCGTTTTATTAATTTATTAATGAGATATATATTTGTTTTGTGCGTCAGCCAACGTCTTAATTTTCCAACCCACCAACTAATGCATTGACGCCGTCCAAGAGTACTCCGTGTCGTAGAGTATTGGTATGCTGGTTTTCATCCCTCATGACTAATCAGCCTTAATCGCACTGGAGAAGGCATTGTTAGCAAGCTGGCTCTGTGAAGGAGTAGAAGGAAGATCTTACCCATATATCCTCCTAACAAACGCATACGCCGTCAAGAACCCAACGGTCCCGCAAAGCAACCCATAGACCACGCACGCTATAAAGCTATAGCTGAAGAACAGCAGACTACTGATAAAGCCATGGATATGAAGCTTCGTCAGGTAGTACCAGATACAATACAGGAAGACCCAGATGGCACTGCCACCGCCCACGAAGAAAGAGTGCCACCACCAATTGTAGTCCTCACTACAGAGCTTGATGTATATAGTGACGATAGTGACCTCGGCGATCGTGAGAATTAAAATTATAGAGACGACGGACAGGAATCCGAAAACGTAGTAGTATCCGCTCTTCTCTTGCCAGAGGGATTGGAATACGAAGAGGAGCTCGATGAAAATCACCGCGAAGGGGATTAGTCCAGCGAGCAGAATTGAACTCGGTGACCGGATATACCACGGCTGAATGGGCAGTTGACGCGGGATGGAGGTTGTCTTCGTAGGATGCTCCCATGCGCCAGTGCGGGTATACCCATACCACGAGCCGACATAGACCAGGGGAAGCTGGATGCATAGCCAGAGAAGGACGATTCCGACAAGGGTTCCGAATGGTAAGGCGGTTGACGAGGCCTGGGCCCAGACGAAGAGATTTAGGATAAAGACCAACGCAAAGAGAAGGCCAGGGAAAAGAATGGCGGTTATGAGGAGGTTCTTCCGCCAATTTGTTCCTCCAAATGTCTTGTACACTCGTCCTGAGAAGTACCCCGAGAAGACACCTGCAAATACGAAGAGTCCGATACCGACACTAACAAATCCACCCCTGAAGCTGGGGTTTAGGATGCCTAAGCTACTCAAGATGAGTAGGCCAACTGCCATGAAGAGTAGTTGCATTCCCGATCCAACCAAAGGGGCGAGAATCCGACCATATGTAGGAGTGCGGAAGACATCTCCATGAAGCAGTTTCCAGCCTGTGACATCTTCCAATGCTTCCTCGTCAGATGATACATCGGCATCGTTTTCAGTATCTCCCACTTGATCGAGCAGACCGGCACCTGGCTTCTCGCCCTTGGGTGTCCTCGCACCGCTTCCTGGCCTGGACTTCCTCTTCGACTTGAGCTTGCCATCCTCCAACGCTGCATCTTTGTAGGTCTTGATATCTCCTCGAATGGTCCTCGTCAGAATCATCGCAACAATCGCGCTCAATGACCCGGAAATGATGAGCGAGTTGATGATTGCCAGCCAATGGATCCTGGATCCTTCTTCCTGATTCACAAAGTATAGATCCCATCGATGTGCCCATTCAATATTATTGTCCTCGCGCCAGTAAACCGAATACGAGTAAGGGATGTCAAGCGTTGCGCCATCTTCAATATCGATTTCGCTTTCGGGAGGGTGGTATGATGAATATGGGTATTGAAGGGAGAAATCGGTATCTGTTGAGTTGGAAGGAAGGTATAATTCCATCGGCGAGTCCGCCTCACTTATGTCAGCTGGACATCCAGATTCCTTTCTCGCCTGAGGGCCAATGCTCTTTGTGTAGACCTCGAACGCAACCACGACCTTTCCGCCCCGTGCCCCAGCTTTCCCAGGAGCTTTCCGGTAACGAATAACGATTGTAAGATGGTTGTTGATGTAGTGCCTCATTTTCCCAGAGCTCGGTGCAATTTCCTTGTAACCCATCTTGAACCCGGCTGCATAGTACTTCTTCGACTTATCCACGGTGACAAAGCGGGTCGCTCCAGGCAGATTATCCACGATCCATTCCACCACGTATCCCTCTTGAACCATCTCTCGGGCGCGCTTTATATCCTCTCTCTCGACCGTTTTTGTGCAGAGAAAGCTACATTCCTGGTCCTTTCCCATCACAAGCTCAATATCGGATTGTGCGATTCGGTCCCCTCGAAGGACTTCTCCGAGGTTCAGCGAGATGGTTTGTCCACTTAAGAGCGATGACCCGGCATGGCGGACCCCGGTGGGTGGGCACACAAATGGGAGATCGTAGTACGCATACTGTAGTTGTGTATTGTCGGAGTAGACCTTGTTTACAAGAAGAGGTATTGCTTCATTGTCCTTATAACTCCTAATGGACCAGCCTGCAGGACGAATGTGTTAGCAAGCGTCCCTCCTCCGCATATGCTGTGAGGATATGGCTGTCGTACCTGGTATATAAAAGGCCTCTGCAAATGAGGAGGCAAGAATCAAAAGAAACCAGAGTCCTAGGGACATCTGTGATCGAAAATCCGCTGCCATAGTTCTCTGCTACCGTGTGCTATTCATCAATCCCTCAACGCAGGGCTCCTGGGCTCCCACTTCCACGTCCGTCGAGACAGGAGCAGTGCTGATCGGCTGTGGTATGGGAAGTTTGATGTAGGAGAATGGTATCTGGGGGAGACAAATCGCAAAGGTGTCGTTGTTGACACGCACCCCGCCGTCGCTTGGGTGATCGTCGTACAGTCGGTATTCGTGTCCCCAGGGTCACGATCGTGATAGCAGTTTCGGGACCCTCTTTAACAAGGAAAGGAACCCGACGGGACGTAGGGGCGTTTGGTGTTAACGAGTGTAATTGGTACAGAGCACCGTTCGTAGTAAGGAATAAGATGTGGGTTAATGATTTTGTTGAAGAAGTGTTGCCGTACTTTGGTAATGGCGAATATCACAAGGAGAGGGATGAGAGTTCTGGAGTTTTCTACAAGGGGGAAGTTGTTCCTATGGATTTGCTTGGTTCGCCTACACCATACGTAGTACGTGGTTGATAAATATAGCCGTGGCTACAGCCGACTTGGCACATGCTTTTCCCCCTTTTTACCTGTTAACTTTGCTATAGTGAACTCCGCCTGTTAACAAGTAATAAGCAGTTCTACAGTGCTTTAAGTCCGTAGTTTATACTAGACGAAGCTCGTGTCTATTATTGGCATGCGTCCCAGGTACTGTAGGAAGCATTGGAGGCTTTGTCAGCGATGAGGTCCCTTCAACCACTAGCGGGGATTTTAGCGAAAGTCGCTGCTTACGGATTTTAAACTTGTTTGGTGACAATCCTGATACTTATCACACTCGTCGTGGTCTTGATAGCTGTTTGTTTCTTCTTCGACTTATAGCTGCCGCGATTCGTCTTCTGAAATTTGCTGTTGGTTTGGTTCTGGTGTCGTATTTTGTTCTTTTGCTCATACCTTTTATTATTTTGCGTTATGTGTACTCCGTAATCTAAAATGGAAGGGCCTGAACCCAAAGTTGGGAGACGAAGGAGATATCAATATTATCGCCATCTTCATGTAAGGAGGACAATTTATTGGTACTCCTTCCAGGTCCTCTTGCTATGATACGTGGAAACGGTTTAAAATATCAAACTACACTAATTCTCTCTTGAATGGCCTCCCCTTGCGTCATACGGTGGCTTAGTGGCCGTCCCTTTGGATTTCGATGCCTTGCTGGCGGACGGTGAATCAATCAGGATGCATCATCTTCCATCCCCTTTTTCTCGGCCTTAACCGACTCTACCCCACGTATCATATTGCACAGCGCGACTAGCAGGCGTGTGACTTGAATTAATAATTCTATATACTACCTATGGACCCGAGATGCCCACGCCAGCGTCTTGGTGTCCAGGGAAAATTTCTCCGTCGATTACCACGAAAACGCATCAACCTCCAACTGAAAAATCGTCTTCCCACCTCTCCCCAATCCGGCTACTCTGGCTCTAACATCATCGCACATTCCCCCAGGCCCACAGACAACAACACCAACTTTCTCATACCCAGCTTCTGCTTCACTTCTCAACAAGGCTTCTATATTCAATCGTTCCCCAACTACTACCTCCTTATCCGCCACATCCCTCAGCACGATGTCCATCTCCCTGACTAGCGCCTCCGCGCTCGGCTTGATGCTCCACGCCAGCTTGACATTCGGATGGGCATGAATCCACGGTACGAGCCCTGTGATCCCAATACCGCCGCCGATCAACAACACGTGATCGCATTTTAGGACTTCAGAGCTCGGGTTCTGTGGATACGGACCGTCAAGCAACGTCAGCAACTTACCATGCGACATCAGCAGCCTTGTTAAACCGGTGTTCTTCTTGATAATCAATGTCACGCCTGATGTGCCTACCTCTCCAACCGCATTGCGTACCACACTCGCTTTCACCTTGTTGCCCTTCGGTTTTTCTACGTCATTACCATCCTCCGATGAGTGTTCCAGCGACGCTGATGCAGACACCGGCGTAAACGCATGCTTGTAACTTCGGAATACAGCTGTCGAGTTGATAGAAAACGGATGGTTCTCCCATGGCCGTAGAGGGTTGAGCGCTGGGAAATACGCATACGCCACATAGCCCGGTTTGCTAGCCCAACGTATGCCTGGAATATCGACCCGCACATGGTCGGGGCCTATTTCCGTGACAATGGCGCCCCTGACACCATTCTTGGCCACACGGATCACGCGGACTAGACGGTCGAAGAACCATACCGCGCAGGCGGCATACAGCCAGTTGTCATAGAAGTTGTAACCCCACATGAGGACGACATGGTACCAGCAGCCGACGATGACGAGGACGGCCAGAATGATGTGCAGGACGAGGAAGGCTTCGTAGGCGAATTGGCGGAAGTATATATGACTGAGGACGAGCATGGTGCAGGTGAGTACGGTGGCGACGATTCCCCATAGCCAGTAGGGCAGCTTAGACTCGGTTAGGTAGCTACCTGTGCCCTGGTATGACATTAGTAAGGTGATGCTGTGGGCGATGGCCTGGATGGCGAAGATACGGGCGACCCAACGGTGCAGGAGCATGTAAGTCGAGTGCGGCCAGTTGGTAATCCAGAGGAGGAAGTTGTTGCGACTGGAGAAAAGGATGACGAGGGGAATGAGGGCGTATGCTATGTGGCCGGTGCGGTAACCTATATACGCGAAGAGTTCGTCTCCGGGCGCGAAGCCCCATGGATGATGTTGTGAGTTGGAGTAATTGACAGCGCTGAGGACGAGGTTAAGGAGGAAGAACATTGCTATATAGAGGCTTTGTCCGATATTGGGGGCGTTGCCCAAAAGCCATGGTAGGGGCCGAACATGGTAAGTCCCGATGGTGGAGGGGTAAGTTAGACATGGCTTGATTTTGTCAAGAAGGCCTGTCATGAAAGGGAGACGGGCAAGGAGGGTAAAGAAGATGGGCGTGCCGAAACCAATCGTGACAAGAACGATGCTAAATCTCCATCAGTTGCTGAATTGAATGGTTAGAAATCAGAAATTCAAGCTTTTGCTTGCCTGTATCTCGCTTGAAGCGTCTCCAGATGTTCAAACATGATCATAAACTTGCTCTGCATCTCATAGGACTCCCTGCTAATCAACATGGTCTGATTCAAGGTGCTTTTCGAGCTGGAGTTGAACTCGACCGTCGGGGTTTCCGTGACCATTTCAAGCGTTCTCGAATAGTCCATCTCCGGCTCAACAGCCATATCGCCAGTCACCTGCATGGACCAAAACTTCTCCCTCTGCCAGGTCGGCACCGTCATGGGATCGCATGTCGAATTCATACGGTATGCCAAAGTAGTTAAAAAGGCCATGTCACTGGCAAAGCACTCTGGGGACGTGGCCCCCGACTCGGTACATGATAGCGGAGCACTGGAGATGGCATTGTAACACGCAAATCCGTAGACCGGGTCATACCAATTGAATCCATATCCGGGGAACTTGGGGGACCCGAGGTGGGCGATTGAGAAGCCGGCGAGACAAGAGAGGGCGATGAGGAGTACCAGTTTCATGACGTTGTCACCGGTGCCAATGTACTTGTCGTGGATGAGTAGGCAGACTCGAACAAGGAGCCGCGGAAACCTTTTGGTGATTCCATTGTTTCCTTTATATCTGTAGAGAGTGTGTTACATTTTAGGCGGTGCCCGACTGTGGGTCTTATTGTGCCCAGATAATGGTAACCGTCCTTGAAGCGGGGAAGCTATTTCGACCATTCAGCAAAGCAGAGTGTTTAAAGGCAAATCAGAGATATTTCAGACTTAGATGATTCGCTATTGTGAGAATTATCCTAGTTGAGGGGATGACCAAGGAGGGATAGTACGTACATTAACTTGCGCAAATGCCCTTAACCGCAGAGTCGACTTTATTGTGGCGCATTCTAGGAACAGGTTGCGTTTTCAAAGATGACCAAATATCACCGGCCATTACCCACTTTAAGCTTCTAGTGTCGTCGTCTACTTAGTAGAACTTACTATAAAGAGAGGATCTATCCTACTTCAGTACATATACCAAACACTGGTAGTACCCCATTCGTATAATGCTCTTGGGATTAACGATAGACTCTGCTCGGTTCTATTCTCTTTTCCGCTAGTTCGAGATTCCTCTATTAAACCCTTTTAAGCACCTTTGCAATCTTTTGCCATCCTTGCCATGATGCTGTGGGAATTATGATAGCTAAGTTGCTTATGGTTCGCTCTTTCTTGTAAGCGCAATACAGCTAAACCTCAACTCATTTCCACCTGAACTTTTCTCCATCTCAATTACCCTTCCCAGCCCCAGCTCCAATGCCCTCCCACTCAACAGGTCCTCTCCTTCCTCTAAAACACCCCTCTCAAGTGGCCCCTTCCTACCCCCCTCCAGCTCCCACAGTCTCCCATCACCCCCTTTAATAAAGGCCACAAAATGCTGCGGCAACCTGTCGGCCTCCGCGGCACTTGGCGCAATGGTATCGCCCATTTCAGCCACACTCTGGTGTGCATCCTCAAATTCCTTGCTATCGTACAGCATCTTGGCCCTGTCATCCATCTTCAACGGGATCGCCTGTTCTCTCAGCTTCATCAGGGTAGAATCAGGGAGGATATAATCCTTCGCGGGACCGTTAATCAAACAGTGCAGAAGCCCGATCGAACCGCAAGCATGGCCGATTGTTTGCTTGAACCACACTACCGGCTCTTCTGGCCCCGATCCAGCGTATGGAGGCTTATCGGCGTCTTCTGTAGTGCGGGAGGCGTACCAGGCTGGGGTCATTGGGATAATGACTAGGAGTGCGAGGACAGGGCGTGGGATTAGTGACAGGAGAGATTGGTCGGTGAGTGAATAAACATCATGAAATTCCAGTTCAGGAGACAAGCCAAGTCTTGCGGAGAGGGCATTCATAACCTCGGGATTGTTTTCTAGGGGCGTTAGTTAGGAGAGGGTGGGAAGTGAACGAGGAGGGCGGGATACCGAGGACCGTGACGGTCTTTTTGCCATTGATGATTTCTACAGGAATAGGCATTTTTGGGAGTGGTTAGCGGGATTCTCTGAGGTCGTTTCGTTATTAGATCTTTTGACAGTGATGGAGGTGATGATGGTTGTATATGAAGTTGATGGTTGGCGATGGAAGTTCCCTAGATATAGAGCGTTGTAAGTGGCGCGTGGATGTTGCGGAGTAAGGCAGCAGTGAGGACGCGGCGAACGAATCAGCAGGCAACACAACACTGCTTCTCCTTTTCTACCAATTTCAGCTGCATATCAGATCTTTGAGGGTATAATATTATATGCAGGGAAATGCATATTTTGGTACCGCATTATTTGGGGTGCGCAATACAAAGGATTTCCTGCTTCATATGGACGAGATTTGAGGCGGAAGAAGCAAATTCATGATCAACATTCTAGCCTATCTGTGCCCAAAATGAACAGCGAAAATTTTGGGACCATGCGCTATGAAGCACCGTATATGAAGCATGATCTGATACAGTTCTTACGGCGCCTACACGTAAAGCTCCGTCGCCCAATGTACGCACCCGTTTTGACGGTGAGCAACGACGACGTGTTTTCTTGTCCTTTCTTGTCCTTTCAAAACAATATCATACCCTTCTTGTACATCATCACCTTTGAGAGCCTTTCGAGCACAAACATTAGCTGCAGTCATGTCTGGCTATCCTGATTCCAGCCCAGGCGGAAATTCTGCTCCCATGAATACCTTCAGTCAAGGACAAGGGGGCTATTCGACAGACAGAAACAACAATGTCGGCCCTGCAAGCGGTCACCATAACAACAACCTCACCGCGGTAGCTCAAGACCCCCATTGGCATAACGAATTCCCTTTAGTGAGCATTATACCATCACATATCTTGAGACAGGAACTCTGGCTACGTCAATTACCAGAGTATCCTGCCTTTGCCTCAGTTGGTCCTCAGAGCTCTTACCATCAAATGCTCTATCGACCTACTCCGCCTCCGCCACCGCCTCCACCTGGCCCAAGGGGAGGGGTCATACAGGGAAGACTAAACCCAGAGACAGCGCCATGGCAGCCAGCAGTTTACCCCAGTATCGCGACAGTGGCTCAGCAGATATCCAACGATGCTAATGCGCTTCCACCCAGCCTTGCTGACCTTAGGACTCTTGAAACCCCGCCGTCTCGGGTTGAACCCCTCACTTTGCCAGCTATTGAATATAGCTTAGAGTATATGGCGAGCCTTCGAGGACTAGTTCAATCCCAAGAAGACCTCCAGGCCAACGGATATATCCTCAAGAATCTTACACAGAGCGAGTTAGAGAAGAAGAAAAAGTGCAAGCATTGCAACAAGCGTAAGCGAATTCCACATAGACCAGGGGTTACCCAACTAATAACGGTGTAGCCATGCTAGGAAGACGTCCAAACGGCAGAGGAGATGAGACATCGAAAACGGAAGGAGCTAAAGATGACGTTGTACAAGAAAGTCCATCTTTGCCCTCTGGTATAGGCATTGCGTCCGATCCCAAGCCAATTCAAGCTCCTAAATTTCTATGCAAATACCACAATGGGCAGGTTATTAAGAAGGTATTTTCGGGACCCCAAGAGACTATTCACCTCTCACACTCTCCCGAATTCGTAATGGAATGTACACTGACAAATTCTAACTCTAGAATTGGTCCTGCTGTGGAAATCCCGCAATCTCCGGTAAACCATGCGTTGAAAACGAATTTCATATTCCACGCCAGTACCAGCAGGGAGAACTCGAATCCCAGTGGGAATACCGTGCGACACCCGCAGGACAGATATTGTACAGCCCACGTCCGGCAGTCGCTATTGACTGTGAGATGGGAATATCTAAGCAGGGGGATTCAGAGCTCATTCGTGTCACGCTTATCGACTACTTTTCCTCCGAAGTGCTTGTTGATAGTCTGGTCTCTCCGGATGTCGAGATGCGGGATTATGTGACACGCTATTCTGGAGTGACAAAAAGAGATATGGAGATCGCACGCAACACTCGAAACTGCTTCTTTGGAAGAGATAACGCTCGGATGGCAGTGTGGCGGTTTGTTGGGCCATATACAATTGTTGTGGGCCATTCAGCAAACAATGATTTGAGCGCCTTGAGGTGGATTCATCCTTTGGTAGTAGATACCTTTCTTATCGAGTATATCCCTCACAAGAAAGCGGTAAAGGCAAAAATCGAACAAGAGCACAAAGAAGCGAAAGCCAAAGTCGAGCAAGAGCAGAAAGATGCAAACGCCAAAGCCGAACAAGACCAGAAGGATTCAAGTGATAAAGCAGCACAAGGAAAGAGCGAGGCTGAGCCATCGTCCGCTGCGACGCCATTGAAATCTCCAACAGTCACCGAGGAGTGCGTTGAGGAAGAAAAGCCGCCACAGAAAAAGGCTAAAATGCCACAATCTGGAGGGCCAATGTCATTGAAGTTTCTAACAAAAACGAGGTTGGGCCGAGACATCCAAATGCGGGGAAACAGAGGGCATGATAGTCTTGAAGATGCTATTGCGACTAGAGACTTGGCCCACTGGACCGTCGTGAATGGTAATTCTTTGAGAGCTGGTGGAGGACAATAGAGAGAGGATAAATACGTGTAAGATTAAGAACGCAGGAACAAAACCATAGCGGCCGACTTCTGAACTGAGAACATTCTCTCATCATTGTAAAATGTGTGTATAATAATAGCACTTAGCAAATGAACTTAATCTCATGGAGGTGGTTTCTGAAGGGGAGAGACGTTGGAAAATTGCAGGTGAACAAACCCTTCGCCTGGCCCCCCCTATTTAATTGGTAGTTATGGCCCGAGCTTTTCGCTTCGACGTCATCACGAGGGCGTGAAAATAGTCAATGTTTCCCCGCAGTTGCTGATCGCTCCCCATAACAAATTCAAGTTTTATCCTCCAAACAACGACTTGAAGTTGTGGAATAGCTCGAGAGTGGTTATTTGTTGTTTAGTCATTGAATATACTAAACGAATATCGTGAAATTTATAAGCCTAACCCCACTTCAGTGACGTTACATGCTGCCGGTTTTCTATGTTGAAGCCCCGCTACCGTGTTATAATATTCCATGTTTCTTGGGGCGGTCGAAATCATTAATGATGGATATAATTCTTGGTGTATAGCAAATTATTGGAACAGTGTGATTTCCCCTCCGAGCACCACAATGAAGATCCTGAATTGGAAGGTTGCCTGGCTGCTTTGCAACCTTCTATCCCCCCACCCCGGCGGAACCGAAACTCTATCTCTACAGCAATGTGGAGAGCAATTTTATTACCCATCTAACGTAAGTGTACCATTCTTTAAAATGAGAGTATACTTGGAAGTGTTAAATTAATTGCGAGTGGTAGTATACCTGTTTTGACGGGAACTTTCTGTGTCCAATTGAGGACAGAACACCAACCCTGAAATGTGGCGGCGGTTGCTATCTTCCAGATAGGTACTCGTGAGTGGATTCATTGACGTTTAAAATCGTACTCTCACATGATTCAATAGATGCCAAGATAATAATCTGGTGTCCTCTCCAACTTCGAACGGTCAACCGACAACCAATTCCACCACTGGGATAGAATGCAACACTACCGCTACACGCTTATATCTCAGCTCACCCCCCTATGACAATTATTTCTATTCAGATTGCCATGCTCAATCTCAGGTAGTTGTGACCACACCTCTTTCCGACAGTAACCTCACCGTCATTGGGCCAAGGGTAATAGTTGCGTGGCCGGCTGGGAATAGTGGCATTGTAGCATACTTTGCTCCTGAAAATGGTATCAATGGAACCCTGGGGATCCGGATATTAAACTCAACTTCTGGTAATCCACTTGAACCCATCTATCAGACTGGTATTGGAAACGGCAATGCTACGGTTGGAATTAGTGCCCAACTCGAGTTTAATAGCTCCGTGGTATTATCTGTGGCTATTCTTGGGAGCATCCGAACTATTCGGGATTTTACCGAAGGTCCTAGCCTCCTACACCCCGAAATTCAAAATGCGATCAACTACTCGAGTATTGACAGTGGAATCCAAATAAGTAGGTTGTGGCTTGATAATATAACCACAACGACATTGTCCTTCAGTAGCTCAAGCCAATCTATCCACCTCGACAACACCACTGTCAAATTCAAGCCCGGAACATACACATTTAACGCCTCCTTCAACTACCCGCAATTAACTCAATTGAGTTCTGAAATGGTCTTAAGCCCTGAGTCGGTAGGCTTGATTGAGCAATTACCTAGCCAAACAACATCTCTTTCATTTTTATCGTATACGACCAAACTTACAGCGGGCGCGTGGAGGTTTCTAACCTATTTCGGGCGGGACTCGATGATGGCGGCTTTATTATTGGAGCCGGTGCTTAGCAAGGGAAAGGATGGCGCAATGGAGGCTGTACTGGCTGGAGTTCTGGAGAGAATCAATAGGACTGACGGGTCGGTCTGCCATGAGGAGACGATTGGGTAAGCACCGATTCAGGAGTAATCGGACTGATGCTGACTCCATATAGAGACTATGCTACATGGACAAATTTGCAGGATAACATTACCAGTGCCGCCCCCCTATGTGACTATAAGATGGTGAATACGAATTATATGTCTCACGGTTCCCATTTGCAGCATCTGACATAGTACAGATTGATTCTGATTACTTTCTTCCTGTTTTGATGGAACGCTACTTTCTTGAAAATGGAAGGGGATCACAGCGGGCGTCTGAATTTCTTAAGTAAGACCACCTACGCAAGGAAATCAAATTATCAGCGCTGATAGTAGTAGTACCGTCGCGAGCACTCTCCCTGTGAACTCAAACTTGACATATAAGCAACTGGCCCAAGTAAATGCAGAGAAAATCGTCAATCTCTCAGCGCCGTTTGCTGCTCAGGGCAACCAGACCAAAGAGAACTTGATGCATCTGAAAGACGGCCAAATAGTAGGGGAATGGCGAGATAGCACGTACGGCATTGGGGGTGGCCGAATACCCTACGATGTGAACACAGCTCTCGTACCCGCAGCTTTGCGGTCTATATCCTCCCTTTCCTCGGCAGGGATATTGGACTTCAACCCAACTATCGTGGATGAATACGCGCAAATATGGGAAGATTCAACGCTGCAGTTTTTCGAAATCTTAGTTGATCTATCGACCGCCAAATCTTCACTTCAGAAGTACGCAGCAGATTCAGGAGTGCTAGGCCTAAAGTCACAGGCCGATACATTGGATGGAAATGTAACATTTTACGCCCTCGCTCTCGATGGAAATGACAATCTCTCCCAGGTGGCAGTCATGAACACAGACGACTGTTTCCGGCATTTCTTCCTCAATACCACAAACCAGCCTCAACTTACCACCTTCCTCAACGCAACGGCCAACAATATCCGACGAACCTTTCCGGCAGGACTCATGACCGATGTCGGCATGGTGGTTGCAAACCCAGCATACGGCCAAGTTCCAGTTTATGCTACGAATTTCACCACATCGGCCTATCACGGGACAGTAGTTTGGAGTTGGCCCCTTGCCATGATGGCACGTGGATTTGAACTCCAACTTGATCGATGTAACTCAAGCACCGTGCCTGATTTCTGCGGAGATTCGAATGTGTACAGTAACGTGAAGATGGCATATAATACGTTATGGGATAGCATTGAGGCTAATTCCGCTCATCTGAGTACAGAGGTGTGGTCTTGGACGTACGGGGGTGGAAAGTTCAGCTATATCGATTTGGGGGCCCTGCCACCGCCGCCAGGAAATAGTCCAACGGAGAGTGATATTGTGCAGTTGTGGAGTTTGACGTTTTTGGCTATTATTAGGGACGAAAAACTCCGGTGAGACTTGGTGATGGGAAAGGGCTGAAATATGAGTTGTTGGTGTAATGTTTTATATATGCGAGGGAATAGCTCAGGTTATTGAGCTATATTATCTGCATGGTATTCAAAATTAGGAAGGTGGCACGTATTGAAGTTTATTATCTTTCCTTGGTTACTCTTAGACTTATTGACTTTAGTGATTACTTTCGGATTTTATTGCGGGATATGCAAGGAGTCAAGGACATAAGTAGTTGCCCCTCGTTGCATATAATGAGTTTCGAGTGCCGAGAGCTGCCGCATGATCCGATTTTCAGTTGTTATTTGAACTCTACTTTTAATTACCAAGCATCTGCCGATATAGAGCCTAGGTAGTAGAACTGTTTTGGGAATCAGTAGCACCTTCCCTGGCCGCGTGGATGACCTCTTCCATATGTCTGCCTCTGACTCGGCGGCGCGGGTGCCCGGCGCTCGCCCCAGGCCTTTATACCCTGTACTCTAGGCCAACCACCTACTACAGCGCACCCCTATAAAGCACTGCTACAGGTCCTCCTTTCAGAACCTTATGCCCTCTAGCCAGAGCTGGACTCCAGCCTAGCCACCTAACTTACCGAGTATAGAGGATATAGTAGTAGGAAGTAATTGCTATTAAAAATATAGCGCTGGACACCAGTAAAGAGTAGAGCGAAGGTACGAAAATGACTCGTGAATAGCTTCACTTTGCGACCGGGCGGAATTAGAATTATTATTATAGCACTCTAATACATGGGATATCTATATTGTATAGGAATTCGTATAAGAGGGCGATGCCGGAATCATTTTTGGGTAATGGCCGCGGGTGCCTGAAAAAAAAAGGGTTGTAGCAAATCCTTCTAATAATGCGCCATAGAGACGCGTCAGCTTTGGAGATCAAATTGTCACACTTTCGTTACTCTTCAAAATCCCCAAATATTATAATCATCGAGGGGTAGTCGCTTGATATCTTGAACTCTTTTTGTTAAACTCCATCTTGGTATTCAAACTGCTTCATTTATTTCTCTTTGATCCTATTCCACCAAGTCGAAGGGGATTGGGGCTGGGCTGCCTTGAAAGGAACAATTCCACATAACAAACTTGAAAGACAATCACATTCGAGCATGGACGACCAACCTCCACCACCACCGTATTCTCCTCATAGCCCCGACGGTACATCAAGTCAAAATTCAATAGAGCCAGCAGGTTTGGCTCCGGCATATAATCACTCCTCCACCATAGACCCCTCCACGTCTATACTTGCGGTACATCTGTTCCCTGACAATCATCACCTCCCGCAAGAAAGCAATGACTTGAGCGCATCATCGCTAGGAGCAAATCCCTATTTTGTGTCAAGACCTCCATACCGGCCCCCTCCAAGTAGAATCATCTCGCATCGAATAGTGCTCCAACCTGACTCCAGCCTGGACGAAATCCAATTGCCGCCACTCTTCTCTGAGCGCGGCGTTGATGAGCAGGACTGGCTCACCTTTCGCAATCATCTCTTCCCGGCCCATGGCTTGACGGGGAATAATCAGAAAGGAGACACAATGTATAGGAGAGACGAGAAGTGGTCACTTGACCCATCCAACGAAAGGGCCAATGACCTTGTTAACCCAGGACCATCCAATTCTACGAAAGGGCTCAAGGACGGCGACCCCGAGAAAGACTGCTCACGCCTGCCAAACATTCACAAGGTGGTCAAAGAGTGGAATGCTGGATTCTTCGAACCCCGAGGTCTGTTAGTTATTGCAAAAACTCTACCCCAATCATCTTCCAAGCGCAAAGATCTCGATTCACACTCGACATTTGGAGGAACGATTCTCGCCAAAGCTGCTGCCAGAGGAGATTTCAAAATCGTCGAGGGTCTCCTCTTGCAAGGGGCAGACCCTGACATCCAACCCTATAGTAGCTCGCCCGCCATATATGATGCGGCAGCCAACAAACATCCTTCAGTCGTCGATCTTCTTCTCCGGCATGGTGCAAAGGTAGACACGAAACCTTCAACCACTCACCTAGTCGCCTCGCAAGGCGATGTGCAGACGCTCGCTATTCTGTTGAAGTATGGTGCCGATCCCAACCACAAGGACTGGACCGGATCTTCCTCTCTCTTTGACGCGGCCGGGCGTGGTGACGTTCTAGTATTAAAGCTTCTTCTTGCCTACGGGGCGGATCCCAATTATGCGAATACGGGAGGACATTCTGCATTATACTATGCTATCAAGAGGCGTGATTCTACCGTCGTTCAGCTCCTCCTCGACCATGGGGCTGATCCGAACAGGCGGCCTTGGACCGGACAGCCGTGTGTCCATCTTGCTGCGTCGCAAGGCGACGTCGAGACTGTACGAGCCCTGATTGCCAAACGCGCCGACGTTAATGCTACCCCTACAATGAGCGAAACTGCTCTTGGTTCAGCCATCTCACGTGGTGATGCTGATATGATACGCCTCTTGCTGGAGAACGGGGCTGATGTGAACACGAAGCCTCTAGGTGGACAGTCGCCATTGTTTCTCGTTGCCAGCAAGGGAGATATAGCGTTGTTGCGACTGCTCTTGGAAAAAGGTGCGAACGTGGACGAGTCGCCCCCTGGGTTTCCCAGTGCGTTATACATGGCGATACACCGCGAGGATCTCGAAACTTCAAAGGTCCTGGTCGAGTTTGGCGCCAATGCAAAAACCGGCAACTCACTCAGCGTTGCCGTCGACCATGGCAATCTGAATGCGGTGAGACTGCTTCTGGATCATGGTGCTGACCCGAATTCGAAACCTACCGGAGGACAGATGCCTTTGTACAGCGCTGCCGCTAAAGGAGATACGAACTCGATGCAATTACTCCTGGAGAAAGGTGCCAAGGTCGACTGGTCGCCGATTGGGTATTCGACCGCGCTCTATATGGCCGTGGTCAGGGAAGATGCAAATGTGGTTAAGGTTTTATTGGGTTATGGAGCCGATGTGAACGTGACGGCTGCAGGAGGTGAAACTGTTTTGGGCCATGCAATGAAGAGTGGTAGTGAAGAGATTAAGCGGCTGTTCTCGGCGGAGAAAGGCAACCACTATCCACCTGAGAAGAAGGGCTGAGCTGTTATTGGAAAATCTTAGAAGAATCTACTATTGGTAGAATTACAAATCTCCCAAAATAATTGGTTTCTAAGACAGATGGAAATGAGGATGGTTATAGGTAGCAGAATGAGTTTGAACTCCCTAGGATCGAATTAAGTATGGTATATATTGATACTATTAGTGTGCTGGGCGACGGGAGTCCTAATATGGGTGTGGCATTGGTGGTTGGTACTCTTGGTGTCCGTATGCCGAAAGCAGAAACTAAAGCTGGGTGGATATATAAGGGACCATTTAAGATATACGGCTTGCGTTTGATGGAAGATGTAGGAATTCTTTTGATCCCGGATAGCAGCAACGATGGAAATTTAAATGAGTTGGAGTTTTCTCTTTAGGGGAGGGACGCGAAGATTGGGTCGATGGATGCCCTGCGCAAAATATAACTATAGTATAATGCTCCCGGTTACCCCTGATCGACACGGCTTATTTCTTTGAATATATTGCTATTTTGGTTCTATAGTTTTATTCTATTCTACAGACTTCTGCATACTGCTACATCTGACAGATATCTTTGAGAGAATTAATTTTAATAAGCGTCGAAATGAGTTGTTCTGTTCTAAGTCCACGTTCAGTACGAAACGGCTTCTTCAAGTGGGCGACTTATATTAATGGCAGGTTCCTTAATCACGATCTGTAGGTCCCCGTAGTGTTACAAAGCACTGGCTGTTTGAAATGTATGCGAAGAGTTTTGTAACAGTCGCGCCGTTAACTTTTCTCTCCTATTTTTTTATATTCGCTACCAGAGGCTCTCTAAACGTTTGGCTATAGGATCAAGAAGTTTCCGCCTAGTAGTGGTGTAGACTGCCAAAGATTAGATTGTTACACTCGTGATATATCTAGTAGAGGTACCCTTCCCAAAATTTGGCAATGTCGCCAAGATGCAAAGGCTCAACACGAATCCTTTCGATACCTATACCCAAAAGTACTTTTCAACTCGTTTATTAACCTTCGTTGACAAGTATGGATTCGTCTGCTACTATCTGCCGAGCTACCTCTACTAATACAGCTAATTATTTTGCTTCATAATAATAAATAATATAAAGTAGAATGGTGAAAAGGGGATTGTCCTGGAACGATTCATCCATTTCCGCGAATAGCAACCTCCGACATACCAAACACTAGAGCCATCCCTACCAAGCCTATATATGTGTTTCGAAAGCAATCGATATCTGTCTGGGCTATACCCAAGCAAAACGTGGAAAGTGAAGATATTGTACTTCCGCTTTCCCCGCCTCTCCACCTGAGGTTTCTCGGAGCGCACTTTTGCATATCGTCGAGGCTCATCGTGTACACTAACCTCAGGTGAGATAAGTAGTCTTGGTGAGTGTTGAATGGTTCGGATTATTCACAGCTGGGATAGCTGCAAATTGTGTCCTTGTTCTAACTCTCATCGTGGGGTTTTGGCTTGTGCGCTCTCCAGCTGTTGTAAATCTCATACTTGGCTTCGTTAGTACATCCAAGATCGCACTACTTCCTCACCTAGGAATCCAGGGTGCACTTACGAGTATTCCCTGCACGAATGGATATTCCCCGGCATGTCTTACCAACTTTTAGCTGTTCGTAACATCGGGCCATTGGGGTTCGTCTGGTGTTGTTCCAACACAGGGGCTGGTACCTACTTGTTGCAGCGGGATTCAGGCAATTGCAACATCCGTTACATCTCGCATGCATCCACCAATGACCAGATTCTTGGGACTGATACTTCGTCATCTGATGTATGGAGGCGTCCCGGAACCTATCCGTGCACCGGCCCGCAACGTTGACTATCGGACTCGTAACTGCCACCGAAAAGGTCTTGCCCCATTCCCGCATACCTAGTTAGGTATCCGAATAAGCCTTGTTTGTTGGACATGTTAATTTGAGGCAAATCAATGCCAAACTGTCCCGGTAATCAGGTAGTTGCAATTTGCGCACATTATAGAAGATAGAAGGAGATCCAATAGATTATATCGATAATGACAAGATCTTACATGAACGCTTCCCTGTTCCGAATCGTATATCCAGGGACAGCTGTGCCAACTATCCTTGTTCCTATTACTGTGTCGATAAATATACAAACAGTTACTTGTGCCTGCAACAGTAGCTGTTGAACACGCCTAACACATGTAATTGCGGATGGTGGTCCTGCAAGTGTCATACATTACTTTCCATGATATGCACTACCTGCCCAAATGAGTAGTTACAAGTATCACCCGGTCTATAATAATCTTACTGCAGCCCATAACCTAGGAAAATTCCTCGCAGAGCACCTAGGGCCAGTCGGGTACGGCCGGGAGCGTGTATTCCCTCCAAGCCCTCGGTAACTTGCATGGCCAGCACGGCGCTATGGAGTAAGCTCTTCGTTCTCTACTGTCTTCACAATACAGAACGACTCTGAACGAGGTTGACAAAAAGGGCCGGAACCAACTGCAAGTACGCCCGTAAGTGCTCTAGGCCGGTTTGAAAGGCTGACGGTAATCACTGTACCACCTTCCTTTATGGTGGAACAAATGCCAAACTTTGTCGGCCGCATGGTGTCCCTGTCATTCATATTCAGTCCGCCGTTGACCGGCTACATCGGGACGCCATGGGAAACGTGGCAAAGCCAATGACACTCGTTGAGTTGTCGGGATCTAACATCAGGCACGGGTCGGGAAGATTGAACGGCGTAATGGTTGGGCCAACATAGAGTATTGGGGTTTAGACAGCCCACAGTGCTTTAAGCATGAGGCACCGAGGCTAGAGTCCGATCGAAGATGATATTCCTTTGTTTCTAGGCTTGCTTTGAGGGGAGAATGGCACATTGTGGCGGATTGAACGTTCCGGGGCAAATGGGAGAGAGTTAGGGGAGGGCCGGGAGGCAGCGAGAGAACCAACATATGTTTGAGTTCCCGGCCGAGGTTTTTCACGATCTGATAAACAAATTCTTCTATAGTCTCTTGCAGAATTAACCAACATAATTGGCAGAGACACGTTGCATGCAATTGCGTAATGGCCGGAGCAACCCATGTGTCGGGACATAAGACAGGATCGAGTAGCGAGACATACCTCGGGCATCGTAAGCCAACGTGGAGAGTTGGACTGCGGCGAGACCAACATACGCAATGATGATCACATCATCGTGGGGTTTTGTCTGTTGGGGAATTGCCTGAATAGTTGCGAGCGTGATGAGCACAACATGAGATTCGCGGCATGTGGAGTTATCCAAAGGGCGAGGCTGAATGGAAACCATCTCTAGACAAGAATGGTCCGCATGTGGAACTGTGGCTATATGCTGAACGAGAATATGAGGTGAGCGTTTGGTAAGAAACGCGCTTAAAGGATATTGGAAGTTTGAATCTGTTGGAAACATTCACCTGAAGGGAAAGCAGGGGGTGGCCTTTAAGCGACCAGGAAATTCCAAAGAGTGAAAAGGCGTGTGTTTGCTCCTGTTCCCGTCGATTGATCAAAGTTGAAGCTATTATACCTGAGATTTTTGCTTCTCTTCCGTGAAGTTCTGTGAAATTCTGTCATCGGCATCAGCCAACTCATTTGCTTACTGTACCCCAAGAGACTCGACCCTCGTAGCTCTCCTTTGATCAATCTTCTTTGATATATCTGTAGCACACTGACTAACTATTGTCTCCACCGCGAAATGGACGAGATTTCCCCCAAAAAGAGCCATATTTCGGACAAAAATGTGTCGCCCTTCGAGCCGAATATGGAGGAAATTGGATCCACTGTTAGTCTGGATTTAAGCCAAGACGTTACGAATGCATCCCCAGTGCTGCCACTACCAAAAGAAGATCTCACAGCTTGGATTCAAGTTTTTGGAGCGTTTTTTCTCAACCTGAACACTTGGTTAGCTCGTTGATGATACCCCTAAAGGCATCTCGATACTTACATTGCGATAGGGGGTTAATGAGCGCGTATGGTCAATTCCAAACCTTCTACCAACTCGAGCTCCTAACCTCACAATCTCCCTCCAACATCTCATGGATCGGGTCGACACAGGCGTTTCTTATGTTCCTCACATCGATCATTGCCGGCCCAATCTTCGACGCTGGCTATGTCAACACCTTGCTCTGGACTGGCTCCTTGCTTACCGTTCTCGGTATGTGCTTGACGAGCATTTGCAAGGAGTACTGGCAAGTCTTTCTTACCCAGGGCATTATTATGGGTGTGGGATTCGGCTTGATGTACCTGCCAGCGCCAGCTGTGATTGCTCAGTATTTCCATAAGAGATCTGCTCTCGCTATGATAATGTCATCAACTGGCACCGCCATTGGTATGTGGAACGATAGCAAGAAATTTAGAGAAAAACACCTGACAAAATGATGCAGGTGGAATAATTTACCCGATTACCTTCGCTCAACTCCAACCCCGCATAGGTTTTGGCTGGGCAACTCGAGTACTCGCATTCATAATTCTGAGCACGTCGCTTGTTCCTCTCGCTGTGATGAAGCCACGCATAAAGACATCCACAAAGCGTATCTTCATTGATGCTTCTGCTTTCCGGGACGTGCCATATATGCTACTGAATCTTGGCAATCTCTTCGGCTTTATGGGCCTAAATATCATTCTGTACTATATCCAGCTCTATGCACTTGAAGAGAGTAGCGTCTCGCCCGCACTGGCTAGCTATCTTCTCGTCATTATCAACGCTAGCTCGTTGATTGGGCGACTCATTTCAGGTCTTTGCGTAGACAGGCTGGGCCCCGTCAATGTTCAAACCGCTGTTGTTCTTTCCAGCGCGGTGTTGACATTTTGCCTCCTCGCGATCAAGAACCCTCCCGGATTAGTGGTTTATAGTGCTCTTTATGGAATCTCGGCGGGCCCATTTATGGGTCTTCCGTCCGCAGGGGTCGTGAGAATCTCCCCAGATCCGAGCAAATTTGGGATTCGCATTGGCATGACGCTGGCCTTTGTGGGGTTTGGCGTGCTAGTGAGTAACCCCATTGCCGGCGCACTTCTTGCGGATCGAGGTAGATGGACTGGGCTCATTGTCTGGTGTGGGGGGTTATTGGCAGCAGCAAGCGTGAGCATGGCAGCGAGCCGGATTGCGAAGGTTGGAATTAAACTATCAAGTGTACTATGAGAGTTGTGATGTGCCTTTTGTAGAGGACCGTTCCTGGGTGAGTGAGTAGCCTGTTGAAAAGCCTGGGTCGCGTTGAGTTTCAAAGCTGGGTGGTGGTGGGCAAGGAGTACCGAGAAGTGCTGGTGATGAGTTTTGTGGGGCGAATATTGGAAATAGGAGTGTGCGCTCATGAACACCGCACCTAGGAGCTATGTGTCAACTAAGGTATTCAAACTATAAGTCCTAGTAGCAACCAACGCTGTGGTATTGGGCCTTACGGAGGTACTTAAGGCCAACTCTAACTCAAAGCGACTTGATCTCCGACGACTGGTCATAAAACTTGATCGGAGAACCCAATGTCCACCTTCCCCGCATTAAGGGATCTGAGACATTGTTGATCTAAACACCTTTAAGATTAATCATCTGACGCAATGGTTTTTATATCGCCGTCCACTTTCTTCGGCGACATAATATACGCCAGCCCCGCCGGCTATCGAAGCCGGCAATGGACCGCACGGGTATTGGGTTTCTGGAAACTTGGAGCTGTAACCCGGTACCGAGGCCTTGGGCAGCATGGAGCTTTGACATCACTAGTTCACGCTTGGCTTAAACACCGATTTAATTTTGGATAAGAATAGGCATTTAATTGAAACCATTTATACCCTTGCTAAGGTTGGCCTTGCTATACACCTGAATACTGGAACTCTATTTTATGTAATTGTAAAGATACATTATATTAAGGGACTTAGGTAGGTATTGTAGTCTGGATAGAATAATGTGGAGTTAGAGGCTTGGTCTGTGATACTAAAATGCGGGGGAAGCGACGCCATGTAGTTTCACTCGTCTTGGTGTTTCTCCAATCTCCAATAATCTCCACAACTCCGTGACACCTCCGTGGCAACTTGGCAAGCGGGCAACAAGATACTACCGAGCAAAACCCAACTCTCCGAACTTCAAAGTCCTTGCTGCCTCACAAATTCACGGTCGAAATAGCAGTGGTGTACCTTAATAATGTGCTCTATAAATGGCTTTCGAGATCCAGGCTCGTGGAACAGGTGTCCGAAGCTCTCTGCTAGGAGCTACCTAGGGTTAGGAACAAGGGTCAATGGTTAAACTGGTCTTTTGATCGATGCATCATCTCTCCCACGCGACCTCCAAGGATTATGATGATACAGCATCAGCGATTATCTTGGCCCAGGGGCAATGGAATGCCGCTCACGGATGCCGTGCCCAGCAAAGTGTTGCTCCAAACTCCTTTTGGGCGTGTCAAAACTCCATGACCCCTCATTCTCCCGTGACTTCAACCCATACAAGTACTTGTACCGTTGCACTTGTACATCATTACTCCGTTCAGTATAAATCTGTTTCTTCATTGGTTTTGTTATTTGAACCTGTGCTAGATCGAAACTACGCGTCATCTAGACTCCAGACTCATTCCAACGTCACGGCTTTAAGTCGAGAACGAGAGGACTTAAACAAAACAGCCCAGCCTCTCTTCCCAAGTTGAAGCTTCTTATTTTGCGGAGATCTTCTCGATTTTACTATTGGGCGCGATTGGTGAAGAGCTTTCCTTTGGCTGGATCTAGTCCCGTATAACCAGCAACCATGGAGCAGAATCTCGATGAAAAGGCACGTTTTCGCAAACTGGTGATGAAAAGATAACTAATTCGAGGCTCTTGCACAGGCGCAAAGGGAGTTAGAGGAGGAATTAAATACCAAGATCTATCCTGGAACGGAGATTATGAGAGATGTTGGATCACATCATTTTATCAAAAATTCAGCTGGAGGGCATTCGGTATTGGTCCCTCAGCCCAGCGATGATCAGCACGATCCATTGGTAAGATCGCCGCACTTTCCAACGCCAACATAACGAATTACTGATGATATTCAGAATTGGAGTCCGATGTGGAAGGGACTTGCGATGTTCTGTGCAACATTGGTTTCTTTCGCCCAAGGAATGGGCCCATTATCATTAGTGAGTACTTACAAGTCGGAGCTGAGTATGCGTGCTAATTAAACTCCAGGCGCCTATGTTTGGTGATTACATTGAAGCTTTTGATTCCGACTTACCCAGCGTCGTACAATTTACTGGCATTGCAATTCTCATTCTTGGGTTTTCCAATTTCATATGGTACGCATTCTACACGGCCTCATACAAGCGATTTAGCTGACCCGTCTAGGGTTCCTATTCAGACGTGCTTTGGAAGGCGACCAGTTCTGATATTTTCGTCGTTGATATGCTTTGGCAGTAGCATCTGGAGAGCAAAGGCAACTTCATACGGAAGCTTTATGGGCGCTTGCGTGTAAGTTTGCAGCGTGTTTTCAATATACAATAACTAACCTTCAATAGGGTCAACGGAATTGGAGCCGGTCCAGCCGAAACAGCACAGCCTACAATAATTGCAGATATTATCTTTCTCCACGACAGAGGGAAATACCAAACACTCTATTTTGTGTTCTATTTTGGCTCTCTCATGGTACTACCCTCCAACCACACAAATGAACTCGTTCCGTTAACATTATCAAGGTGGGACCAATCATTGCAGGCCCCATGGCTGAGAAACTAGGGTGGCAAAGTTTCTGGTGGCTCAACACGGCGCTTCTGGCCTTCACAACTTTATGCTGCATATTTCTCTTTCCGGAAACCAGATACAACAACCGTTCTCGGTCTCAGCAAGGTCTCGATTCATCATCGCCCCAATTGAAAGCCGGGTCCCCCGAAAATCTCCAAGACGAGCCGACAAGCATCGACAAGAATTCCCCAGTTGACCATGTGGAAACTCCAACCGAAGCGCAAGAACAAACTACCACGCAAGACAAAGATAACCTAGCACCTGTTCTCACCCATGAAGATCCTTGGCTTGGCCGCGGCAAGCCCTCCAAATCACAATGGAAACTTGCGCAGCCCTACGAAGGGAGCCTCTTTCTCGAATTCTGGCATCCATGGAAACTATTTGCTTTCCCTATTGTAGAATTTGCTGCTTTTGTCGTTTCTTGGTCAGCATCAGTATTTCTGACAGTCAACCTCACCCAATCTCAAGCTTTCGCTGAGCCGCCATATAACTTCAGTTCGTCAAAGATCGGACTCTTCAATATCGCCCTCTTGGTCGGTACCTTGATTGGTCTATTTACGGCTGGGCCGTTGAGCGATGCTGTTGCGGCGAGGCTGACTAAGAGACGTGGTGGCATTCGAGAGCCGGAGATGAGGTTGCTGGCCATGGTTCCATACGTGATCTTGATGATCGTTGGAAATGTCGTCGTAGCTGTTGGTTATGAGCATCACTGGGATTGGAAGGTAAGAATTATAACATTCATTCCACACAATAGAACATCTGGCTAACAATCTTTAGGTTATTGTCTTCATCGGCTACACCTGCGTTGGCATCCAAGTCGCGGCTCTACCAGCAATCTCTTCGACATACGCTATCGATTCCTACAAACCTATCACCGGCGCTATCTTCATCAATATCACTGTCAATAAAAACGTCTGGGGATATGGATTTTCCAAGTTCATCACGCCTTGGATTATTAGTGATGGATACATCCCGCCTATTCTGACGAACATGGCCTTGACGACGTTCTTCTGTTTGACCGGAGTAATTTTCTGGTACTATGGAAAGACATTCAGAAAGTGGACCAAGGACTCAAAGATGCATTTGATGTGAGTGTGGGAAGTTTGAGTATGTCAAGGCGTTAGAGTTGCAAATCCGCGACACCTTATAAGCATTAACGTTAGCATAATATATATCGTAATACTTTGAAGTCAAACATCTTTTGCACAGGTGATATATTCTGTAAGCTGCCGTAACTAGATGACGTGGTGAGGTGGAAGGTAAAGTGACAGCAACGGTCAAAGAACTGGGTATGCGCGTGCTAGGCAAGTAGGATAGGAGAATAGGAAGATAAAATGTGTAAAAGCTAGGAATGAAGATTGAAGTTGTAGCTGAAGGGGTGATGGTGTTTTGGTGTTTTGGGGATAGAAGGGGCAGACCCATGATCTTGAGAAGGCCGTGGGAGAAATAATGTAATAGGGCGCGATGTTTTCTTCTCCATCTTTTAGCTTGACGGTGATTATACTACCTTCGTAGGATGGTTGAGGAATAAAAAATCATTTTGCATATCGTCCACTAAACTCCACTCCAACGGCAAAATGATAGCCAGTCTAATCGAGTCGAGTTCTCCTTTGCCTTTGGAGATGGTATAAAGGTGAGATAGTGTTGGAAAGAGAAACGAAGGCGAGGTAACTATGAGGAACGTAGAAGCTTGGTGTGACGTGGTGTCCACCAAGTCATATACCTACCGCTCTACCTCCCGCCTCCATTCTGCCTACACTACCGACATACCGACCTACCATATACAAATCAAAATAAGTGATTTTTGTATAAGGAAGACAAAAGGCGGCCACTTGGCTAAGTGGTTCAGGTCAAATTGTCTTCTGGAGAGGGTCGATTGGGAATTAAACGACAAACAAGAAAACGACAAGAACAAGAACAACAAACCGGCAAGAGATGTAGGCATTCGACACCGGGCTGAACTCTTTTGCTTCCCGCGTATATATTATAATCTAATAATGTTTTATTTTATTTTCCTGACTTGTGACTAATATTGATATTTTTTTCAATTCGCCTATTTTTAAGGGCTCGCGAGTTAGATTCAGCGAGTGAGCCTGCGTACTCGAGTTGTCTACCTGACTACATCCCTATCTAAGTTTGTGTTTCTTCTTGTTGTTACCTGAGTATCTCTACCGATGGAGCAGGAGCGTCGGCAGGAACGCCGACAGGGGCAGCAACTGTGAACGTAACTTGGATAGTATATGCGCCAGCAGGAGTGCCGATGGAAATACTAGCAGGAGCACTGAATAGAGAAGCATTCTAAATGTTGTGTAAGGAGCGGTTCCGAAACGGTTAAGTAACGGATAAACTTACCATAGCAGGAGGGGCAATAGCTGTAACAATAGCAGGAACCCCAGCAGGAGCATCGACAGGAGCATCGACAGGGGTACCAGCAGGAACACTAGGTGCGGCAGCATTCTAAATGTTGTTTAAGCAGCGGTCCTGAAACGGTTAAGCAACATATAAACTTACCAGAGTAGTAGATGCACTGGCAGGAGCACTTGCAGAATCATTAGGATTGACATCGGCAAGACTACTAGATGCAACATCATTCTAAGTGTTGTATAAGCAGCGGTTCCAAAAATGTTCAATCGATTAGTTACCGGACTCTGACTTTTGCGCCAGACCTCTGCAAAATACAATTGGGCTGCGTTTGAGCGTGCCTAAAATGTTACTATATAGTTATTTCATATAGAGTAAATACTAACGTTAGATATCCTGCCACTAGGTTGTGTATGTGGATGCCATTCTGGGTGGTGTCTTCGGATATGTGCCGATAAACCTGATGTTTGAGAAAATCGCCCCTAGCAAACAGGTCAACAACATTTAGGATACGCATTTAATATAGATAAAGTATAGCACTAACCTTCCTAGAGCATAGCACAGATCCCTCTGGGTTTATGCTAACACGACAAAATAGTTCTCCAGCATATATTTGAATACATTTCGGGTGGCCGCAAGTTGTATTCTACTCATATAGAGGTGGTTACAAAACAGTCGGAAAACATTTAATAAACATTTAAAGAAACATTTAAAGAAACATTTACAGAAACATTTAAAGAAACATTTACAGAAACATTTAAAGAAACATTTAAATAAAAACTCACCTCAAGAAGTTCGAAGGCTGGACAGTTGGCGGGTCGCTCCCGAAGTCTAATATATTGATTGTTAGACATTGCTATGAAATAAGTGATTCTAGCAAATGGTTATCAGTTGTTTATGAGAAAAATAAAAAGAGGGCGGGGAAATTGCGCCCTTGTTTAGTAGCACAGTTAATAATCTTACTAGTGTAAGCGAGCAAATTAACACTCATAGCCGTTGCATCATCCTTGACATTTACTTGTGGGAAGGTAGTCTGTTCGAGGGCGATTCCTGAACCCCTGAACGAGGTGCCTTCCACCAACCTTGGGTTAAACAGCGAGTACTAAGGCACTCTTTCTGATAATCTATACGATTATAGAGTCAATATTTAGTCGGTACAACACCTACTCTCCTTGCGGACTGTCTTTCTGAAACCTATACCAAACCTTCGACGACGAATACGGAATGCATCGAAAGTGGCGGACAGCAGTTGTACTTCCTACAGCCAACAATTCCAAAGAAATGGACGAACTCGTAACCTTTCTAGAACGGCTACTACCTATAGTAGGATATACCAAGTTAGCTGGGCGGAATAGGACGATTTGGCTTTCTTATTTCGACTCGCTCGTCTAGACTCCTGAAGTCGCTCGACCCTTACTCGACATTTTAGACCTGCCTTTCTACCCGTATAATTAGCTATTCGAGATATGGAGGCTATAATAGCAAACTAACAAGAAGCATGGCCGATAACCGCCGCTTGTTTTGCGTTGGTGTTTCTTTTGGGTGCGTAACCATTTTGAGGAGACCGGCTGTTTTTCACCCACAACACCACAACACCACAACACCACAACACCACAACACCACAACACCACAACACCACAACACCACAACACCACAATTTTTCTCCGAACTCGACACGCACACCCCCAATTTACAGAGGCTACGGGCCCACAAGCCGCCTTACACATTAGCAACAAAACATAGTTAGAGGGGGAAGGTTGAAACTACTACAAAGCTTATGGCCTACAGTGGCCGAGGACACACAAGCAAGGAGCATGGTAGGATTAAGGGGGTGGAGAGGCCATTACTAGTAGGATTGGTTTAGGAGCCTGGCTTTGCTGGAATGCTTCTACCGAGAGGCAGGTCTGCTGGTGGATGGTTTTAACGTGCGACATATAGTTCTTAGTATTACTCTATGAATTGAAATACCAATCTGTACATAACGCCGAGAACATAGATTCATCGAAACAAAAAAAGCAACATGAATAAGCGCAGAAACCCTGATACCCAGAAGCGTCGGCATTAGGTTTAACTCAAAGCAATACACATCCAATAAATCCTCAGATATATGTCTCTTATTCCTAAATCTGAAGCTTAAATCATGACATAGTCCTAGTAACTCATCGAACAAAACTAAAATTATGCAAAACACCACCCTCTCTGATTGTTTCATTTAGCCACCATTACACAAACTTTTTGCCACGCCCATCACCAGAAAAAAAAACGCCCGTCTATGAGGAAGCAAATGCTTGAAGCTCAATGTCAATCTTACGGTGCCATAACCAATGCCAATAGAGCCATGCGGCAGTAAAGTCCATATCTCATCTACATCGAAACACGTTAGCATTGGGACCACATCATAGGGATAGGGGAAAAATCATACCTGTCTAAAATACGCTGCCCTTTGATCAAAGTCAACTTCTTCACTGATCTCCTGGTTTCTAGGCAGTGGATGCATAACGATCAAATGACTTCTCGCGCTCCTCAATGTATCATTGGTGATGACGAAGCTATTCTTCAATCTCTCGTATTCATTCAGGTCTTCGAATCGCTCCTTCTGCACACGGGTGCAGTATAGAACGTCACTCTTGGAAATGATGTCAGGAGTCAGTTCATTGGTTTCGATGAGGAGTTGACCCGGCTTGGACTTGATAAGATCTCTGATTTCCGAGGGCAGAGATAGAGCTTCAGGCGATACAAGTTGGATCTGGACGTCGTAGTGCTGGAGGAGCTTAACGAGAGAATGCACGGTTCGGCCATATCGCAAGTCGCCAGTGAAAGTAATGGTGAGCCCCGTTACAGTACCGAGCTCCTCACGGATGGTGAACAGGTCAAGGAATGCCTGTGTGGGATGCTCTTTGCTACCATTGCCGCCGTTGATGATCGGGACCGTGGAGAACTTGGCTGCTGTTTCGGCACTACTCTCGTCTGGATGACGGAGGACGACCGCATCTCCGTAGCAACCCAGGGTCCGAACAGTGTCAGCAAGAGACTCCCCCTTCTGCGTACTGGAATGAGCAGTTGCGATTGCGACGGTGCGCCCGCCAAGCCGTTGCATTGCGGCGTCAAAGGAAGCGGAAGTGCGAGTCGACGGCTCATAGAACATGGTGCAGAGGAGTCGGCCTTTCAGGATTGACAGCACACCCTCTTTTTGGACACCGAGACGCATCTCTTGTGCCACAGTAAAGAGCAGATGGAGGTCTTGACGTGCAAATTGATTGACAGAGATAATATGCTGGTTTTTGAATGGCGACTGAGCGAGCAATTGGTGAAGGGATGGTGCGAGACTGGGCTGTCCGTATAATGGGGAGCTTGGCTCTTCTACAGTAGATCTTTGCTGAGGCAATTGAGAGGCAGGAGCGCCGTCAACGAATCGCGATCGGATGGCAGGGCGGATAGCGGCTGCACTAAGTAATGAATACCGCTGTCCATGAGAGCTGTCCGGTCGAGGAGTGAAGACGGGTGACCCAGGTGTTGCTTTGATGACTGGAGAGGCCGTTACCAGGTGAGAGTCAATCAAATGCGAAGACATATCCTTCCCATCAGTTGGTCCAGGGCAGAGCTCGCCATCGAGGCATGCAGTTTTACCCTGGAAGATAACTCGCTGAACAGCTCCACGCATAGTCTTGCCAACAAAAGGAGACCACACAGAAGAAGGCGCTGCCTTGTATGGTCGATCAATCTCGATCTCAACAGAAGCACCGATCTGATCATGGAGCTCAAAGATCTCTTTCGGATTATCATGGAGGCGAGCTTTGATATCATCCACGGTTAATCTTCCGTCAGCCACAGCGGAGAAGAGAAGCGGTAATGCGTCGGCAATCCCGATAGCAGCATTTGGTGCCTCTCCTACAGCATGTGCGAGAGAATAGGGGAGGGTTCCGATCGAGAAGACATCAATAATGCTCATGTTATCCCACAGTGCCTTCTGGTCCTCGGCGGTTGGCAGCATTTTCGCCTCAGGGTAGACATCTTGCGTGAGGAAAAGTGCATATGCCGAGACATCGCAGGTGACTTGCAATCCCTTCTGCTTGGAAAGCGCGATCAATTTGATGTCATCTTTGTTCGTAACACTGGTGACGTGGATCTTTCTGTTATGGAGACTGGCGAGCAGCAGAACAGATGCAAGATCAGTCAATTTAGCGTCGGTAACGATGGGTTTGAAGCAAGGCCAGGCTTCAAAATGCGCAATGACCGCAGCAACCTTACTGATATTGTCCGACAGGTGATTAAATGGGATATACAGTGACCCAACTTCGCTAGTGACTTGGCTGATCTGATCAGCATTTGATGACGTTGCAGCGACGGAAAGGTTGTAATCGCAGCTTGCGCCCTGCTTGCTGTTCTGTTGAGCAGTCTCGAGAGCTACAGCATCTGTAACCGAGCCATCTAGCCCCAGAGGCATAATACGAACCATGGTAAAGCCAGCAGCGAGAGATGCGCTTGTGACGGTCTGGAAATCATGGCTGTTCACCGTGGCAATTCCAGGGACAAATGCAGCGATGTTGATCAGACCAGGTAGTACGACGGTTCGGTGGCTGCTCTGAACATCAAAGTTGCTGATTTCCAGTTCAAAGCGTCTAGAAATAGCTTCAATGAGAATCTTTGCGTTCTTGACATTCGTCACTAAAGGTGTTTGATAGTCGACGGCCATTCGTCGTGTCTGATAACCTTTGCTCATATAGTTTGCTGGTCGTCTATAACGATTGCTCGAAGGCAGATTGATGTAAAGATCAATCATATTGTTCGCGAGATGCTGCGAAAGAGAGTACTCTGACTTTTGGTCATCCTCATCTTTGCCAAGGATTTCGAGATATTGCACTCGGACCTGGTGCTCCTGGAGGAAATCGGCCGTACCAGCTGTCGCAAAGATTTTATATCCTAGTTTCTGCAACTTGACTACAGATGGGAGCATTTCTTTCTTGTCCTTGTATGATCCGATCGAGAGAAGAATGTTCCGCTTAGGCAGTTTGAAGCCGGTAGAGAGCAGCGCCTTGAGATATGCCTCGTATTTGTTGACACCAAAGCAAGCAACTTCACCAGTTGAGGCCATCTCCACACCAAGAACTGGATCAGCACCGGACAGGCGCGAGAAACTGAATTGAGGCACCTTTACACCGACACAATTATCAGGTAGCTGGGTTGGAGGATACTCGGTGAAAGGGACGCCCATTATAGCTTTGGTGGCCATCTCAATAAGGTCAACGCCCATGACCTTGGAAATAAATGGGAACGATCGTGATGCGCGAACATTGCATTCGATGACCTTGATGTCATTATCCTTTGCAATGAATTGGATATTGAACGGACCGGTAATGTTCAATGCATTTCCGATTTTGCGTGTTGCCTCTTCAATTCGCTTGATGGTAGTGGGCTCGAGGTCTTGAGGAGGCAAGATCAAAGTTGCATCACCAGAATGGACACCAGCATTCTCAACATGCTCTGAAATGAAGTGACCAACCATCACTCCGTCCTTGGCCACTGCGTCCATCTCGATCTCCTTTGCATTCTCAATATACTTGGTGATAACAACGGGAAATTCTCGGGACACTTCAGCCGCCTGCTGAAGATATGCCTCAAGATCCGGTTCGGAGTACACCGTGTTCATAGCTGCGCCAGAAAGAACATATGAAGGACGGACCAAGACAGGGTAGGTGACTGCATTGCAGAAGTCCTTTGCTTCCTCGAAGCTCGTAAGTTCCTTCCAGGTAGGTTGATCCACTCCAATTTGATCCAACATACGAGAGAATTTGTATCGATTCTCGGCTGAATCAATCATTTCTGGCGAGGTGCCCAGAACCTTGACATTAAGACGATGCAAAGGAAGTGCAATGTTATTTGGCGTTTGGCCACCCATGGCAATCATGACACCGCTCGACGACTCCAGTTGGTAAATATCGAGGATGGACTCGAGATTGATGTTCTCAAAGTAAAGTCGATCAGCCTCGTCGTAATCAGTACTTACGGTCTCCGGGTTATAGTTGACCATGACCGTCTTGAAGCCCGATTCACGAAGGGTTCTAATCGCTCGAACGGAACACCAGTCAAACTCCACTGAGGAGCCGATGCGATAAACACCTGAACCAAGAACCATTACTCCATGGTCGTCGAATGTAATATCGTTTTCTGAGCCGTTGTAGGTCAGATATAGATAATTTGTAAACGCGGGAAATTCAGCGGCAACCGTGTCGATCTGCTTCACGACTGGCACGATTTTCGCTTCAACTCGCATACGTCGCACAGCCAGTTCATTTGAGCCCCAGAATTTGGCCAATTGCCGATCGCAGAATCCAAGTTGCTTTGCTTGTCGAAGGAGGTCGATTGAAACTGTGCTGGCAGTGAGCGTTGACATCATCTTGCTGAAATTGCTCAGTCCCTTGAGTTTGCTCAGGAACCATTTATCAATCTTGGTCATCTCCCAGATCTTGTCGACAGAATATCCGGAGTGCATCGCGTTCGCAATGGCGAAAAGGCGCTGATCTGAGGGCGTTTGGAGTTCATCATCTATCGACATAAGAGCCTTGGTTTCGTTGAATCCAAGGTTGTGGAAGTCGATTGCTCGGATGGCCTTTTGGATGGCTTCTTCAAACGTCCTGCCAATGCTCATGACTTCACCAACACTCTTCATGGAGGAGCCAAGCTGGGTAGAGACGCGAGTGAACTTCTTCAAATCCCATCTAGGCATCTTTACCACGACATAATCGAGGGAAGGTTCGAAACAAGCACAAGTAACCTTGGTTACGGAATTCGAGATCTCATTCAGAGGAATTCCCAAACCCAACTTGGCTGCGATGAAGGCCAGTGGATAACCGGTAGCCTTTGACGCAAGAGCCGAAGATCGAGATAATCTTGCATTGACTTCGATGATACAATATTCTCTAGAGAATGGATTGAGAGCATATTGGATATTGCATTCGCCGACGACGCCGAGATGTCGAATAACGTTTACTGCCGTTGTGCGCAGCATATTATAGTCTTCATCAGAGAGCGTCTGGGATGGAGCCACGACAATCGAGTCTCCAGTATGGATTCCCAGGGGATCGAAATTTTCCATATTGCACACCGTGATGCAATTGTCTCGCGCATCTCGAACAACTTCGTACTCGATTTCTTTCCAGCCTTTCATACTTCTCTCGATCAAGACTTGGGGACTAGCAGCGAAAGCCTTGTTGCAGAGATCAAGCAATTCGGCATTGTTATCGGCGAAGCCACTACCAAGTCCGCCGAGGGCATATGCGGCACGAACAATGACTGGAAATCCAATGTCCTTGACTACATGCATAGCTTCTTCCACCGTGTTGGCCGATGCAGACTTTGCGCACTTCTCGCCGATGGACTCCATGCTTCGAGCGAAGAGTTCTCTGTCTTCGGTGGTGATGATGGTATCAATAGGTGTTCCCAAAACTTTAACTCCAAGCTCCTCAAATTCGTCCTTGAGCTGGATGCCGACCTGAAGAGCGGTTTGACCTCCGAATGTTACATATATTGAATCGGGTCGTTCACGGATGATGACCTTGCGCACGAAGTCCGCAGTCACAGGCAGGAAGTACACCTTGTCGGCTAGGCCTTTGGAGGTTTGGATGGTCGCAATATTAGGGTTGATCAAGACGGTATAGATTCCCTCCTCTTTCAAGGCCTTGATAGCTTGACTTCCAGAGTAGTCAAATTCTCCAGCCTGGCCAATGCTGAGACCGCCGCTACCCAGAATAAGGACTTTCTTGACATCGACTCTCGGATTGAGTCTTGCGTTTTCAGCGGCTTCTCCTCCCGGGAAATGAACGGGGGCCGAGAGCAGGTCCTTCTCCGCGACGGTGCTCACGATCGTGTTGATGAAGACATCAAAAAGAAACTCGGTATCTCGCGGGCCCGGCGTGCTCTCGGGGTGGAATTGCACACTGAAGTATGGTTTGGTATTGTGCCGGATACCTTCGTTACTGCCATCGTTGGCGTTGACGAAAAGCTCAGTCCACTCCGCTGGTAAACTGCTGGCATCGACAGCATAACCGTGGTTCTGGGAGGTAATGTGACATTTTCCAGTCAACATGTTCGTGCATGGGATATTGTGCCCGCGGTTTCCGAATTTCATTTTAAGGGTGCTGGCGCCAGCGGCTCTTGCTAGAAGTTGATGGCCCAGACAAATACCAAATATGGGTGTTCGGTTGTCTGCCATTGCACTCGCAATGTGCTTCACAGTCTTCTCCATCATCGCTGGATCACCAGGACCATTCGAGATGAAAAGCCCATCATAATCCTTGCCAGCAAGGGCTGGGAAGTCATAATCCCATGGGCACACCAAGACCTCCACTCCTCGTCGCAAGAGACAGCGCAATTGATTGTATTTCAAGCCAACGTCGAGGCACAAAACACGTAATGGCCGGCCAGAGGGATGGTGCAGGGCACTCGAGGGGGGTGGTGTATACAGTTTGGGGTTTCGTATGGACACTAAACTCGAAAGTCAGCCCTGTTACGGGCTGCGGATGAGCAGAGACTCACCATCTGCTACGAGATTCTTTTCGTTAGGATTTGACCACTCTATCGCCTCAAAGTGAGATCTCCAGTCCTTGGAGGATGTAACAGCAGAAGTGCCATTAGAGAGCCCATTTGTGAGGGTTTCCGTCTCCTTCTGAAGGAGCATGCGACCTAGCATACTTCCCTCCTCACGAATTCTTTTCGTCAACGCCCGAGTATCAACGCCATACATCGCCGGGACTCCTTGTTCCTTTAGCCATGTGCCTAATGATGAGGTGGCAAGGAAATGGGAGTAGTCCTCTCCCGAGTATGACGCTACCACTAAACCGGCGATGTGTATTTGGGAGGATTCGAAATGGGCCGGCAGGTCTTTGAGGAGGTCGTCCATGGTGTCTCGCGAGGGGACACCATAGTTGCCAACCAAGGGAAATGTGATAACTAGAATCTGGCCCCGGTATGAAGGGTCCGTTATGGATTCAGGGTACCCCACCAGGCCGGTTTGGAAGACCAATTCCCCCGCAACGCTCTTCTTGGTTCCAAAACTATAACCCTGAAAGACGACCCCATCGTGCAACTCAAGGCTGATCAATCCTTCGCTTGGTGCGTCGAGAAGTTTGGCAGCCACTGGGGCATAGATTGGGGCGGGCATGGTGGCTCGCTCACCCAGTGAACTTTTCGATTCGCCTGGGGACGGTCTCTGGTGTATATAGCTTGTCTTTGCCCTTTAATGCGTTAGAGGACAAATAGCTAAGCAATCAAGAAGCATGATAGATATGCCTTACCCTGACAACGTGTCAATTGTTTGCTTTGCACAAGAGACGTGGTCAGCGTTGGCAATTGAACAGCAGTTGTGTCGAGAACAAGCTCGATGAGAAAGTTTGATTTTCCGCAAGCACCAGAATCAAGCGGGACAAATGGACTCGGCGCGCAGAAAAAAAAGGTTCAAAGGATTAATGTTAATCCGGCGGGACAAGTGCTGCTAGGCTGCAAGGGGCATGGTCTGGAATGGGTAGGGAAGGGTAAACCAATCAGAGCCCGGCGCTGTCCAGGGTAGCGGACGTAGCCTTGCATGATTGTCTCAGCCTCAGCCTCGAGGTCATTCAGCGCGGAAAACTCGGATTTACGAGTAGGCTTTGGGACGGATAGGGATATCGGGCACTCTATGTAAATATAGCGATATCTGGTTTATAGATGTTTCGCAAAAGCTAGCTTTAACAAGTTAGGAAACACTTCTGATCGTGCGGTAACAGGATTTCTTATCTGTCGTATCCTCGGTTTCGATGTTGCGGTGAAGGACGAGCGTGGGATAAGTGATTGGCCAATCACCCACGATAACTGGTATGTAGTGCTATGCAGCCCCGGCCAGGGGACATCTGATATGCTGCTGGCCGTCGTTAAGATATCAATCCCAGCCAATATCGACCATCATGTGCCTCGGTGCGCCATAAGGCTGTTCACCTGACATCCTCAAATCCAGCATCATCATTAATGGGACTAAGGAAGCTAATGAAGTTATTCCCATGGTCAAGTCGAACCTTTCTCTGAAACCCTTAAATGGTGTTGTGATCGACACGGCTGAGCGTGAAACACATTGTTATTTATTTACTCCGTCCGAGTACGGTTACAGGGGCCCTCCGTCTTGAGATTGCTTGCCATGCTGTGCGCGTCTCCAACACAACACCACCCTCACAATTGGCTTTGCGCAGGCAGCGGGTCGTGGAATAGGGCGGCTGCATGACAACGAGGGTTAATAGAGTAGAAGATGCTCTCGTCCTTGCTGCGACCCAGAAAGGCCCGACAACGCGTCCTGGAGCATTCCCCGTTCTCGTCGCCCTACCCAGAGCCCGACCTGTCATCTCCTCTCATCGCTCGTCGCGACCGTCAAGTGCGGCATGCGACTGCGGATTGGACTGAAACAGAAGCAGATGATGATGATACGGATGACGACGAAGAGGGCGATCCTAGCCATGTTGTCGACGACGAGGCGGAGGAGGACGAGGATGGCGAGGATGGAAATGAAGATGGGGACGATGAATCGCCTCTACTCCCCATCTTCTCTGCAGCGCATCTAGGTCCATTATACCGATTTTTATTATCCTGTCTTTACCCTCGTACCTTTACTAACGGCCTATATAGATGCGCTACCAGTATACAACCTCACCCACGCAATCCGACTCATCGTCCTCCCCAAGACCGAAACGACCCTGACCTGGGACCAACTTCGCTCACCTCAAGTCTCCCAATTCTTGGTCAAGCCGATGCAGCAGCAAATACGAACAGCCCACTTCTCCCGTGCAACTTTATATGCTCTGATGGCAAATTGTCTGCAGTTTGAAAAGGAGAGCCACGCAAACCCAGGGAATGCTGGCAACAGCCGGACAAGAGCAATGGTGTGCGAACTGCTGGCGATAAAGCTATTGAAGGAATATAACACCCGGGAACTTATCGATGCCTTGTCATACGACTTCTTTCCCCTGCAAGGCCTTGGTCTTGAGAATGTTGCAATGCCGGGTTCGGCACAGCAGCAAAAGTATAATCGACCGATGCCAGCCGCTGCTCGAATATCAACGGTCGAAGTTGCCATACGAGCCTCGGCGAAACACTTCCTTGCACATCCCGTCGTGGTCCAACAGCTTGAAGCCATATGGGCCGGTACGATTGTGTTTCATTCTGCTGCAGATAATCTCCATAGAGCAACGCAGTCTGCTGTACCCATACGTTCCACGCGACAGTTCCAGAAAGCCGATACCAGAAACGGTCTTTTAGTCCCAGGCCGGCATGCTAATTACGGAGCGATGAGCTCTCAGACGGTCCAGCTCCCCCAGGATAGACAAACCACGGTGCAACAAGCTCAATCTCGCCGGATGGTCACTCTCTATGATCCGAGGGACGCGTCCCTATTCAAGTTGTCGAGATTAAGAGTACCACGGTACCGGCAATTCTTCTCGACCTGCTCTCTTGCAATTCTACTAGGCTTGTTTATTGCAGTACTCAGTGAACGGTCTTCAGATATCACCACCTTAGAAGTCATTTTCTGGTTTTGGAGTGCCGGCTTCATGTTGGATGAGATCGTTGGATTCAACGAGCAGGGCTTTAGCTTGTATATTATGAGTTTCTGGAACACCTTCGACCTTGGGATCCTACTTCTCTTGGTCTTATACTACTCCATGCGGTTGTATGGCCTATTCCTAGTCGATATTGGAAGACATGAGTGGAACGGTATGGCCTACGATGTACTTGCCGCTAATGCCATCCTCCTGTTTCCACGACTCTTTAGTGTACTTGATCACTACCGGTATTTCTCACAACTTCTGATTGCTTTTAGGTTAATGGCCATCGACCTAGTTGCCGTGTTTACGCTTGTCCTCATCGCCTGTAGCGGATTCTTCGTTGCTTTCTCCGCCGGCCAGACCAAGTATGATGCATCTGATATAGCATACAAAATCTTCCAGCTCCTGATGGGATTCACCCCTGCAGCATGGGAGGCCTGGCCAAACTACAACCTTCTAGGAAAAGCTATTCTAGTGCTCTTCCTATTCATCTGCCACTTCCTGGTCGTGACAATTTTGATCACGGTGCTCACCAACTCCTTCATGGCGATTGTCTCGAATGCGAACGAAGAACATCAGTTTGTCTTTGCCGTCAACACAATATCGATGGTCAAGAATGATGCACTCTTCTCTTACGTGGCACCCAGCAATATCTTTGCTTGGTTGCTCACCCCCTTGAGATTTTTCATGCCTTTCCGAGCGTTTATCAAACTCAATCGCACTGTTATCAAAGTCACGCACTTGCCGCTACTCTTCGGTATATTTGCCTACGAGAAACTCTTTCTCGCAAGATCAGTCTTCGAGCCTACAGACCTGGTGGAAAATATGGGACGTGGTCGACAGAGGGCCGTATCATTCCGAGATACCAAATCCGCACTATTTAGCCCAAACATACGTATTAGGCAGGGTTCGGTTGCAGGGTTTCAGACAGATCGGGCGTTGGATGATGTTTTCCGATTAGCACCAAGACCTGGTACCATTCGAAGTAGCATAGGACGACGGGAGACCCATAATGTTATCAGCAACTGGATGGAACACCAGGGTAGCTTGGCAAGTCCACCACAAGAGCAGGACCGCTCTGTTGTAGACCGTCTCGAAAAGAGAAGACAAGCCAGAAGGGATACCATGCTTCGACACCGAGGAGTATCAGGCACAAGATCGGTGGCTAGTGATCCTGCCGAGTTCATGGCCAGCGGAGCGTTCAATGGTCGCTTTGGCTCAGGGCGTTTAGAGGTGCACAACGAGATTGCGGGACACACGGATGCGGATGGGGACGACGAGCTCGTGACGAACGAAGATGATGAAGGTGTCACACTCGATAAGTCGCATAGCATTGTCGCCGACTCTGACAAAGAGAACGGAGATAATGATGATGATGACGATGAAAGCTACTTCCAAACGCCTACAGGTGCAGGCAAACTCTCGTCAACTGCTTCCTCTAAGAAACACAGGTTCCCTTCAGCAACCAATTCGCCTCTCAAGTCATCTCCTTTAAGGGCTAAAGCCCATAGGAGAAATCTTTCCACGAACACCATCCTATACAACCCCGTCCACGACGATATTTCCTCCTCAGCTTCTCGACCAAAGTCCCGGCCCTTGACTGCAAAACGCCATTCAAATGCAAACACAGGCGCAAATACCCCATCCACCAATCTCATGATGGGTCATCGTACACCCCGACATTCCATTTACACCACCGCCAACACAAAACCCCGTCCCATTCTTCCCACTCGGCAAACCTTTCAATCAGTTCCGAATTTCCAGCCCTCGCCTCAACTTCCTAGTAAACGCCCCCGACAAGTCCGCCACCATCAGTCATCCCTAGACATGGGTATGTCGGATCTAGCCTTCGACCAAAACGCCCTTGGTGCGGTGCCCAGCTCATTCGCGACGCAGATGGCCATGGCTATGGGAGGCTTGAAAGGCATTGGGGGTGGCGGCATGGGAGCAGGACGAGGCGAAGATACCGAAGGCATGATGGGGCGATTAATGCTAGCAAGAATGAAAACGTTAGAGGAAGGGTTTGCCGAGGTGGTTAAGGAGTTTAGAGGGATGCGAACAGCGGGTAATAGCGAGGTTGAGGGCGTTGGAGGAGGGCGTGATTATTTCGGAAATGCAGGAGACGGAAGGAGGGCCAAGGGAAAGGGGAAGGATAAAGCCGGGAGAAAGAAGAGAGCAGGTCACGATGGCAGAGGAGGTATCGTCAGAGCGACCAGCGAGACCAATCTCGAGAAATCGAAGAAGGGGAAGCAGAAAGCACGCGATGAGCTAGACGCCATGTCGCCAGAGCAACATGACGATCCATCTGTGGGGTTTGCTCTTGAGCGCTACAACACACGCGGGAGCTCATTATAGAACCTACTAGGGTGGGCAGACTTGAATTTGTTTCCCTGCATTTGGATGGTTTGACTGATCTACATGAAGCTTTGGGGGGGAAGGCGGGGCTGTATTTGTAGTTTTTTCCTGCATTTGGGTTATCTGTATTGTCTGCTTTGGGCTTTAGGTTGTATATACCCCTAGCTTCTTTCTCGCGTTGGCAGATTTCTTTTCGGGGGCGTTTCGCGGTTTTGTAGCTAAATGAATAATAATATATAATCATGGATTTAAGCATAAAGTGGAATATTCAAGTGGCGAAATCGTGATTTTTCTTTTGGGATATCTGTGGCAAGGTGGAAATGGCTTTATGGTGGGAGGGATAGAGTTAGTAGTTGCTTTAGTTGTTAACTAGTTACACTTCTGGATACGTCAAAGGGTGGTTGAGAGAATGCTTATATTATGGTTTGTGTATTCATGCCCAGCTCTACCGAACACTCACCGGGTTCGATATCTTTTTGCTCTATGTATCTAGATGTCTATCCCATTCGATGTCTATCTCATTCGTCTACATTTATCTAGATGGCTACTCTAAACATGTCTATGACCAAGAAATACTACAAAGGTGTTCATTAGCAGTGTCATCACTCAGAGAAATCGCAATACTTACTAAAGCATAATCCCAGCCCCGGCAGCCATAGCCACGAATTGCTGGGCAGTCTTCTTCAACTCCACACCCCTATCCTTCCCAGTCTCCAACAGCTCTGGGATAACCGCAACAGTCCCAACGTACAGGAAGGTTCCCGCGGTAAATGGTAATAGCATATCACCCCAAGACAAGCTCGTGCCCATCAGTCCCTCGAATCTTCCTTCGGAGCCTTGGCCACTGCTTCCGCCGTGTTCTTGCACAGCAATGCCGATGAGCGTACCCAGGAGAGCTCCTACCGCGGTTAGGAATTGCGCACCCATTGCTGCGCGCTTGGAGAATCCGGATTGGATCAACAGGGCAAAATCGCCGACTTCATGAGGGATCTCGTGGAAGAACACTGCTACCGTGGTTGTTGCGCCAATGGTTGGGCCAGAATACCAACTTGCCGCAAGTGCTAATCCATCGGTTATATTGTGCGTGAAATCGGCGCTGTGAGTAAAAGTCAGCAGATGTACCGTATGCTGGCTATGTCGGTGTAAGGGGGCTTACATGAGGTTCAAGTAACCCGCCAGCTTTACACTAGAGCTGATTTCCTTGGTCTTCTCCTTCTCCGCGTTTACCAATTGCGATTGACCCTTCTCAGCCTTCCTAGATCGCAAGTTCTTTGCGCCAGAGTTGTCCAACCCGCTTGTTGTCGCAGCAGATTTGACTTCACCATTCCCATGAGAATGCCCATGATCATGGCCACCCTCGCCGCCAGTAGCAATCCGTAGCCCCTTGTCCATGGCCACAAATGTGACAAACCCAACCAGTATCGCCACCCCAAGAAGCAGATTCCGATTCGGCTCCACTAGCACAAATCGCACACTATCATGACTATCCTCCCCTAGGAATATCTCAGGTAGCAAATGGAATAGCGTATCACCTAGCAGTCCCCCCACGGCGAACGCCACCATCACCGATAAGGATGAGGGATCGATATTCGGTGGACATAGTGCGAGTAGGAAGTTTGGCGGGCCGGATATATAGAGCGTTGCAAGGAGCGCATTTACTGCTGGGCTGCCGGGGAAGAGCACTGCAAAAATGCGCGAGCTGAGGGTGGATGTTTCAGGGGAGGTGGCAGCTTTGAAGGTATTGAGATCTTGTACAAATGCACATTGCTAGCAATTGGGTTGGTTGTTTAGTTACTGTAAATAAATATATCCTGGAATTGGGTGACGTGAGTGGTGTTAGGGGAAAACGCGTTGACGCGCAGCGTACCTGGAGCTTGTCCTCGATTTCCGGGATGCTCATCGACGCAACGGACGAGGCATGCTTTTCCGCGTAGACGTATGTCACGGCGACCAGGAGCAGGATGGCCAGTCGGCGGGGCTGGAAGAATGCCATGGTGGATGGGATATATCAGGTATGTTATTTAGCCTGCCCGCTGGATGAGGTGGGTGAAAGTTGCAGTGGACGGTGCAGTGCACCGACGGCGATTTATGGACGCGACAACATATGGGCGTGCGGCTGCTCAAACGCAAGGAGCCAAAATATGGCCATAGTTATTATTACTTAACGTACCGGCTAGAAAGCTGGTGGCACGTGCTGTGTGCCAAGCCAAATCAGCGCCAAATCAGTGCAGCGGTACCTTGGAGTACATCTGGGCAGAGGTGCACAGCCACAAGCGTCTGGCGGACGCGATTTACAGTAGAGAGTACTGTAGAAGGCGAATTAGGTGTCGCTGGTTTTTTGGTTAGCTATTTTAGCGAGATCCATTTCCAGATGCTTGTGGCTGTGCACCTCCGCCCAGTTTGTACTCCAAGGTACCCCAAGGTACCGCTGCTAATTGTCATCACAGAGTGGAGCCAATTCTTACCGTAAATTCCGCTGGCGAATTTACAGACAACTGGATTGGCCAGCAGTAACCACAATTCAACATCCCCCGATGGCCATGTCGCGAATGCTGTGCCGCCAAAACGGCTGCCAGGTCCTCACCATTATCCACCTGGCGACTCAGTCAGCCTCTCTAGAATTGCAACCGACTCCGACTCCGAGGACTGGAACAAATGAGTTTGCGGCACCGGACGAGGTCAACGTTCCGGAAGCTGCTCGAGAAAGGATAAGAAGCGGAGGGTCTCACTATCTCGGAAAGCCGTTAAACAGGCATAAGCCATACTGTCTCGTCCAAAGAATACTCTGAAGCGTGCTAGAGTCTTGCAAGTCTCGAATGCCGGTTTCGTCTGGCTATCGTGATCTTCGCCGAGCCAGATGAAGACAAGTTGCGCGGCGCTGTAGACCTCTCCCATCTGCCTGGCTTGCTCTCCACGCTCTTTCAAGTCAGACTGGTTGATGCATATAGCATCAACCCATATAAGCTCATGACCAGTCTTGCGGAACTGCCTTAGTGCACCAGGACTGTGCTTTACTTAAAGACAAAGAGCTCATGGAGACAAAGTATTCCGTTCTGTGAGCATAAGGAGCGAAAATGGAAACAACCCTATGAGATAATAAGTCCTTTTTGCTACAAAATTCGAGATGTAGGCTACAAATATACCTGCAACGATTATAGACGAGTGCTTTTTGAGAACCTTGCGCAAAGATGTGACACAATACAGTGAAATTTAGTTATCATCCTCACTGCTTTCCTTCTCGTTATCGTCGGATTCAGCCACTCGAGGAGCGGTTCCGAACAAACTTGCCCCGCCTTTGACGTTCAGAGTGTGCGCGACCGCCCAATTCCCGCCTTCCTTCTGATTGATGTTGAATGTAGATCCAGTCGTCTTATTTCCTTTCTCCTTCTTGTTTTTCCTCCTCTGGGATTTCGGCTTTGACTCCTCACCACCACTCGACTGTGCCGCCGCATTGCTGGATTCTGAAGGTGTGGTCTGGTTCCCCTCAGTGTCTGATCGCGTAACTTGGTGCTGCTCACGGAAAGTTTGTTGTACCGAACTCTGCGAAGAACCCGGTGGCGTATCTCGAGCTGCTATCGAAGCAGCTGATCGAGTTGTAAGCTGATTTGATGCCGGTGCAGAATCTTCCAAAGCCGGTTCACCCACTCTTTGACTTTCAGGTGGACTCACTTCTAAGGTTCTCGAGGATTGGTTTGGAGTAGCTACTGGTCCTTGCGGTTGTGAGAATGCCTGATGATTGAGTGAAGAATGAGGGTTGGCAGCAGCAGCCTTGTCTGCAGCAAGAAGAGCTTTCAGATCTTCCACCCATCCCCAAAGAACGCCGGCAACCTTTTGAAACTGCGGATCACCGCCATCGGGGAACCTCGTTATACCCATGTGGTCTGCGTGTATTGTCGTGGAAGGCCAACCATCAAGACGGGCACTATCCGGTTCCACCACTCTGCCAACCACTTTCAGCGCCAGCTCCTCAACAAAGCAGTGGATCTTGATAGGGTAAGGGAGTCTCTGTTGTTGACAATAAGATGGCTCACGGCGCTTATGTATCATGCCGTGGAATCTCCGTTGGATTCCGTCCAAGGTCTCCGAGCGCTCTTTCAAGACTTGCAACAACGCCTTGTTTGTGCGCTTGATTGGACTTAAAAATTTACACCCGATGTCAGCCCAGAATGCAAGACCTGACCCCCGATGGGGTGTTCCCAAGAACGCCACACCAAATGTCGCCTTGTATACATTCTCGACATGGGGCTCGGAAGAATCTCTCGATAGTGTCAGGCCCTCCTCTACAACGAGTCCTCCCATGCTGTGAACAACGAACAGAATTGGACGATTCATCTAGCAGCACTTAATGTTAACTTGTTCAAGTTTCTTTTGGAGGATTGGACGAACAGTCTTTGTCCTTCTTCTCAACACTCCCAAAGTTCCAACGAGCGAGTCGGCGTGGTCACTGAGGCGATTCTGACTCGCTTCAGCCCAGAAATTGACAACATCGGCGTCGTATCCGAACATTATTATTCGAGATCCTGGTATTTGATCACTCGCTGTGAGGAGCTCTCTAGGCCACAGAACCTCCTTCCCTTCCTTGTTTTTCATAGTCCATGTTCCGGTTTGACTTCCCGTTATGCCGTGGACAAAGACAATACTACCCAGTTGAAGAAAATTAGACATTTTCGTGAATAGATGATAGACATGTGATAGGAATGTTCGAGGCATACTCGACTGTGAATTTATCTCCATTATTGTCATTAGAGCTGTTCTGATGTGGGTATGCAACCCAACAGTCGTACTTTCGAGGCTCAGGGGGTGCTGGAGCAAGCTCGCTGGCATCACTGTGCTAGAGTGAGCAGGAATATCCGCTGCCAAATTAGAATTGGTAGATTAGCGTACTCTTCCGCCGCAGAAGGAGAATCTTTCGAGGATTTGGAAAAGGCTGGAGAATCGTCAACAAGAACCGACATTAGACCCTGGAAGCGGGCGCAGATCTCTTACGATTTCGAGGCATGACGAGCTCGGATGAAAGTTTCAGTTAGTAGAATAGAGACGATAGGCAATACAAGGAACTATATTGGAATTCGATTGTCCTGCAGCTTAATGTAGCTAATTGGGATTGCATGTGACGCAGCTGCTCAGCCTCAAGGGCTGCCAGCTTCTGCCACTGGTCGTCTTACAGCTGTCTGCGTGAGGCATAATTACCCCGCTGCCTTGCAGCGTGCTAGCTCATGACAATGCTGCATCATTCGGAAAAACATATCTTGTGCAAATACTTTGTGCGATAAGACGAACTTGTCCCCGGAACCGTTAAATCTTCAGCGAAGGGGACGTAATATAGTTTCACAGCGCTTGAGAAATGGTATGAGACTTAGTCCACCATGTATTCCGAGGCTTTGGTCAGTTCACACACGAGTAGGCTGCGAGATCCGAGGCCGGCGCGGCCAGAAAAACTAGCGGCAAGAATACTTTCAATATCAACCAGACGGAAGGAGGGGTTTGGCTCGTGGCAGAATCCATCAACATCAACGATCGCGGCACTCTGGATAACTGTAGAACATATGTTCCAAACTCTCTGTCGTCACCAGTCTCAGAACAAGAACGTTTGTACCACTTTGAAGATAAAATCATCTAATTAGTTGCTGACTCTCGACTTCTGGCGCAGGACTGCTTCAGCGTCTCAATTTTGCCGGTAGGCGTGCCCGAGAGCTTCAAATAAGTGAAGAGAGCACTTTCGAGGAGACATTCAAATGGGTTTGGCAGTCTCCCTTCAGGGAATGGCTCGAAGGTCCGAAGAGTAAGGCACCAAAGCGGCTGTCCAGCATGACAGCATACAGCCGGGTATCAATCTGTAATACACCGATCGATAACAAAGGACGGAATGGAGGCCCCAGTGAGATTGAGGAATCCATTCCACCCTTCTGGATCCGTGGCAAGCCTGCAAGTGGCAAATCTACACTGGTCAACTACTTGGTAAAATGCGTAGCGCTTCAGCAAACACTCAAGAGTCGCTTTCAAAAACGTTACGTTGTTATTCAATTCTTCTTCGACTTCCGTCAGAAAAATGACCTCCGGAACAATTTCAAAGGCCTACTTCTGGCCTTTTTGTACTGTTTAGCTCAGAAGATTCCAGAGCTAGGCCCCCAAATCAAGGAATCCGAATGGCAAGATGTGGCACAGTATCACAAATGGCCGGCTTCAGAACTGCAAAGGATCGTGAATGAATCAATTAAGAAGTGCTCCGAGTCCGTTATCATGTCCATTTTTGTAGACGGTCTTGATGAGTACGAAGGCAATATGCTCGACCTGGCAGACTTCCTACGGAATCTGAGTTTCACTAAGAACGTCATGTTGTGTATCGCCAGTCGCCCACATGAGACTCTGGATGTAATTTTCGAAGGTGTGCCAACCCTGGAGATGCAGAAATGGAATTTAGATGGCTTGCAGAAATTCGTTAGGTTGACGTTACAGCGGGCACAAATCATACCATCCACGAAGAGGCAAAACCGACATACTCAAGAAGTAGAAAATGCAAGGGCAATTGTAGGTGCAATTGCAGAGAAGGCAGAGGGGGTCTTTCTATGGGCCAGTTTCGCGATGAATGAACTACCATTGAAGTGGTTTAGAGGAGAGCACGACATTGCGTTACTGCTGCAAAGCCTGGAGCGGTTGCCACCGAAGCTTGAGGATATCTGGATTCAGATGTTTGACCGACTGGTACCTGAGGAGAGAGAAGAGGCCGTCATCTTGATGCAGCTGGTCTGCTTCTCTGAGAGAGAGCTCACACTTAGCGACCTTCTAGGAGCAATGCAACAAATTCTCAGACGCCCAGAGGCCCTAATGGGCGCCATTACAGACGACAAACTCTCTCTACTAGCAAGGAGACTTCCTATTGTGACGGGTGGCCTTCTGGAGGTTGTGGAGACTCGCGAGGATCTTGACGTCGATGGACTCTCCGAACCACCGGCTTTGTCTCGGGCCCGTTCCCTTTTCATGACCAATGATACGATCGCTCCTTGGGCCGACTCAGGGCTTCTTTGTGGCTCATGCAACAAGGTAATACTGATTGGCGAAACTTCCACTCGATGTTCTACCTGTAATGGGAAGGAATTATGTATAAGTTGTGTCGCATTTGGGAAGAAGTGTCAGAATGCAAGTCATGGGATGACTAAGGGAACTGCACAAGCAAGAGCATCGCCATTGACTTTAAGAGACACAATCGCATACCTTGCTAGGTCTCCCACTAGGCGAGGAAGCACGAGTTTCGAAAGGTCGTCAGAATCCGATTTTGATGAATCTCCATCTGACTCGGATGCAAGTGAAAATGTACCAACGCAAGCCCGCTGGTCTCCAAGACCAACCCGACACTCGACAATTAAGTTAGCACACAAAACAGTCCGAACATACCTAGATCAAAAGGGATGGGCCCAGCTCGATAACGGACGATCTTCACCCCTCGCTCCAGAAGCTCTCTGGCTGAAAATTTGCGTCGGAGTGATATCCGACAACACTTTATCCGCGCATCGAGCGTCATGTGCGACTCGAGACCAAAGACATAATCGACAAAATAAGTATTGTTCAGTACATGGATGCGTTTCCGAAGGAGTGTGGCAAATTTTCACCGAATTCTGGACAAAGCCAAACTCCCGTTCGGATCGACTGGTGGCATATGCTCTGAGCAACTGGGCAGCCCATGCAAAGGCTTTGGAGCAAACTAGGAACATCTCATCCTACACGTACTTGAAATCTATCATGTGCCCCGAAATCATCTATCTCCACCAAAGTTTAGGGGGCTGCCAAATCAAAGGCTGCTTGCGACTGCCGTTTCTATTAGTCCCGACTTTGATCTCAAATATCCTTCCAGCCTTTGCCGCGCTGCATGGTCTCAGTCTGTACTTCCAAGAGTATGTCTCTCAAGAGTCTCATCGAAAACCACTTGGCTTGTCGACTGGATCCAATTATGCAAGCGGATCGGAATTAAAAGGCAATATATTGCGCTGGGCGATCCGCTTTGCAAATGAACACAAGAGCGGGATGCGGGGCAACTATGTCGACGACGGCTTCGACGAAAAGATCATTCGAGCAGTTTTAAACTACGACTCTGAAATCCGCGACGTGGATCTTCTTCTAGCTATTCAAGGCGCCTCTGCCAAAGTCGTGAAACTTCTCTTTGAAGAAATCCCCTCTGAGCGATCGACCATGCTATACAGTGATCTTGCCTGTATAACAAATGATCAGTGTAAGGCGGCGGGGTGGAATTGGATTGTGGCCCGTGAAGCTGTTCAAGACATTGAAGCTGTTATAGGCTCCTCTGCCACATCCGTGCAAATTGTTCCTGAAGACTTCAACTTTGAGCCATCACTGGTGCTATACAATGATCTAGACTCTATAACAAATGGGTTTGATCCCTGTACCCCCGTGGGTTGGATTTGGGTTGTGGCCCATGAAGCTGTTCAGGATATTGAAGCCAAATTGGATTTCTTTATTGATCAGGGAGGTGATATTGATGCGCGATGGGCCGTCAATGAATCAGCCATGCATGGGAATTTGCAGAGAGAAAGAGGCCCGGATAAATACTTATTCAAAGTTAAAAGATTGCTTCAGGCGAAAGGTTCTGAGATCAAAGCCGACGAGCAATTTTATGCTGAGATAGCGAGGATGACAAGCGATTCTCGGGCGCGACAAAAGAAACCAAAGATTCTGGTAGATCAAACCGATTCCTGTCTCGATTGAATCATTAACATCAATGCAAGCGTTAGGTTCACTCTTCCACCATGCGGCAGACGAAAATAAGTTGCTGGATTGTCAAAACAAGCACTCAAGCAACGCCCACTCCTACAGTAAAACCGCCTCTTCCTATATGGTAGCGGCGAATGGCGTTGCTTTAGCGAAGCTAGTAATAATTAACTAACCATCCCCAATTCAATGAATAGCATTCCGATTTAGAGATATTAGTTTGTAGTTTTAGCCATGCCAAACATGAGGACTCCCCATAGAAGCCCATAGAAAGCCGTGGAAACTCCGAGGAAGTGGCCAACGTGTCCTCTCTACGTACCAGCAACATGCACGACCTTGCCCTTGCCTCAATGTTTGTCTACTTGAAAGGCATACTATTATAGAAAACATCGATTTTGACTAGCTGAACGGCAATTATACTTTACATTATAGAACCCCCTTCGTTTTCGACTTCTGACAGCCCTAGAACCGGCACAGCAGTCGAACAAGCCAGCCCAGCAGCCGAACAACTTGACCAGCCAAGTAGCGAATATACGTTACTACTTCTCCGACTAAGTAGTTAGGAAAGTAATAAGTAATATAATAAGAGTAACTCTATATATATCTACTATAATTTCTAGTAGAAGATCTCCTAATATAAGAAGATTAGAGCTAAATATGTTTATTTAAATATAAATCCTAGTTTTATCTTACTTCTAACTTGAAGCGATTTTTAGAAAGTAAACTTCTAAGTATAACTTAAAAGTTTTCTAAAAGACGAGAATAAATTTCTAGGAAATAGTTACAGATATAAGAAATAATTATCGAAATATCCATTAAATAAAGTTATTAATATAGTTTAATAAAATAATATAAGAAGTTAGAGATTAATTAATAATTAGTTAATAAATACTTCTAATATTTATATTTAGTTTTTTTATTGTAACTAGACTTATTAATAAAAAGAAATTAGTTAGATTTATAATATAAAATAGTATTAATTAATAAGAAGGCAGTTAATTAATTAGAGGGCCGATTAGTCAACTAGCGAGATTTGACTAACTAGGCTTAGTGGGTCGGGAATTTGATACTAAGCAAGCTCTCAATTAACACCTCGACTCCCTAGCTTACGATCTAGTCTACGAATACAAAGAATATAATCGAATATTCGACAACGAGCAAGCCCTTAGTCAACATCTCAACCCTCAGGTCTACGCTCCAGTGTATGAGTGCAACGAGTGCGAATGGGAATTCGGCTGCAAGCAAGCTCTCAATCAGCACCTGAACTCTCCAGCCCACTGCAACGAGGGAGAATTCACAATGCGTTTGTTACAAGGTTTCTCAACGCTAAGTTATTGGACTTTCACCTGATTATATATCGTCATATCTTACAGATTATATCTTTTTGTAAATGCGAGCGAGCCTGAGCTCTATCTGGGGTTTTGCTGTTTATGGAGGTGAGCATATGTCAGGGGCGGTCACGGGACTTCGCATCACGTGTTACTGACGTAGAACCAACCTACGAAGCCATCGACGGATCCGTATAGACGTCGAACTATAATAGAGGGCTTCCGACTATAATAAGGAGGCTTCCCCCCTTTAGATTATAGGCTAGAGATTAGTTTACTGAATATATGAGTGTTTACAGCCGATCGTGATTCCCTATTATTCAGGCCCTTACAACAGATCATTGAGGGTAACACCCCACAGACGTTCTTCGCCGACCACAACTGGGGATTACTTTCTTCTGGCGAAAAAGTCAAGGTATATCTTTTCGCATCCAAATCACAATTTAACTGTGGCAGACACTTATCTATTCCGACTCAATACTAACTACTATGTGCACATGAAAGAATTATAGATTCAGCTACCTATCAGATAACGCACTATATAATCAAGCACGCACACCTGCAAGTTCGCTCTTTTTACCGCCAAATACAGTCTGAAACAAAACAAAGGAGAGGTAGCTGGGCTTTGCATTCGCATCGCGTCAGAATGCAAAGTCACCAGTGTTGGAGTCTCGTGGTTCATAGCTAGGGCGACGGCCCTCGCAGCCAGGTTCCTTCAGGCTGGTTTTACCAGCACTTGGCATTGGGAACTCAATTGTCCTCTTACTCGCGCCAGCCCATGTTGTTTTGGCCTGGGGCTCCAGCATCTGGTTTCTCAACCCAGCCGCCCATGTTGTACTGGCCTGGAGCTCCAGTATCTGGTTTCTCAACCCAGCCGCCCATGTTGTTTTGGCCTGGGGCTCCAGCATATGGTTGCCCAGAGTAGCCCATGTTGTACTGGCCTGGAGCTCCAGTATCTGGTTTCTCAACCCAGCCGCCCATGTTGTATTGGCCTTGGGCTCCGGTGTTAACCTGGCCTCCTGTGACAGGGACCTGACTCACAGGAACAGTTATTGGTTGTCCCTGAAAACCGTTGCCTTTTCCATACGACTCGGTGGGACAGAACTGGAAGTTCATGCAATCGCCGGTGGCAATGGCACAATGTTTACCGTTAAACACTTCGTTTTCAGGACATCTGGGCGCCGTGACCGAGATACAATCTTGGCTGGACTTGTCATAGACAGTCCTAGGCGGACACTGAGGAGTCATCTCAGTTATGCACTTCTTCCCATCAAACTTAAGACCTTGTGGGCATTGGGGATCGATGACGGATACGCAGCTCTCCCCATCGAGGTAGGTTCCTTCGGGGCAATGAGCCTCGCCACTGATACACGCCCTGCCGTTGAAAAGCAGGTTTCCGCAATCGGGTGTTGCACTGGAGATACATTGGCCATCTCTAAGGTTATAGCCAGGCTCGCAGTGTTCCTCAACGATTCGAAGGCATTTTCCTCCTTTCCAGGAGAAACTCTTGGGGCATTGGGGGGTTTCAACGCTTTCACAACGTTTGTTGGTTAAAACTTGACCGGGGGCGCAGCTGGGAACACCGTAAACACAGTTTCCTTCCTGAAACTTACTGTTGGGAGGACATTGTGGAGGGTTTCCGGTAAGACACAACCCGTCACCATTGAGGACAGATCCCAGAGGGCAATTGGGAGCCGTATTCGACACACATCTGGCACCGTCGTATGTGGCTCCCTCTTTGCATTGTGGCTGGCTCCCTGTGATACAGTCGTCACCTTGCTGGATACCCTCCTCACAGTCGGCACGATCGCTGATGACACAACGCGTGCCATCCCATTTTGCGGCTTCGTCACAAGATGGTTGCACATATGTGACACATTTGTTACCCTCAAACTTGGTGTTGACAGGGCAGGCTGGAGGCTCTTGGAGCACACAGCTGTCACCAATCAAGAGCATGCCTGGGACACACTCTGCCTTCCTTGTGAAAGTGCATTTATCGCCGTCAAGATAGGAGCCTGGCGAGCATTCTGGTGGCTCTTGCGAAACACAGCGAGTGTTCTCGAGCTTGTAGCTTGGGGGACAGCGCGGCTGGGGATTGGAATGCTTCTCGCAGCGATTATTGATCGGAGCACTGCCGTCGGGGCATTTGCCATCGATTGGCTTTGTGACGCATACTTTCCCATCCCAAGTCGTGGCAACTGGACAGCAGCGGGAAGTGCCTTGCGCCTTGTCAATCGAAAGACTCGTGCCCGGCTGGCACTCCAATTGGCCGACGTAGATACATTTCTTGTCATCCAGTTGGGTTCCAGCAGGACACTGCGGCTTTCCAAAGATAGCACATGATTGAATCTTGGGGTTGAAAGTGCCACCATCAGGGCAGATGGGTCCGGTATTCGAAATGCATTGTTTGTTTTGAAGAACGGTATAATCTGGACAGCGTGGTGCTTGCTCTGAAATGCATCGAGAGCTCGTGTTGTCGAAAGAGGTTCCTTTGGGACATGCGGGAGAGTTGTTGTCGATGCATACGCCATTTTCGAGCTTAGCTCCATCCTGGCACTTTGGTCCTTTGAGAGTGGCACACGATTTTCCGTTGAAGTGCCCGCCATCGGGGCAGACGGGTGGCTTGGGGGAAACGCAGATGTTGCCTTGCAAAATGAACCCAGTCTCACAGTTTGCGGCACCTTCGAGGACACAGTAATTGCCCTTCAGGATAGTCCCATGATCACAGGTAGGAGGTTTGTTGGTGATGCAAAAGCCGTTTTTGAAATCGTATCCTACATCACACGAGGGCTTCGTGTGAAAGACACACTTGTCACCATCGCGAGTGCTCCCATCAGGGCAGATAGGAGCATTGAGGACACAGCCCTGGCCGTCGAATTCGGTGCCTGCAGGACAGCATTTGACGTGTCCAGAAGTTTGGTCAGTGGTGGGCACGATGTCATCGAGAGTGTACTTTCGAAAGGCGGTCTCGCCAGGGGAGGGGGCAAATTGAGCCTGCGCGGAGGAAACTGCGAGGATCAAAGCGATAGCCCTTGCTATATTTGCCATGATGCCTCAGAAGATTGACAAAATATTTTGGGTGAGTTGATTTAATTCAGTCAAAGCTCGCTAGCATAGAGATGTACTTATAGCCACATTTCTTGGCCCAGGTATTCCGTAAATCCTTTCCTGTGAATTGTATAACCGGAGAAAACTGTTCAATCTGCTTACTTGTCTAGATAGTTGCATCTTGTGGTGTCAGCTACTCCCTCTTTCGGCCCGTCGCCGTACTGCGACAGCTCTGGTCATTTACCGGGCGCCGTATTCTGGCCGAGACATCAACCAGCGGTGTCGAATAAAACATGAAGACCACAAAGGAAAAGAACGACGCGCTTTCAGCCAGCCTCTAAGTTATATCTCGCTTGACATACCCAAAGGACTCTCTTGCCAAAGTTACATTGCCGACGTTGCAGTACATGATAACAGAAAGAAAAGAAATAAAAATTGCCTCAAATACAGCTTTGTCTCAACGCTGCTCCTACAGTTTTACACTCAGCTTGTCCGAAAGTGTAGATCGGTACCTTATCTCAGTTTTCAGACGATAATAGGTCGGCTTGAAGGTCACACGAGGCACAGATTTATAGGAAGCTGACCGGAACATTTACCACAGGACGTGTCGTTGATCCTAATTGACTGAGGTGTCTGTGGTCTATAGTGAACCCCTCTTGTTGATCATCGTACGTCTTCCACACGGTGAGGAAAATGCATGGGAGGATGGAAGATATTTTTCCTCGTTGAGAGGAATTTTATCAGTAAGGAAAGTATTTGACGGTGCCACCTCAGCTGTGCAGCTGGAACTTGCACTGTCGACAAGATCAACCAGGGAAAGTCCCTCAAGTAGAATATAGCAGTCTCACTAGGAACTTCGTTCGGGGACTTTGTGTAGTAAGGGTTATGCCAGCTGGGCAAGCAAATAAACTTATAAATACATCGTTGTCGACCCAGAAAATATAATTTATCACACATATCTCATCTCATCTCAACTCAACTCATCTCATTTCAAAGCCAACCCTCAAAGTTTTCCACCAAATCACGGTTTGTACGCTCACCCTCTTAACAATCTTGAATGACTCGATTCTTACTCATTCCAATTAGAAACGCCACCATGAAGTTCTCTCTCGCTACCGTTGCTGTCCTAGCCACCGCTGCCTCAGCTCAATATGCCCAGCCGCCCACGCAGTATGGGCAACAACCCCAGCAGTACCCACCCCAGCAGTATCAGCAGCCCCAGCAATATCAGCAATGGGGTCCACCACCAACCCAGAACAAGTATTCTCCAGCAGAGGCTGCGGCGTGGCATAAGTGCGTTGATGGGTTCCTCGACGGATTCAACAATGGCCATGAGGGCACCAAGGCTGGCTGTGCTTTCTGGACTTGTCTTGAGAGTACGGCTACCCAGTACAGTAGGGGAGGTGCTCTCGCCGCCCTTGGTGCTGTTGTGAACAAAGCTTGCATGGTGTCCGGCCTTCTCCCTGTATGTCATAACCTTCGATACACTTTGCATTTAATGATCACTAACATCCACTTAGGGCAACTTCTTCTAATCTCCTATTAAGAGTGAAAACCTATCCCCATTTTCTCGACCAACTTGAGTGATTGCTGGTTGATGACTATCTATCAAACCGTCAGCGGGCTGTATGTGGTTTATCTGGCTAGCGTGCCCTTGATATTGTTGGTAGCCTCGGCTTAGGTTTTTGTCAGATGAATCTGTCTGTTTTCCCTCTGCCTTAGTGTGAATACAGAGGCTATTAGTTTTGTTACGGGCCACGAAAATAAAATCTTTCAATTTTTGAATATTTTTTGATTTTTCATAAGTTTGTCCTGATCGTAGAGGAGCCTCACTTCAGAAATTGCCCCTCAAATTAATTCTTAACATTTGCTGTGCTATAACGGACAGTGGCAACGTTATAGCAATGGTGATTAAGAGGTGCGTCACCTTCTAAAGTCACACACCCCTAGAAGTCTAATCGAGCTAGCCCCGTCACCTCCATGTAGGGTGTAGCATGGGGCCCTATTACCCACGCTCCAGGTGGGTTGGGGCGCCGCCATGAGTAGGGCGTTAAGTTTTATGCCCCATGGGGTATAAGAATGGGTAGTAAAAACAATCTGCCCCATTTATAGAGCCCTATAGGTATAATTATGTGCGTTGTGTGTGATTTGATGTGTGATTTCGTATATATCTCTAGGTATTTGTATAATTATATATATATCTTAGGTTTATACGGTATATAAATCACGTATAGGATCATATAACAATCCATGGGGCTCCACCCCGCAGCCTACCTCCATGCACCCTCCCGCAACCTGCCTCGAGGCATCTGTACTTCCGATCCGTGCCAAACCCATTGAAGGCAGACGCATTAAATTATCTCCTAGCGAATTCTCTATAACATTATCATATCTTCGCGAGTCTTATTTTGTTACACCAATATGGATGCGCTTATTTTTTCTCGTGTTCTTTCGCATTTCGACTCCAATGTAGCGCTTCCATTTTTCAGACGGAAACCGATTAGTGATGCGTATAAGGACGTGTCGTTTGGGTGGGACACAAGGAAAGATACGGGGTTTCTGCTCACAAAGATGATAGAGTGGATTACACTGATGTATCTTTGGTTGACAGAAAAGTCGAGGAAGGCTTCGTTTGCTGCCGATCCACGGGAGATTAAGTTTCCAGATGTTTGATTGATACGGTCATATAATGGCATTGCATCACCAATTTGAATTATCCGTATGGTCTTGACTGCTTTAGCTGTGCGTGCAGCTGCGTGACAAATACCGAGTTTGAGAGCAAAATTTAGAAGGGAACCTGCATAATGAGTTAACCAGGGCTAGGCTTTCTAACTTTTCCGAATCCCGTCCCGTTCCTTGGCGGGTTTGTATGTATCGAAGCGAGCCGGTTTCAGTATTAGAGGAAGTGACTTGTTCAAAGGTCAAAACAGCTCACCGTATTCTAACACTCCCACTCTAGTTTAGGCTCCAAATACTCGTATTTTCCCAGTAAAAATAAGACATCCGAATGAATGACACTGACAAACGAAATGTCCTAGTGAATAGACGTCACATAACCTGCCATAACAATAGCAGCGCCTACACCCCCTTGATGCCGAATACACCGAGTGCAGGTGCAAATTCTTGATACCTTAGAGGCTTAGTAAACAGATCGGTAGCCTGTGCTTTTGTCGGCACATGTTCCAAAGAGATCAAGTCATCCTCGATTAATTGCAGAAGGCGGTGGTGTCGGTTGTCGATGTGCTTACTCCTCTTGTGGAAATCAGGATTAAAGGATAGGCATCTATAACGTTGCGATGAAAGAGCGCACTTTTAAGGAATATCGAGACGTGTTGCTTGAATTGCACGAACAGTATTGGCCTCCGTATGGGGGAGAGTATGAAAAGCGATCTCAGGAGAACAGACTTCGTGGAATTACCTACCTTGTTAGTCAGAGGCAGCGTAACACTTTCCAATGGTAGCTTTAACCTTTATCTTTGTGCCGACTGGTATATAGAAGGCGTCATGTGTTGTTCTCCGAGCGTTCTGAGCCTTGAACAATTAGATTCCTTTGAAATACTACTCTAATTTCCACTATATTGCAACTGTATAGCCGATCAGATGGCCTTCTCTACTGTAATCTCGACTAACGTCCATCCCTGCGTAGCGGAAAACAGTTGGATCCCAGATCACGAGTGGCTGACTGCTAGGCAGCTACAATCTATTGTCTATATCATAACACCTAGACAGCCAGCTTTTACAGTCAGGCATGCTGCTACAATCAACTAAAACCCTACGTGCCGGAAAAAACGATAGGTGCTTTGACTTCAAGCGATAGGTGCTTTGACTTCAAGCACCTTAAAATCCGTGCACACCTTAACTCATATTTTTTTATAAGTTATGTTTCGTGGCCACTCCGTGACACCCTGAACCCCTCCCACTAAAAAAAACATGTTCGCATCATTGCCCTCACGCTTAATGTACAAAGAGTTGTGACAGCACGAGAACAGAGGCCTTAAGAGAGAAGCATAATGTCGATTTGTAACTTGGAATATAAAGTTAAAGAGAAAAGGTTCAGGTTGAGGAAAGCACTAGGCAGTGCTCATATGACCGGTCATCCGAGCTCCGATGACCACACGTGACTCTACATAGAACATTTATAAAACGTTTTTCAAATGCTTACCAAGTGCTTGTGGCGCCCTAATTCATGGTCCTGGCGACTAATGCAGGGCTAGGCCCAATTGAGCCTAGCCAGCAACTCGTTTTCCAATCAATCTGAAATCCACCTCCACCATCCCTACCAACTCCACCTCTCCCATCCCGTCCACCTCCACCACCACCAGCCACCCCTACCTCCTCAAAGTGAGTATAATATATATTATTTATCGATCTTTACTCAATTATATCATATATCTAACGCGCAGATTCAAAAACAACAAAAATGGCAGCTTTGGTGGCTTTGCGCATTGTCGCGAATTCACCAAATCTGACCTTTGCCCTACCCCTTCACTTTCACCTTTACCTCA